GATCGTGAATCGCCCGCCGTGGAGCCTGCGAAGTACTCATGGCCGACCAAGTTGATGCTACATCCGGACGGGAAGAAGGACGTGACGTGTTTCACCTCGGTGTTGCAGAATCCGGTGACCGAGTCGGACAGGATCGTGGAACTCGGTGAGGATCCGGTAGTGGAGGACCTGGTTGAGAAAGAACCGAGCTTCAAGCGCATAACACCGCTGACGAAGGAACCAGAGACGGACCCGACTGTGAAGTCTAGTGCGACTCCGGGTGGTGCTGAGGACTTCACCAGTGACACCGAAACGGATGACGAAGAGTTTTTCGAGGCTGTCGCACCGGATGAGGATGTTGCACAGGATGGAGATGACGAGGACTTCTTTGGCGCGGTTACACCGGATGAAGACGAAGTGTCGGAAGACGCACCAGATGTGACCGACGAGGATGTCTCCGACTTACCATCCGGTATCCTGCCCTGCACTCCGGTGCAGAAACTCAAAGAAGAGTACGAGCGGGTCATGCGACTAAGTGTGGAGGAGTTGGACTTTGAACCAGCCGTGTACATTCATGAAAGGAGCGATCTGCTCTCCCAGCTGCGAGACCAACTCGCACTCCTCCCGGAGGTGCAGGATTTAAGTCCCGAGTGCGACATTGACAAGGCTGATGTTGGCGAACCTGGCGTGAGCACGCCGGATGACGAACACCGATTACGTGGCATCCTGAGGTACCACCGAAGTATCTTCTTAGGTGATGGAAATGCGGCACCAGCCCCAGCTCGCGGAGTCGTTTGCGATCTGGATGTGGGAGACGCTAAGCCTGTCGCACAGAGGGCACGCTCGGTCGCGCCACACCTTGCGATGAAGGTGTACGCGTTGCTGAAGAAGTTGTTGGAAACTGGATTGATCGAGACATCTACGTCACCCTGGGCGTCACCGATCGTGATCGTACTGAAGAAGAACGGGGTCGACATCCGGATGTGCATTGATTACCGGATCGTGAACGGGTTCATCCAGTTGTCCAACTATCCTCTCTCGCTCATTGACGACCTGCTAATCGGGTTCGAGAGCGCGATGTGGTTTATGAGTCTGGACATGGCCAGCGGCTTTTGGGCGATCAGGATGACGGAGCGAGCCAAGCTCATCTCGGCGTTCGTGTCGCCATTCGGTCACTACCAGTGGCGACGCATGCCATTTGGTCTGAAGAATGCTCCGCTGGTGTACCAGCAGATACTCAACAACTGTCTGTGGGGCTTTGTTCGACTACCACCTGGTAAGGAAGCTCAGGTGGATCAGGACGTACTGGATTATCTGGGTTTGAAGCTGCAAGAGGACAACGTCGCAGGGAGCGACACCGGATCGGACGACGAAATCCTGTCTGGCCGACGTCTACCCGCGCTGACAGACCGGATGACTGTGTTCCAACGTAACATCCCGGCGCCGATGCAGATGGGCCCTGTCCTAGGACGGAGCTCGTACATTGACGACATCGCGCATGGGGCGCCTACGTGGGATCAACTTTTCATCGATCTGGATGCGCTACTGTTTCGGTTGCGGTACTGGAACATCTCTGTCAGTCTACCGAAGAGTGAATTCGGTAAGCGCTCGATCCCGTATCTCTCTCATGAGATCAGTGCAGAAGGACTCAGGGCGACGCCGAAGATCGCTGAGGGCGTACTGGATCTACCATTCCCGTCTACTCTGAAGGGGATCCAGTCCTTCCTCGGCAGTCTGAACTACTACTATAAGTTCATAGAGGATTTCCCGATGGTAGCTGCAGTCCTGTACGAGCTGAGCGACGACCAAGTGCGATCCGGTAGGGACTTGGCGAGGGCGAAGGAAGCGTTCGAGATCCTGAAGCGGAAGATCGTGTCGACCCCATTGCTACGTCATCCGGACCGGACCAAGCCGTTCGTCATCATTCCTCACGCGAGCCAGTGGGCAGCCTGTGCAGTCCTCGGTGAAGAGCATGACGGGCTGATTCAGCCCGTCCGTTTCACGGAGCGTGTACTGAATGACTCGGAAGTCCGATATCACGTTGCGGAGAAGGAAGTCATCGCGATCATGAGAGTACTGAATGTATTCAGGACGATCCTGGAAGGATGTTCGATAATCGTGTACACCCGCTATTCGGTACTCAAGTGGGTGATTCAGTCCAAGTCGGCGGATGGACGTTGCGTACCATGGGGCGTCACTCTTTCCGAGTGGGACCTGGAAGTTCGCCGAATTCAGCGAGATGAAGACGGTCTAGCCGCTATACTCGGTGCGGGTATCACCCCCCGAGAGCACTTGGACCGGATCGCAGAGTCGCTGATTCCAGCCAAGCGGCGGGTCAAGCCACCACCGGTGGTGAGCATGGAGATGTTGGACGCTGACTTTGAGGGGATTGTGTCAAGCTTCGATGGAGCAGCCAAGACGTCGACTCGCCGAGGAAGCTGCGGATGCATCCTGTGGAGCCTGCCTGGTTGGAGCGTACTGGATGCACAAGGTTTCATCCTGAGTGATGTCACTGTGAACGATGCAGAATATCACGGCTTACTGAATGGACTGACCATGGCACTGGATCGGGGCGTTCAAGACCTGATCGTGGTTGGAGACTCGCGCATTGTGATACAACAAGTCCAAGGGCTGATTAACTGCAACCAACCCAACCTTCAACGACATCTGGCTCGGTGCAAAACTCTGGAAAGACGATTCAGTACGCTTCGGCTCGTTCACGTGAAACGTGAATACAATTCGGCCGCGGACTACCTGACCTCCAAGACGCTGGCGCTGGGTATCACGTGGACTGTCCAGGATGAGGAGGAACGAATCCATCTGCAGCGAGTGTCAAAGATCCACGAAAAGCTGATGAAGCCAGTGGTTGTGGCGCAGGATGTGAGTGAGGGAGTTCAGGATGCACCAGATGGATCGGCTGCTAAGAAGGTGGTGACACCGGATGTGGGGTCACCAGACGATGTCGAACAGGACCCCGGTTCTGCTCCGTTACCTCACTGTGCTCGAGTCATGGCGGTCCTGACCAGATCGAGAACACAGGAACAGACAGAGTCAAGTGGCCCATTGGGTCCATTGGAGTTCCAAGCCGAGAGGTGGCGCAGGATTAAGGCACACCAAGATCAGGATGAGTTCATTTCGGAAGTCAAAGCGTATCTGAGTGGCGACCTGGATCGATTCTCTCCGAGGCGGCTTCGCAAGATCGCGAAGCTCTCGGACTTGTTTGCACTGGATGCCAGACGCATCCTGTATCGACTCGCGCGGTCTACTCGAGATCGATCTCGGGACGTACAGGATGAGCCACGTCTTGTGGTGCCACAAACCCTGCACGCTGACTTGCTGCATTACGCTCACGTGGACTTTCAAGGTGGACACTAGGGAATTACCCGCACCCACGAGCGGTTACGCTCCGAGTTCTACTGTCCCGGCATGTATGCCGACGTGGAACGTTTCGTGAAGGAGTGCGCTGACTGTGCAAGTGGAAAGGGGCGACCTCCCAACCCTGGACCGTCACCTGGTAACATCGAGCCCAGGCGCCCGTTTGAAGTTGTGTAGATGGATTTTGTGACGCATATGCCCAAGTCGGCACGAGGGAACACCTTCCTACTGCTTTTTCAGGATTCATTCTCTGGTTACGTGATGTGTAAACCCATGTCGTCTACTACGGCACAGGATGTAGCAGAGGCCTACGAAGAGCGAGTCTTCCGGAATTTCGGTGCGTCGTCGATGATCAGACACGATCAAGACCCACGTTTCATGAGTGAGGTCTTCACTCGGTTTCAGGAGCTACTCGGCAGTCGTCAGCGCGCCACGTTGGCATATCGTCCTCAAGCGAACGGCCAACAGAAACGTTCGGTGCAGACCGTCATCCGGAGCGTCCGCGCTTACATCGCTGAGTCTGGCCAGTCTGACTGGGACGATCACGCTGAGCGACTGATGTTCGCCCTCAACACCTCGTTCGACGCGACCCGATTGGACACTCCATTCTATCTGGTACACGGTTGGGATGCGCAAGGCACGGTGTCGGCGATGTTAGGACCGAAACTGTCCAGTGTGCCTGAACGCACTGCGTACGAGTGGCGTCGGAAATTTCAGCGCGACTACGGCTACGCAATAGCCTGTGCCGAGGACCTCCAGAGACAAGCGAAGCGAACACGATCGGAAGAACAGACACGCAAGTGGAGAGAATTGTCCGAGAGGCTGAAGACAGGATTTGAGAAGGGTGATTCGGTATGGCTCTACATCCCGAAAGTCCAGACCGGATTGAGCCGCAAGCTGGCTCACATGTGGCATGGGCCGTTCAAGATCGAAGAGGTACACGATGACTTCAGAGTGAAACTCAAGGTGGAGGACACAGGATATCGTGTTAACCCCTGGGTACACATCAGCCGCCTCAAGCCTCGCGCTCTGTTTCCGAAGCGACCTACCGCGGAACTCGATCTGGATGATGACGACGATTTCGATGCAGCCCTGCTACCCGAGGACAGCTGGGAGCCGGACGAACAGAATGATGAGTACGAAGTGGAAAAGATTCTGGACCTCCGGTGGGCCAAGCGCACTCGTACTTCCAAGAGATTCCGCGAGTACCTGATCAAGTGGAAAGGATACGACGATCCTGAGTGGTTACCAGTGACCAGGCTCAATTGTGGTGCGCTTTTGTATGAATTCAATCAGAGTGCCCGTGCTAAGGCCAGGTTCCAGTCTATGCAGGCTGGTGATGACCACCCCAGTGTCTAGTACCGGATTGAACACTCGATCCTGACCGCCGACGTGTGACCTGACTGAAACTGAATGTGATTTTGATTGTGAACTGTCGACGCTGAATTTGTGGAGAATTGGAGTGGAGTAGTGGAAAAATGAAGATACCGGCTGAATCGACCAGTGACTGCGCCCCTGAATGGAGTGAGCGACAGAATGACGAGCAGACGGACCGAATGACATAAGACTAAGACGAAGGAGTGAGGTGATGAACGTGAATGACATGAAATTGTGGAGATTAGCTTGTGGCTACACCGAGTGTGCAACTAGCTACGGTGATCAGCGCAGACCCAGTTGTTGGCACGCTCATCGGGAGACAGCAGCATTTTCCGGATGTGCGCCGGACGATCCGCGATGATCCTATCGAGGGTCCACCCTGTCCACTGGATGCGAGCCGGTTCTTCGCGATCCAGGATTTCGAGCTGCTCGGCCATCGTGTACGGCTTCCCATCCGGTTTCTTCTCGGACTTGTCAAACAGGATCCAGGGACAGACCTTCGCAGGATACACCCAGAAATACGCCGAGTTGATCACCGAACTTGCTTTCAGAAGTTCGGTGATCAACTCGGCGTATTTCTTGCTTTCAGAAGTTCGGTGATCAACTCGGCGTATTTCTTAATGGCAGGATCATGCAGACCCTTGCGTTTCTTTTTCTCCTTCACCCCATACGACGAGTCCTCCGGATACGTCACCCAGTGTCCCGCGTACCAGATGACCAGCGCGTTGTCCTTCATGAACTTCACGATCTTGGTCAGCACGACGTGGACCTTCACTCCCAAGGCGTAACGCTTGTGGAAGAGGAGGTTGATGACACGACGCTTGTACATCCGCTCGCCCGGTCGGGTCTCCATGATCGCCCGGTACTCGTCCACATTGAAGCGATCCTTGAGTGGCCCCGTCCCGCCGTTGTGGTTCGGTGCGTAGTCAGGGAAACCTGCGGACTGGTAGACGGCGTAAGTCGTACTGGGTGCAAAAGTGGTCATGATGCCCTTATGGCGCCACGAAGTGATGCCTCGACCCGGTTCCTCGATCACGGTCAGCTCTTCAGGAGTAAGATCTTTCATCTCCTTGCGAGCGAGTGGAGACTTCTTGCGCTCATCACCAGGTCGAGACTTCTTGTGTTTCTTGCCAGATCCAGTGGTGGCTGAATCCGATTGAGATGACACCGAACTAGCCCTGCGCTTGGGACGACGAGTCGAAGGCAAAACGAGATCCAGTGCAGCGTTGGTGTCCGGTACCTCCGTGTCATCCTGTTGTGCTGCTGCCTCACGAGCTTCCATCCGGTCGATCTTGGCTTGAGCCTCCTCGCTGGGTTCCCAGTTACCATCACGATCCTCGTTGTCAACGTCCTCTTCGTTCTCGTCCAAGAGCAGCTCACCGTCATCTTGTGTGGGGTCCATCTGGTCGGGCCACCGATCCGGTTCGAGGCCATCCTGTGCGTAGCGATCCAGTATGCTCTCCGCGCGGAGGAAGTATCGTTCTGGCACGTAGGTTGTCCAATAAGCCTTGTCCAGTTGGTTCCAGTACATTACCTGAGCCAGCATGCAGGACAGATCGTAAGGATGGAACAAGTGATGGGCCATTTCGTCACTGTTCAACAGAGTCGTGGCTTCCGAGTACGTCAATCCAGCCCACATGGTCAGCTGAAGATCCGTCCGAAGCTTGCGCCACACAACGGGAAGCCCGGCGAGTGAAGCGCATGCAAGGTTTCCATCGACTGGATATTCTTGATCCATGGGGCGCGCATCTTCCTCGTTGGGATCCCAGGCTATGGGGGCGATTCACGACCCGAGCCACCGCCTTGTGACGACGCTTGCCACCACTGGATCGACGTTCTGACGAGGAAGTCTTACCGGGTGGAGCCTCGCCTGTGACATGCACGATAGTGACGCGCTTGCCCCGCGACCCTGTGCCGCCCTCACTCGATTCAGACCCGTCGTCGCCCTTCTCTTCCGTGTCGGTGTCGCCGTCGTGTCGGAACTCGAACGGCCCGGGATCGGTGAATGCGTCATCTGCAGAGGTGACTGAGATCAGAGTCTGCCATTCGGTGGGGGCGTGGTACCGGATCGGTGGTGCTTGAACAACTCCTCCAGACGCTTCCAGTTGCCAGTCACCTTAGTCTGGTTCCTGTTAAGGAAGTTCATCATGCGGTCGACGTCGAAGACCTGAGACTCGAGGGACTCGACCCAGGTACTGGATGTTTTGAGCTTGAACTCCAAGGCAGCGATTCGGTCTCGTAGCGCTTGTTTCTCGACCTCGTGTTCCGCCATGAGTTTCTTGAAGTCCGCCCGGTACCGTGCTGCTGTTGCCTCTTTCGTCTCTTTGAGGTCATTGCAGACAGCTCTCCATTGTCCCTGCAGCCGCGTGACGTGAGCCTCGAACTGGGAGCTCTCCTTCTGGGCGGTCAACAGCTTCTCGATCGTGGACGACCCGGTCGCCTGCATCTCCCCGCGAATGGTCCGGTACCGGATCAACAAGCGGCGCATGAACGTAGTCATACTGAATGCACGCAGTGCCAGATCGTGAGGATCGTAGACCGACAAGGTTGATGCCAGCTCACGACGCATCTGGACAGAGTCGAGTAGCGCCTCCAACTCGGTCGGACTGGGTGGTGGCCCGGTACGAGGTCGAAGAAATAACTCGTTCACGTCCTTGGCCTCGCCCACCAGCTCATTCAGGTCCGCCAGGTCCGTCGCTGAGAAGCATTCCATCGTGGTGAGCACTTCGAGACCAGCGTATCCGTCACGCATGTAGCGGTCGTCTTCGAGGTGACGCATGTGAGCAGGAACCCCAACAAAACGAAACGCGCCATCCAGTGCATACCCACTCGGTGCCTCCCAGCTTGCGGTCATGCCCGGACTGGATGGTGGCGCAGGATTGCGTCGCGCCGGAAGGCCGCTACCCGCAGGCATGTTGAGCGCCTCGACCACGGACAGGACGCGCCCAGGAATGCTGCGTTGCATGGCTGTCAGGCGCTCTTCCATCGTGTCGCCCTCGGTCTTCAGGATGCGCCCACTGTGTTCGTCGCTGTTATTGTCAGACGCCCCCGACGGCGCCTTGCTGTGCGAGGGATCGTCCTTGCCGTCAGCGCTGGACATCTCGACGTCGCCATCAACTTGATTGACGCCGCCAGAAGACGTGCGCTCGCCGCGCGCTTCACCGGCGCCTCCGCCTGAGCCCGAGTTGGCACCCGCAGCGCCCTCTCCAGCTGGAGGGGCGTGCGGAGGTTGTGCCGGGCCCGTTAGTCCGCTGCCAGGCGTCCCCGCATTGTCGCCGACCTCTTCCATGGCGGTGATGAGTCTCGCGATCGAAAATGGATTGTGACGTGAAGCCGGCTGCTCCCGACGGTTTGATTGTGATGTGTGGAGACTTGCTACGGAGACGAGACGATGGCTGACTTGAGTTCTGGGAAAGAGCCTTTCAACGGTTTTGCGATTCGGTACCCCCTTCCATCCGGAGTGGGATCCATCGTGTGTGGGTCTGTTCATGTCCTGTCACCTCGGTGGCAAGATCCTCTGTGAAAGAACTTGAGCAGAGGGGCGGTTGACACGATGTGGGGAATGATTTTTATCCGCACCCATGTCTGACCGCTGGGATGGGACGACCCTTCGCCTGACTGTGACTGGTCGCAGTGAACAGGAATCCAGTGACGTGGAGTGTGACATGTGGATAGTGGATGCGCATGGTGAATTTGGCGGGGCCCGGTGCTTGCAGTAAGCATGGGCTCACAGGATCGGAGATGTGCCCACCGGATGAGCGCTCATATTCGGTGTGGAGTAACACATCCTGTCCGTCCGCCGACTTCCCTGACCGCAGGACAAGCCTAAGGCGCGCAAGTGCAGCCAGTGAACGTATCCTGGCTGCTGCCTGCATTGACTCCGTCAAGACATCGGACCAACCCCCAAGTTCACCATGCCCACCATGCTCCCATGCTCCCAAGACCTCGCTGGACAAAGTACACTGTTTGCCGGACTGGATCGTGGTGCACCCGGTAGCGACGCACCGGAGGCCAAGGTGCCGTACTGAATGAGGCCGGACCGGATGATCAATTCGGTCTGACCCCTGGTGCCCATACTGGATCGTGACCGCACCAACAACAAGTCCAGTACTGCTGTGTGTGTAGCAGCAATCAAGGACCGGATCGACCAAGAACGTCAAGCGACACAGGATGGCTCACGTGATTAGACGCAGAGGTCCAGTGCGGATTTGATGAGACGCCGTACCCACGTACCTCTGACGCCAGATGATGAGTGTTGCCGAAGGAACGTTGACGTCGACAAGGTGCCCGATAACCAAGCCAAGTCAAGCATACCCAAGCTCAGTGCAAGAAGATCGAAGTCCCGTGCACAAGGTCGAAGCATATCCAAGACAAGTCAAGCATAGTGAAACCTTTATTAGAAGTCAGTGAAGTGAAACAGATAGCTAGCCAAACGTAAGATCAAACAGAAACCAATTTGCCGAGAACACGCGAACGTCTTTCTTCGGGCTGGGAATTCCCCCCGACATTGACGTCTTCAAGAGCTTATACGTGGGATCCGCCTTCGTGCGATCTTAAAACGGAGGACGTTTCAAGGCCTCACTGGTGTTGCGAGCACTGGTGTAGTGGGGACTCAAAGGTACCAAGGCAAAGTCGGCAGGGACTGGGGTGTCGCGCCCTGGAGTGATCTGTGAGAGCTTTCTTTCCAATTTGCGTGCTCTATCCGGGCATCCATTTCATATTCCCTACTGTGTGTCTTTGGTGGTTGAGGTAGTCACCCCCCCAGACCGAATTGATTGACTACTGTGTGATAGGACTGAATTATATTTTGTATTGTTCCCTCATTCTGTGAGGGTGGTGCGCGTGAGTGAGTGTGCATCCAGGGTTGACCAGTGCCTTGGGTGACGGCTCGTAAGTTGACTGGCGTATAGACCCCCCACCCAAGGGTCTTAAAGAATAAGTGGTGGCTGTATATTTTGTGACGTTTAGCTCGGCATTGTATTTCTGTGTGTTGGTTATATTGAATTGTGGATCTGACTGTGGTCCCTTCGATTCGGTCTGACTTTCTGTTCATTCGGTGTAGTTTGTTTCAGGAACACACCCAGCAGACTCGATTCTGTATTTACAACAACTCACTCGGTGAAGTCCGGTCCGCCAAAGGTAAACGATACCTATAGGGGTTGACACAAGGACACACGCCAAGTCCAAGCGATCCTCCCGGCCCCCGGTTCACATCCTGTGCTCCGAGGACTACCGGATTGCAGCGGATATCTCTGGTACTCCGAACCGATTCGGTCCGGCATAGTGCGCTATACACCTGGACGATCAAGGCGTTCACCCGCCTCGCCTCAATATACCATATGGTAGACGGGTGCAGCAACAAGTGCCAATAAAATATTACCGTAATCGTGAGTGACGGCTTTACCCTTATGTTCGGTTTCGACTGTTGGAGACGAGTTAGGCCCGTTCTCAACTGGAATTCCTCGCTGCATGAGGCCGCATGAGCCGAAATAAGGACTTGTGATTGGTTAGTGGGGTAGGTGGTCGCATGCGGCCGCATGCAAAAATAGGCGTTCATGCGGCGTGTTGGCCGCATGCGGCGAAGTTGCCGCACGAGAGTGAGTAGGGGTTCCACGCCGCAGCACCAATCAGAGCGCTCTTATTGACTCACCTGCTGTACAGTACCCTATCAGACAACAGCCGACAAGGCGTCAATTTGACTCCTTGACTGCCAAAGAAGTCAACCTTGTATTTTAGCTTCTACTCGAGGTGTTCGGGCCGCTGGTGCTAGCGGACGCTAACACAAAAGGGGCCCGCTACTCTATTCGGCATACATGTACACGATTTCGTGTTATTATTGAGTGCATCGTACAGAACGTGTAATGTTACATCTATTTCGAAGTAACTTAGATACATGTTCCAGGTAGTGGAAACTACCTTTAGATGTAGAACCCCCACCGCCGGGAAGCGTGTACTACGTCTACCTGCTCTTTAGCAGGCGTAGATCAACATGCACTAGCGTTTCATGCCCTACGATTGGAAGTTATGTATCAGCCAATATACATGTAGTCATAACATGCATCGGTTGACGGAGTCGTGTGCGTGAGAGTTAAATGTTATCGTGTACCGTGAGATAAAAATTAATAGCTGCGACTGCTGCCGACAGTTACCAGCACGTGCATACCATATATAGGGGGCAAACAATTCGGCTGCAGTGCCTATGGAGATGATTGTTGTTATGCATTCGAGACCTTGCTAACTTTTCTTGATTTATGATGACAAACAGCCCATATCCACAGCCAACCATGATGTTTGGGCTTTCAACTTGAACGTTTCAAGCGAGCTAACGTATACCTCCATGCCCGCACGATATCGGCGAAGGCGTGCTGAGGCGAAAGGCACGGTTAGGTGGCATCAGTAGAGCTTTTTATTTGAGTCAACAGAGGTTTAGCACTAAAATAAAATGTGAGTATGTCGAAAAACTTGTTGTGTTTCTGCATATTGCAAACATCTTCAGCAAAAACCTGGCGCAGACAACAATAAGGAAAGCGATACAAAAAGATCTACTACGCTGGTCAACCAGCAGTGTGAAGAAAAACCGTCCACCTACAGCGATATGGTGGAGCTGCTCAATGAGTGGATCGTCAACTTATCCTACAGAAACTACTTGGAAGTTAACCCCACCTGTATAATGAAGAAAAATAAGTGCGTAATCTTTTGCTGCACAAAGCAAAATAGATTCCTTTAGCGTAGAGCGCGTGTAGCTTCACAATCGATGGCCGATTTAGAAATTTTAACGAGTTTCCGTTTTCATTACAGTTTTTGTGAGTTGCCTTGCATTCTTGCTGTTTGGTTTTCATCTACTGGTACGTCGGATACGTATTTAGCATTAATCCACTACAGGCGTACAAGTACTTGTTCATATATTGTTTTCAGTTGGTATGAGCTAGCATCGAGAAATACGAGTCTTCGGCAAAACTCATCATACTTCGCGTTGCTGCTTTTGGTATGTTTCGAGTTCGAATTGGCCGATGTCATCTGGAAGCTCATGCGGGTAGGGCGCGCAATTCGGCCGCATTGTACAAAACCGTGCGATGCGGTGCGGCCGCATGCGGCCGGTTGAGAACGGGCCTTAGAAGGGCTACAGTTTTGAGGTTTTTCTACGCGATTATCTCGACATGCGCAGACCCTTTTATTTTGGCCAATAGTAAGATGAAACGGTTGATTATACCCAATCATATGTGACATGTGGTCCACATCGAATTGAGGTTTAATGCCGAATGTTGTTTCTTAAGTGGGCCAGAGAAGTACTAAGAAGTAGTCTTGTTTGGCTCTCGAAAACTATCCGCAGATGAAATTGGCTCTAGCGCCCCCATAAAGCCATTTTCATTTTCCTCCCCACCCTCGCCAACGTCCTAGGGTGCCACTAATATTTGATTCCTTTGAGAAAGTTGTTGTAATCGCCAATAATACCTCGGTTTCTCCTGTCAGCACCGATAGTCAGCAACCTTGTAGCCACGCTTTCAGTGCTCTCACCTTGCTCTTGCCACTTCTTGAACTGTAGTCTCTGTAAATCGCTGATAATATTTATTTCGGCGTCGCGTACTGCCCTGTGCTTTGCGGTAAAGAGTAGCTTTGCGAGATCCGGCTCCTCAAACCGCTTCAGCAGCACTGATATAGTGTCTCTAAGCACGGCGTCAGTTGAACGCTTCGAATTCAGCTCGGAAACGTACGAGGCCCAGTTGCTGAAGGCGGAACTCTGGAAAATCGTGTCTCCGGCCTCGTCCAATTGAAAAAGCTTGAACAGCTCTACTCCATTTAACGATTAAAGCTCACTATGGAGACGAAGCCCTAGTAAAAATGCTAGCTGCGGCGAAGGAAGTTTCGTCCACGAAGTCCATTGCTGCACGACTGCAGGATGCCCAGCTCTCGAACTGGGCTACCGGTAGCAGCGGGAAAACGGCAGCCGACGCACTCAAGCTCCTCGGACTGGAACGCGTAGCAGACAACATTTTGACCAGTCCGGAACTCCACAGATGGGTCTCGTTCGTGGACCGCGGAGACGATAATATATTCGTCCGGCCGGAATTCTGCAGCTGGGTCTCGTTCATCATCCGGCGGAGAAATGAGGGTCCAGTCGACAGGTTGTTGAAGCAGGCGATGACGTATTCGCTGCACGCTCACTACAGCGATGAAGCTCTTGTAAAGATGGTATTCGCTGCCATGGAAGTGCCTAGCACGCGTCATACTGTGGCAACAGTGGAGGACTTACTTTCCTCGGAATGGAGGGGCGACAAGATGACGATGTCTGCCGCTTCGGGGTTCGTCTTGAAAGACTTGGCCACAGTTTTCTCCCACTTCAGAAACTTGGCATTCGTGAAAATGCTGGGCGTGTTTTTGCCGAGTTTGAGCCGTTTAAACAGTTTCTCAGCAGCCTTTTGCTTGTTCGGCGTCAGCTTATAGAGAACTTTTGCAACGCTGGGGTTGTTGGCGATTCCCCTCTCTTCAGCATCTTCATCCACTGCTAGCAGCGAGTGGCACCGTAGCTGCCGCTTGGTGTGTCCGTGAGCTTGATCGGGCCCGTGAAGACTGTACGAGGGAGCAACATTGGCGATGGTGGTGTCCGCCCCCGAGAGCCCACAGGCGCATGCTAAGAGAGCAATCACGACGACCAACAATTTGGCGCTGCAGGACCGTTGGGAGTCGGCCGGCATGTTGGAAATGAGATTACCGGTACTACCTGCAACTTGGGCGGCGAATTTCAAAGTGGCAGTCATAGCACAGTTCGGCTCTGGGTGCCCTAAACTTCACACCCAAGTAAGTATACGGTGACCAACCAATCCCATTTAGCATCTTCAGTATGACGGTATCACTTGATGAGATCCATGGTTGATGAGATCACTGGTTGCAGTACTCATCACGCAAAGTGTTATCTTCAAAGTTGTATGGAGGGAGCCTTTCGTTTTCTACGCTATGCATTGTGAGAAAGGAAAGTCAAAATTGGCACTGTACAGTCAACGACAGAGTCCTAACGCAACCTACGGCTTGTGAACAACAGCAAGTTGCTGCTGACATACTCTCGCAATTGGTGGCCCGCCTTGTGGAGGAGTACCAGAGCTCCGCCAGCACGTCACAAGAGCTCATAAAAAGCGTAGTGCCTGCAATGCATACTGTACAGTACTTAAGTAAGTACTGTAGATAGCAACAACGTTGATGGTTCACTGTTCCATCGTATGACGGCAACGAAAACATGATGATCTGCATTCGACAAAAACGTTTCGTATCGTTTTAAGCTGATGTACATTACAGTCATTTAGAGTCCCTAACGACCTAGAAAATGCCTGACCCTCTGATGCTTACAGATCATCTGAGGGTTAGCTAGTTACCGCTACTGGTGCCAGCAAATGCGTACCAGCTAAGGTGCGCCACGACGAGCGGAGGCCCGGCATCCGTCCTCCTGATCCGGGTGAGTGTCCATCCAGTGATCTACGTACGCTTGGAGGGGCGCGATGACTGATGCCCAGCGCGAAGGCAGGCTTGCTACGTCTGCAGCGGTTACCTGCGTGCTCTTCTTGGTGTCCATGGCCAGGTTGGCTAATCCGTCCGCCGTCTTGTTGAAGTGGCGTAAACGATGAGACCAGGAGGACATCATCAGTCGATCCGCTAGTAGTCGGCATTGTGTATACAGCCCTTGTAGGTGCTTGGCTCGAGGCGTTTTCCGCTTCCGTATTGTGTGTTCTGTTCCAAATTTCCGCGGGCGGTTTGTTGAACCACCCGAGCCAAATCTCCGGCCAATCTCCGGGGCCACTAGGATTGGTTATAAGCGCCCGTTTAAGTACGAATCGGGCTTGACATGCGAACCATATGGTTTGGGCCGGGAGATTAGGCAAACGACTTGAGTTTTGTATTTGGCGATTGGAGCGGGGTCTCCGAACCGCCGCGATTTGGGAAATTTGGCCGGAGTTCACAATAACTGCGTGAGAGTGAGATTGCTGTCACCGACGACGTGTACTCCCAACAGCTTGCACCTAGCAGCATACCGTAGTCGGTTAAGTAGCCCACGATATTCAGCGATGTTGTTAGTCGTCTTTAACGCGTAAGAGACGCTAGCCATCCACATCACCCGGGGCGTGATCGTCGCCCCGTCCAATGCACAATGACCGTTCCCGCACCGCCTGGCCCTGAGTTTCCGCGAGATCCACCGTCGAAGAATAGCAAAGTGCGCTTGGCACCAACAGTCGGATGGGGGATATGTGCCGTCTCCGCCGAGGGCGATCTCAACGCCAAGTGACAGACACGTGCAGCCGCGACCAAAGGCAAAGGCGCATTCATTGCCGTGGTGTTGATCCTGATTGTCAGGTAGGCCGCTCGAAGCCTGCTATGTAGTACCGCAGCCGCCCGTGTTGCCGTCGCATCTTCTACCGGGTCCCGATACAAACAACGCCGTCGCCATATCCCTTGGAGTGTAGTAACTACTCTGAGGCGCCAACACTGATTCAGGATAGTGTAGATGTCTATCGACAGTGATAGTCTCGACCCGCATGCCGGGTCGAGACGCCCTCGTGAAGGAGACGATTCGGACGCTTCAAGCTCGAAGCGTTTGCGCGGCGAGAGCGAAACTCCGCTCTCCGCTGCTGGGGCTTTAAGCTCTCCACGTAATGTGGCGCCTTCAAGCTCTCCGCGCGCTGCTCAGGCAGCGCGCGATCCGTGGATGTCGTCTGCGTCAGAGATCGCAGACCGTGTGGGCAACACCGTGCCTCCAAATGAAATTCCGCTGAACGTATGCAGCGGGATCCACGATGATGCTGTGGCGGAGGAGCAGCACTTTGATCCGTTAACGAATCAAAGGCGCGATTATTACATCGGGCCCTTCCACGAGCTCCGATACTTCTCCACAAGAAGACTTCTTCTCGCAGCAAAGTGCCTGAGTGGCAGGCACTTTGTCAAAGTTGGAACGCTTTTGTTGAGAACTTCAACAAGAAGCCGAATGCTTACTGCGAGCGGGTTAAGCATGCCCGTGAACGCCTTGAGACATTTTCGACGCGCAGGAGGCTGGGGCAGCTCCACAGATCCTCTGTGGACGCTGGTATTCGATGCGCTGTGCCCGAAGGCCAACAGTGCACGTTGTATCTTCCGGGTGCGGCGCGCTTGAGCGAACGCGACCAAAACGGGTACACGACGATTCGTGTACCTGCGAGTCTCAAGGATCTCCGTGTCGAGTTCTTGGCACGCGAGGAACGCGACGATCGCGAAACTCCGGGCGCTGCAGGTAACTACAGCGCTCGCACTACATTCGCGCCGGTAGTGCGTGGTGAGCTTCGTACGCCCTCACCATTTCCAGAACGTCCTGCAGCAGGACGTCCCGCGGCTCCCATGTATCTTGGTGGGGCGGAAACCCTCTCCAACGAATACGATAACGAACCGGCTGCCAGTTCGTTTTGGGATACTATGGTTCACAATACGCTCAACAATCCAGCGTGTTGAGCCGCGGGTGTCGCGGATCGGAGGCGGCGGCGGTGGGAACTCGCCCCGGGTATGGTCAACCTGGGGTTGACCTTGGCCCGACGCTCGAGGAGCGGGTCGCTGCTGTGGAACGGCATCAGAGCCGGGAGTTCGCCGCTCTGAAGCAGGAGGTGGCGATCCTACGGGCTCAAGTCGCTCAGGGTTCGCAGACCACGTCGGACATCTCTGTTGACGTGGGAGGTCGCGTCGCACGCTTGGCCCAGCGCGTTCACGCGCTGGAGCAGTGGTTCGCTCCCGCTGGGGCTTCCGCTTCGGGCCAGCCGAGCTAGGTGGCTCGTGCTGCCGGCATGGCTTCAGCCGTCCGACGTAAAAGGTCGGATGGAGGCGCACGCTAGATGTAATATCTAGCGTGTAGGCGTTGCCATGCCGTGCCAACACTGTGACCGGCCCGATGAAGCGCGGAGCGAGCTTGCTCGCCCCGAAGTCGGAAATTGCATGTTTAGGCAGGTTTTGAGTTACTAACAAAACCAATGAACCCTTCTTGAATTCATTAGTGTTGCCCCTACCAACATTGTCTGCGTTCAGCTTCTGTCGGTGGACAGAAGCTGCAATAGCGTCTTGGACAAACCGAATGACGGCTTGTCTGCGCTGCACGAAGTTGATTGCGTCCGAGCTGAACTCGTTCAGCTCGTTTCTAGCAGTAGGCCCGGCCTCTGCGTTCGTCTTCGCGGTGTCTGCGCCCTGCACAGACCCGTTCTTCTTCTTCTTCTTCTTCTTCTTCTTCTTCTTCTTCTTCTTCTTCTTGCTCTTGTCGGCGTCTGTGTCCTGCACAGACGGGTGCTGCTTGTTCTTCGTGCGCGTAGTCGCGGCTGACACTGTGCCAGTGTCAGCGGCATTCTGCGGCTGCTGCGTTGCAGTCGTAGATCCTTCCCCACTTAAGGAAGGAGCCACCATCCCGAGTAGACTCGGGAGGCGTGGGTGCCTGATGGCTTTCACGTAGAACGCTGTATGCCCGGTCGAGGCATGCACCGAGTTGTTGATGGCGAACTTCGCCATCGGCAGGCACTCGCTCCAGTGTTGGAACGAGTGAGCGTAGCTCTTAAGCACGTCTACGAGCACGCGGTTCACGCGCTCGGTCTGCCCGTCCGTCTGCGGATGGTCCGCAGTCGACATCGAAAGTTGACTCCCAAGAAGTGTAAACACTTCTTGCCAAAGGTGTGCAGTGAAGCGCGGGTCTCGATCCGACACAATGTCGATCGGCATGCCATGGTGTTTGAACATCATGTCAACGAACAGACGCGCCGTCTGTTTCGCAGTCACTTCAGCGGGTAGCGCAGCAAGATGTACCATCTTGCTGAAGCGGTCAACAAAGACCACAACGCCCGTGTTCCCCTGGCTGTCCGGGGGAAGACCGAACACGAAGTCCAAAGACATGGATTGCCAACACTCCGACGGAGTCGGCAGTGACTGCAAGGGAGCCTGCGCGAAAGGCACAGGCTTCACACGTTGACAAACCTCGCAAGCACGGTCGTACTTGCGCACCCATTTATACGGGTGGGCCCAGTAGAAGTCCCGCGTGTGAAGTAGGTATGTCTTCTCACGGCCCGGATGCCCCGCAGTCGGTGCATCGTGATACTCATACATGATCGTGAGTCGCAGGTCATGGTCATTGGGCACGACAACGCGGTCCGCGTTATCGTCGACTGCACTGTAGAGTAATAACCCGTTTTCGCGCAGGCTCCCTTGCAGTCACTGCCGACTCCGTCGGAGTGTTGGCAATCCATGTCTTTGGACTTCGTGTTCGGTCTTCCCCCGGACAGCCAGGGGAACACGGGCGTTGTGGTCTTTGTTGACCGCTTCAGCAAGATGGTACATCTTGCTGCGGTACCCGCTGAAGTGACTGCGAAACAGACGGCGCGTCTGTTCGTTGACATGATGTTCAAACACCATGGCATGCCGATCGACATTGTGTCGGATCGAGACCCGCGCTTCACTGCACACCTTTGGCACGAAGATGCTTCGGCAGCTTCTGACAAGCTTTGTCAGAAGACGCTGAGCCATAGGCCAGCAAGCGCTTTGCGTCCGCGTCGTGCGCGTACGCGACTTTCACGTCGTACAACAGTGACGACGTTGGGGTGCTCGATCGCATGGCATCAATGCCATTGACGTCGGCATCCGTCGTGGCGTAGTCAGGTCGACGCGAAAGCGCGTCGGCCACCACATTGAGTCTTCCGGGTTTGTATTCAACCCGGAAGTTATACTCTGCGAAGAATGAGAGCCATCTCGCCATCCGTTGCGAGATGTGTGGCGACTTCACAGCCGTCCGCAGCGACGCGTGGTCCGTATAGACCACGAACGGTTTGCTTCCGAGTAGATACACTCGGAACTTCGCGAGTGCGTACTTCATGGCAAGGAGCTCCTTGTCATGTACCGGGTAGTTACGCTCAGCGGGCTTCAGCTGACGCGATTGGTAGTAGACGACCCGATCACGGCCCTCGTGATCGTGCTGCATCAACGCACATCCGATTGCGAAGTCGGATGCGTCGCACACAACGTGGAATGGGCGATCTTGGTCGGCCACCGCCAAGATCGGCGCCTCCGTCAAGCCCCGCTTGACTGCATCGAAGGCCTGCTGACACTCAGCAGTCCAAATCCACTCGGCGTCCTTCTTCAGGAGGTGTGACAGCGGGCGAATCGTGCCCGCGTAGTCTTTCACGTACTTGCACAAGTACGTGGCCAAGCCAAGGAACTGCCGCAGTTCCTTGACGTTCGACGGCGTCGGCCACTCATTGATCATTCTGACTTTCTCAGGGTCAGGGCGGACACCGTTCTTCCCAACGAGACACCCGAGCACGGGTATCTCGCTCGCCCCGAAGATACACTTCTTCAGGTTCGCATAGAGCTTGTGCTTCCGCATAAGCGCAAGCAGCTTCCGGAGATGCACCTTGTGCATCTCAACATCGCTCATCCCGTCCGCAGCTCGGCTGCGGACGAACACATCGTCGAAGTAGCTCGGTGCGAAGTCGCGCACCGAGCGCAACAAGTGCGTCACGCACCTGTTGAAGGTCGCAGGGGCGTTCTTCAGACCCTGCGGGATCACTAACCACTCCCAGAGCATGCCGCTCGGCATGCTCACTGCCGTGAGAGGGATATCGCTCTCACGCATGAGGATCTGATAGAACCCATCGCGCAGATCAAGAGCACTGTAGATAGTGCTCCTGGCCATCGAATCGATGATGACATCTTTTCGCGGTATCGGTGTCTGCGCCGGTATCGTCGCATCGTTCAGCTTGTTGTACGCATGAACGATGCGCCAACCGCCCTGTGGCTTCTTGACACAGAACGTCGGAACACTGTGCGGGGATTTCGATTCCCGCACTTGTCCAGCTTTGCGACGACTCTCAAAGAAGTTGTCGATCGCCTTGACCTGCTCTCGCGGCAGTGGCCACTGCCACGTGACACAGTACTTCGTGCTCGGAACGAGATTAATCTCGTGCTGGATGCCCTTATCCTGCGGAAGCTCCGCAGGGATCTCTTCCGGAAGCACGTCCGCGTGCTCCCGTAGAATCTCATAGAAGGAACTCGTCTTCAGCGAGTCCCAGCTCTGCTCCTCAGAGCGCTTCTTCTTAGTCTTCGCGCTGAGAGTGTCCTCGCTTTCAGTGGTGCTCTCCATGAAGAACTGCCTCAGTTCTTCATTCTCGCTCTTCGTTCTCTCGGCATCCGAGACAATGCATATTTGCTCGATGCGTCCATCGTGCAAGTCACGCGCGAAGCGCTTCCAGCTCATGACTGGAATCAAAGTCAACTCCGACGCCTGCGTCGGAGGGTTAGCGAGAGTCATCTCCCTGTACTGGAACCCGGCACAGGTACGCGTCAAGACGTTCAGCGTCTCGACGTCCGGCTTCTCAGCCTCCGTCTGCCCGGCAGGCATTTCTTGTAGCGTCTCGGCCCTGGGCCGAGACTTGCGCAGCGACCTACGCATGCGCCGTCTTCTTGTTTTGCGGAGCCCGGCTCCGCTTAGTTCTTGACCTCGTCCAGGCCCAGCCGTGGACGGGTGTTCTTCTTTAGTACCGCCGGCGGGTCCATCCCGCGGGCGAGCGACTTCAAGCCCGGCTTGGTCGCCCGGCGCTTCGTCGTCCAGCCCGGCTGCACGACAGCATGCAAGTTTTTCCAGTGCGGGACGTTTGCAACCATCCGCACCGCCTGCAGCGTCGGCTCTCACGCCATCCTTACCTCGACGCCTGTTATTGGCGGAGACCCCCATTACGGAGGGTGCATCGGCTCCCCGAGCCGACGAATCAAATCCACCCAATCCATCGCCTCCCGGAGTCGACGGCGTTACGTCACATTATTGGCCAGACCTGATCCAATCAGATTCGCGTCAGCCTCCACGGCTGAGGCGTGTGACTCGCCTGCGTCAGCCGTGCCCCTTGAGGCCGGGGACACTTCCTGATTCGCTGAAAAGCGGGTGTCGACCTCCGACGTCAACACATTTCCTTCATTAGCTGTCGGCGGCAACACCGACGCTAGCTGCTCTTGCGCGCGTGCTCGCGCGCGCTCAGGGCGCTCCGGGACAGCGGCATTAGGCGCTGGCTCGAGTGGGGAGTCGCGCGCACCTGTCGGTGCGTGCATAGCGGCAACAGGGTCATCGCTCACTGTTCCGCTGTCGCGACCGAAGCGCACGAGAGTGGGCTTCTCCCAATCGATGACCGGATCATGCCGTGCAAGCCACGGCATGCCCAATACAATGTCAAACTTATCGTCCAGATCCAGGACGATAAAGGTCTCGACAAACTCTTGATCTTCATACGTGAAGCGCACGCGTACCATGCGCTTCTCGGTCTTCACGACGGCACCCGTTGCCAGTCGTACTTCCAACATACTTCGAGGTATCTTTAAATCCTCGAAGTCAAGCCTTGATAGCCTTCGCAGTCGAACAAAGTTCTTCGACGCGCCAGAATCTACTAACGCACGGAGAGAGCCGCTTGCTTTCATCGAGTTCACGTTCAGGATGACAAGGTCATGCTTGTCATTTTGGTTCTTGCAGTGAGAATGAATCTCACTCGAGAGTTCCATGGGTTCTGGGCCTCCCGTCCTCACTACCGGGCGTTGCTGTGGCCTCGGCACATGTGCATGCAGCTTGGCCTGCCGCAGGCTAAACTCCTCTTGCATTGCAAGAGTAATTGCAGCTTTGAGAATACTCGGGTACTCACGGAAGAGATAGGTCTTCACAGGCCCATCTCTCAGCCCCTTCCTGAACGTGACGACCTTGCTCGCCTCGTCGATCGGATTGGTCACGATGTTCGATACCAAGTACCGTGCTCTCTGAGCGTAAGCATGGGCATCATGCTTGCCCTGCTGCAGGTCGAGGAACTCCGCCCTCGACCGGAACTCGTTTTGCGGTGGCTCAAACGCTTGTCTGAGCTCTTTCTTGAAACCCTCGTACGTGCTAAAGCACGTAGGATCCGAGAGTCGGCGCCATACGCCCAACTTCTTGCACGTCCGCCAAGACATGACATGGCGAAGGCAACCTTCGACAACGGGTCGACGATACGTCGAGCCGCAATGGTAGTGTCGAGTTCGACAAGCCAACGGAGGAGAGGTTCACCCTCTCTTCCGACATAGTTACTCACATTGAGCTTTAGCGATTGCGCGCGTGGTGTCGTCACGGACGGCACAGCGGTAGTAGCAGCAACATCGCGTTGCTCCTTCAGGATAAGACCCAGAGCAACACCGTGTTGCTCTGTCGGCGTTAGCGTACGCAGCATCGTAGCTACAGCCGCCTCACCAAAGACTGTTGACAGTCGTTGCAGGGCCTCCCACTCTGGATCCGACAGGTGGGGACAGTCAGCGCGTGCAACGTGCGTTGCAGGCGTAGTGGAGCTTTCCATGAGCACCTCTGTATCCATGGGAAGGTTCTCAGCCGCGTTCGTACGGTGACGTATGAACTCAGGTAGTCGGTCGTTGGACGGACTACAAAGTGCTACCAGGTGTAGTGGGCCTACTTTGGGTCACTACTTTAGCTTACACGTGTGCGCACGTCTACGAGGAAGCGTAGCTTGGTTTAAATTAGAGTTAATTATACTCGGACCTCCGAGTATAGATTAATCTAAATAAACGATCCAAATAATGTTTTGGGTTAAAATGAGAACTGCTATTTTTGTTTTATGTTTCTGACTTCCTCTAAATGTAATATTCTAAGATAGGAATCTGCCATCGGCTGGTTGGCAGAATTACAATGCTATGCATGTCGCTCATTGGCTAGAAGATGTTGCTCTCAGTCAATAGGAGTCCTAAGTCTCTATGGACCACCCGTCGTGGTAGTCGTAAATGTATGTAGCCGTTGGTGTGTCTACACCAAGGTCGAGAAAGTCTTTCGAACCTCTAACAGACGTCGTGTCTGCTAGAGTTACAAGTGACTGTAGCCACTTGTGCGTGTAATCCTGTTACATGTGTGAGGTGTTAACCGCAACCTGCAGGCACTCGGCAATTGGGTACACTGGCAGTCTGCGCGTTGAGTCCCACCAGGTGATGCATTCGACAAAAACGAACTGAAGGCATCTGAGACAAGCTCACCACATTCGATGGTGACTGGCGCGCTCTACGGTGTAAGAGCGCGCCAGTCGCTATCGGATTAGGGGCTGGTCAAACTACGCGGTTTTGACTCTGTCTGTTTTTTGTCCAAAATGATCAAAACATAGGCACTTTACTCAAAACCCGAGAACCACCTCGGCGATTGAGTTCTCGGGTTCTTGGCGAATAGGTGCATGCTGTGTGTGGTGCGGTTTGAACTACCCGTCGCCTGTGGCAGGCAACGTGCTGTTGAAGATGTCATCGTTAGTATCGTCGATCAAGAAGTCGATGCTGCTGCGCTCATGAACGTGCTCACGGAGGTACCCGCCCGTGAGCAGCGACGTTGCTCGAGCTTGGAGGGGCTTGTCTGACTTCCGCCGCTGCAGGAACGGCATGGCCGCCATGGACCGATGGCGACAGCAGTCGCGCATCTGCTGCAGCAGCAGCACACGCTTGAGCTTCCGCTTCTGCGTGTAGTCACGCTTGAACGCGCGATTGAAGGTCTCGCAGGGGCTATTAGTAGTAGCGAACCCCGTAGGCGTAAGATAGCACTACCAGTTGCTAAAGTTCCCCTTTATCCACAGCTTCTTCATGTATTCGCGGAACGCATCCAGCTCGGGGCGCTTGTTCCACTCAAACAGCACTTTCTCCTTGCGTGTCAAGTACTCCACTTTAGTAAGCGAGAAGTGCAGATCATAGGTATCACTGGAGACCTCGGCCCCCACGTCGCCGTGAACCCCACTCATGCGCTCCTTCACGGCAACCCGTACTGTTGCGATCACGTGGTAGAAACCATGAGATACGTGTACGTGCAGTCGATCCCAAACACGCTCTGTACGGCATTGATTTGAGCAACGTCGGCACCTGCCATCACATAGCGCACACGCATTGCCTCACCAGCCACTTGCGCGTACACAGTCCGCAACGCGGTAAATGCATCGGTAAAGTGCCTCTCTTCCGGTTGCGACGTAACGAAGAGAGCCAAAAGGTGAAACGCTCGCGATCCATCTGAGAGGCCGACGCCGATGACTGGGTAGCTGAGCCGGTCCAGCTGAAACGTCGCATCCACATGCAGAATGACGGAGGCCGGGTCGCAGTTGGCCGATCGCAGGAGTGCCTTCGTCGTAACGCCAGCAACAAAAGGGTGCTTGTCCGAGCCGTCCCCCGTAATGCACTTGCCGCGGGCATCCGTATCGCGCGTAAAGGTAACGGCATCATGCTCGGCTTCGCTGCCGGTAAAAGAATGTGCAGCCACGTGGGCAGCAACGTCGCAAACGGAATCATTGCCGCCGAGCTTAGTGCGCCGGTAGTGGCTCACACAGTTTTGCACCTTGCGAAGCTCAGGTAGATCTTCTAGGCGCAGTCCAAACTTGCGCGACATCGTATGCAGAATGTGGAGCGGCGTGAGGTTCTCGCATGTCGTGGATGAACGCGCGTTGCGCCCGTGTGATAGTGGGCTTCCGGCGAGGATTCGCCGCCGAGAAATGCTTACCACGCTCACTCATGGTCACCGTCTTCGATTCTTGGTAGATCAGCACCTTGGCACGCCACGGGCACTTCGCGAACGGGGCCACCGCCTTGCACTGCTTGCACTCACACAGCAGATTCTTGTACCGCATCAAATGCACGATGGCGGAGGCGCACGCGGTGCAGGGCATGAGCTGTCTCCTGGATGCCTTGAAGGCCTTCATACCCGGAAGCAGCGTGTCCGCATCATGTTCGGAGATCTCACTGCAGAGCGGTTGCCAGTCGTGCGAGGTGGGCACAGTGGCGAGAGGGGAGGAGAGGGGAAGTTAGGTGTTGGGGGGCGGTACTTTCGGGAGAATCGGGAAGTAAAGGCAACAACCCCGTCCTGTAGCTTTTGCCCACCTCACGCTTTGTGCAAACCTGCCGGTTTTGTGCTGCTCCTATATTTGTTGTGCTGGTCAGCCTCTATCACTGTTAGTTACAGTACTAAGTATTGTGCTTTGCAGACTTTTTGGCACTTCAGACTGTAACTCGTACGACTTATCGAGCACGACTTAAATCGTACTAAGTACTCGAGTACGAATTGCTATAAGTCGTGGATGGTCAAGGAGCACTAAGTAGTGCGCATATGTCATCTCCTGCAAGATTTAGCAAGCTGGATTAGCATCCTTTTGGCACTTTTAGAAAGTGCCATTTCCGAGCCAAACTGGCTTCGAAACACAACTTGAGCAACTCGCATTCAAAGCCACTATGATTTACGAATACTAACTAGTGCAGTAATTAGGAGGGCAAACTGGTTGCAAAGCACAATACTTACTTGTAGAAGTTTTCTCGCGGGAGAACGAGGCCCATTCACGAATTTAACATGCGTATATTGTGCTTTGCAACCAGTTTGCCCTCGGTGTTCGTACTTAGTGGTAAATCATAGTGGCTTTGAATGCAAGTTGCTCAAGTTGTGTTTCGAAGCCAGTTTGGCTCGGAAATGGCACTTTCTAAAAGTGCCAAAAGGATGCTAATCCAGCTTGCTAAATCTTGCAGGAGATGACATATGCGCACTACTTAGTGCTCCTTGACCATCCACGACTTATAGCAATTCGTACTCGAGTACTTAGTACGATTTAAGTCGTGCTCGATAAGTCGTACGAGTTACAGTCCGAAGTGCCAATACATGTACGTTATGCATTTGAGTCTTCACGAAAATCGGCACAAGTGCTATATATAAGGTTTAAGATTACTAAGTGTATGTAGGACTTCGCGGGGGCTGATATAGCAGAAATACAAAGTGACCAACGCAAAGCTATGACAGGTAACCAAATTATTAGGAAACCGGCCCAGTTCTCATTAAGAAAAAAATAAAAAAGGTACATGTTTGTGGAGTTAAACAACTTTTAACTATTTAAGCTAATAGAGATTTATTTATATATTTATTGCGGTTTAGTCGGCTAACTACACCCGATACTGCGCTCTGCTGCAGCCTCGCCTACGGATCGCATGTTGGAACAACACGCGCCCACGGTAGTCGCCCATACATGACAGCACGGATCACACAGTCGCAGAGACTGCGTCGCCAGTGCTGCCCAGGTCATATGCATATATCCAGTAAAGTAAAGACCTTGACACCAAACAAGCTAGGTCGCGCCGTTGGTACCAAGTTGGTGATTTCGTTGCTCATGCCAGCGTTCGCCACGCTCATAAATCTGGTCTCTTCGTTCTTAAAGGCGGCGGGACAGTTGGCTTTGAGTTCGTTGAGCCTATTGCTGACGTCTCGTCTTGATTCCCAGGTTCACATCCCTCAAAAGCGTTTGGCAATGCCGTTGAGATCGTTCATTAGCATCAATGGTGCAGCTGTACTCCCAGTACTCTCGGAGGGTAACCCAGGTACTCAAGAAAATCGACTCATGCAACACCTTTGCCTGCCCCATAGTATAGGACACTGCCTCTGACCATACTTTGCTTCCTTTCGTCATAGTGGGGTACCGTTGCCATCCTTTAGGGGCTTCGCAGACGGCTAGCTGAAGGCGATCCAACTGCTGTCGAACCGTAGTCCACCACGTGGGTTGTTGAGCGTTCTCGTTATCATGACCAAACCAGTCAAAGCAGGGATGTCGTCGTTGACTGCCGTCTCGCTCCTCCACTGGTGGCAGGTCAATAATCCATTCATCACTGCCGAGGGCCTGCTCCCAATACGACTTCGAATTACTTGAAATAGAGGGTGCATTTCCGTTCAGTGTGAAAACAACGATTAGAATAGTGCGTTCATTTGTTTGGAAGACGTCTGCCATGGTGCAGCTACGCCGCTGCACAGCGAATGCCTCAGTACGCATTGCTAGCTGGCTTGCCGGTATTTTCACAGTCCAAACACAGTCGCTTGTCTCAAGTATCATGTGCCCTGGTGAGCCAAAGTACGTCACGACCCAATACACCAGTAGGGATTCCCCACTCTGACTCTCATAGCTGCGCTGGAAACTTTCCCACCATTCTTCAGGGCGAGGAAGGTAGATATCATCTATCCACCAAGTAGTGATTTCACGTGGTGGCGATAATCCCATCAGGCCCGGAAATTGATCGAAACAGATACTGCGCTCAAATGAAATAGCTGACCAACCGGGGGTCCACTGGGTGAGGCACGCGTGATATAAGCCAATCTGTGTGTGATAGCACCTCACCGCCTCTATCAGCCCCACAGGTATCATGCATCGCGAAGATCCCCGTGGTCGATTTGATTCGACTTCATTTCCCAGGAGCTGGAGAAATCTGGGGTCTTTAGACTGCGCGGCAGGATCTCCTAACCAGTCAAGCCATTGAGGGTTTAACCACATGCCATTGTCTGCTCGAATCATCGTCAGCCATAAAAATTTGCTAGGTTCGTTTCCACACCAGGGTCCCCGCTGCTCGAGGCCACACGATTTCCCAATGTCGTGAGCTATAGCAGGTACTTAGTAGTAGTAGTAAGTAGTAGAAAAATATCCTGATCCGGTACCCATTGCCGGGATATTAACGAGCGATGCAAAGTTGTTAGCTTGGCGGTCAATTTCTGAACATGTTCACACTCGGGTTCAATGAGTCCAAAACGATGGTCTTGTGTGTCAACTTCGTCGCACGTGGCGCATGAAGCCAACCATCTACTATCAAAGCGATTCTTGACGGCATTGGTGTGTAGTACATTGGACCGAGCTCTCCAGTAAAATCTTCTTAGCGATTCTGACCATTTTCCGTTGTAAATCATCCCAATTTCTCCGTTTTGCAATTCTCTGCTGTTGGTGCTGTATCCAACGTCGGTACTGGTCTTCGTAACTGCGGCATTTGAGGTAGCGCAGCGTATTTCCAAAAATCAATGCCCCCTCTTCGTCTACAAGCATGAAATTATCAAACGCTAGTCAGGCTGCATATGAAGGCATCATATCCATGTGATGGCTCCGCCCTGCGGCAAGATCCACGCACGCCAGTGATTTTCGCTGCTGCCGTAGCGATTCATCTGTTGTGAACAGGGGCGGACCCAGAACCAAAATCTGAGGGGGGCCGGGCCAAAAACAGGGGCTCAAAAATAGTGGAGTACCGTAGCATCTTAGTCCTAGGCGTCACTGCACAAGCACTGATTGCAAATCACAAGCGTCACCAGCTGACTGGCAGTAAATATTTGATGTGCAGTCAGTGACTGTACATCAAATATTTATCAAAGCATGTATTTCAAATTAGCTTGCACTGCTAATTATTCGTCTCGCTACCGTCGCTGTCGTCACGGCCGCCACCGACATGTTCGCGGTGCTGCCGCTGCTGTGACGCAACTGCGGCGTGCCCGACCTCAACATCCGCATCGGCGTGCACTCGGGCCCCGTGCTCGCTGGCGTCGTGGGCAGCAAGGACCCGCGTTAGCACCTGTTTGGAGAGACTGTGAGCATCGCGCACTTCTTTGAGAGCAGCGGCGTGCCCGGCCGCACCCACAGCAGCGAGAACACGTGGGCCAGCATGAACAAGGAGATGAAGAAGGTGACGCCAGGCCACGGCCTCAAGGTCGAGTACCAAGCGGTGCTCTCCATCAGCGGCAGCTCCAAGAAGCTACGCATGTGTGATGGGAGCGTCCCCAATAAGATCCAATAGAGACTTTGAGCCGACCACCGAGAACCTTCATCTTCTGCGCGTAGCTTACCGGCACGCGTAGGTACGTCTTGCTTTTCTTTCCTTTCTTGTCATTTCCCTTGATTCATGGGCGCTCCGCCGCGGAAGTTCCTTGGCGGCCTTCGAGTGTGCTGGAAAGCCTTGTTTTAAACGGAATAGAGCCTAATAATAAAGTCATGTGTAATGTAGCCATATGTAAAAAATGGCAGTCCTACTGGTCAATTTACAACTGACCCTCAGGAGTGAACGACGCCTAGGACTAAGATGCTACGGTACCTCGATCCGACAGCTCAGAAATAGGGGGGGGGGGTAAGTGTGATGTCTTCCCAAAATCTGGGGGGGGGGGGGGGGGCCGGTGCCCCCTGTAGGTCCGCCCGCCCCTGGTTGTGAACTCTCCTTCTTGGTGCGAGCGAACCCAAACGGCTATCATCGACCCATGTGCAGTCATGGCACTGCTCAGCGTAAGCTAATATAGAATTCAAGCGTAATCTAGCACAAAACAAAAAGATATTTTGCCCTGAAGGGTTTGTAGCAGTTATTTGTGTTCGAATAGCATCCCAACAAGCAACATCTTTAGAGTTTAGTCAATAGTTTCAAGTTGACGCAGCGCACGAGTTTAAATGAAGTTTACGTACTCGGAGAGCACATTACTCATTACTCGAAAGTCTGCGAAATGTACTCAAAAGTAGGATAACCCCTCGACAACAGGTAACAGTAGCTAATAGCTACTAGCTGTTAATTTGATCTGCTAGTGATAGTGCAGCAAACATACAAACGCGTTTTGCAAACAACACCGACTGTAAGTAAGTGTGTTGTGAAAATCACTAACATGTTTGCGGAGTAAACTAGGTTAAACTAGACATGCTGTCTACACAGCTCAACGGGTAAAGATTGCAGGCGATGGTTGTTCTTGAGTGGATTTCACCTGTGGCGGCTATAAACAAACCGCAGCAACTTTACCTCGTCGTTTCCCGCGTTGTATCGAGTGAGGCATTTGTGATAACGACTCGATAAAAAAAATGCCCAATGGGCCAAATTACCATTGCGGAGGCGACCCATCTTCGCGCTCCAAGTGACGAGACAGTCAGTTCATCCAGGCATCTGCATTAAATGCAGCCAATATATATTGTGCCATTCATCACTTGCAACTAATAGAAAGAGGTTTCTCTGCACGATGGCGGATTCATCCGTTCGGAGATGACTCCACCGCGGCGCCGGGGTCCAGGAGTCAATCTCCACAATAAAGACAGCGTACGGTACTTCAGGCATACGAACAATGTCAGCAATGTTGCAGGATGTCAATGCCGTCAAACATGCTATGCTACGACCCCTCTGCGTGCATCAATCTAGCGGCGTACGCTGCGGAGCTCGTCCGATCTGGATGCTCAAGTACGGTACGCCAACTTTACATGTCGACAGGAATAATAGTTTACACGCCAACGAACCGATACATTTCTTTTGATTCAAAAATCGCCGATGACCAGAGGACAGTCCAAGCACTTCCGACATCAGCACTTCAACTTGGAAACTGCGTTATGTAATGTACCAGTAATGTGTACATTAAAGTTACGGAAATAAATTTCGGTAAAATACCGACCCGAACACCGCGCTATTTTGTCACTCAACAATAATGGTCACCGCGAGTACTCCCGCGTCTGGTGCGGCCGGCGCGCCGACGCCCACGAAGGCCAAGAGCGCGGCGTCTTCGCAGGCCGCGGCCCGCAAGAAGGAGGCGCGCAAGGCGCCACACGCCACCCCGGGCGGCACGAGCGTGAGCATGAGCAAGAAGGCGGACGGCGGCGGCGTGGACGCGCTCGGGGGCGCCGCGGGCCTCTCCAGCGGCGACCTGTTCGCGCGCAACCTGTCGGTGATGAGCGTGGCCCACGTGGCCAGAGGCGTGGGCTTCGACGCCGTGCAGAAGTCGGCGGCGGACGCCCTGACGGAGATCCTGGCCAAGTGTACGTAGATATATTACTTGCAATAATGGTGGTAAACTATCACTAACAAGTATACATCATGTATACACTTTATATAATTTACAGATATTCAACGCATCGGCGGGGCGGCCAAGGACATCGCCGAGCTGGCAGGACGCACTCAACCCAAGGCCACGGACGTGGTTCAAGCCCTGCAGGACCTGGAGCCGGCCCCCGTGGAGATTAAGGACCTGGTGAAGACTCTGGAGACGGCCAAGAGACCCTTCCCGAGAGATGTCCCGGCCTTCCCGGCCAGGAAGAGAGACATCTCGGGGAACACCATTGAGCAGGCCAAGATCGGACGACGAGAGGGGCTCCCACCTCACGTGCCGAGCTTCCTGCCCCCGCTGCCCAACCGCCACACGTACAGCTCCGAGAGTCGCCTGGTGGTAGACAGAGGGCAGGACACCAAACGCACGAGGCTCGAGCTGCTCAGTGAGAAGGCTCAAGTGCGGCAGTCGCTGCACGGCCTGCAGACTGCGGCTGCCAGTACGTGGATGTTGTGGGGGTTGTGGTGGTGTTACAGGAGGATAATGTCTGACTGGTGGATTTGTTGTGTTACTTTCGTCGTAGAAAAACCGGCCGTCATTGTGCACCAGCCGACGTGGAACGCCTTCCAAGGGTCTACTGGAGACAACGCCACGGAGAACCCGTTCGTGCAGGCGCCGATTGTCAGCCCGGTCGCCACGGTATATGTCTCTCTATCTGCCGTTGAGAATAATGGCGGGCTTGAAGCTAACGTGGTTTATTTTATTGTGTGTGTGTTTTGAAGGGCATCTTTGCTGGACCTGATCGCGACTTTGTGCCAAACGTTGACAGAGAGAAGGCGCAGTCGAAGAACCAGCTCGACAACAATGTGACCATCCCGAAGCTGTCCAAGTACGTATCCATTTTATTGGGTAGTGTCTACTCGTTGCTGACAACTTCGTTTTTTTTTTTTCTGCAGCCAAGAGCAGGGCAAGGAAGAGAAGATACTGTCCGGTACATTCCACGATGGTGATTCCGAATGATCGCCCAGTGGAGCGAGTGAAAAAATGCTACAGGTGTGTGCTTGCTAGATGCCCTTGTGTTGAGTTTCGATCGCTTCTGCTAGCTATTTCTCGCAGCAAACCTCTCTTGGTACTCGTCAATCAACAGGTTTCAACAAGAGGTTGGCTATCTGGAATGCAAATAATATTTAGTTGGAAGTCGTGCACGCTAACTCTTTGTGATTCGACCCTGTGCTTCATTTCGCGCCGTTCTTTCCACAAAGTCTAGACCACTTTGTCCTCAGAGCCGCTCGCGTTCGAGCGTGGGACATCGTCCATCTCGATCTTGGACAGGATCACAGGTCCAGTGACACCAGCGCCCACAATCATCGCCTTCTTACTCCGCTGGCTCAAGATCTTGTACACGACATAGCCGAAGACAATGATGATAAAGGCGCCAAACAGGCTCGAGACGACAGTCGGTGGGCCAAAGCCCTCGCCATTCGCAGTGTCAGCTAGCGCCATCGTGCAGCGTGGGCCGCCCCAGGCACCAGAAGATCCACAAACGCAACGACTTTTGCTGTTGCACGTGCCTGTCAGAATGTGCGAGGTGCTGACGGTGCAGTCGCGGTCCGTCTTGCAGTTCGCTCCGCCGTGGACTTCGATCCACTTGTTGTCAGCCGTCTCGTACTCGTCGATGTGGTCCTCGATCCACTGCTTGGTCGGGTGGGTGGAAGGATCACAGCCGACGGACATGGTGGAGCTGTCCGAGAGGTCCTGGTAGATGCGGATGTAGTCGATGGTCATGTACATGGGGAACCCGTCGCAAATCGCGTTAATCTTGGCGTCGCTGCCATCACCACGGCACGGGGATCCGGGGTTTGGAGGCACGGCGCCCCAGCTCGTGGACAGCGCGACGTTGAAGATGATGTACATGGGCTCCTCCAGCATCATCTTCTTCGGGTTGGACTTGGCGGCATCCTGCGGCATGTTTTCAATGCTCTCGGCTGGGATCTCGAAGATCACGACGTCCTCAAGCATCCAGCGGATGTACCCCTCGGACCCCATGACCCACTCGACCTGGTACTTGACGTAGCTCGTGTACGCCGCTAGCTGGACGGGCCAATTGGCCGAGATGGCGTCCATTTGGTACTCGAACGGCTCCATGAGGTATCTCTTGGACTCCTCCGCGCCGAGAGGTGACGAGCATTTCTTGTTGGAGCTGTCAGGGTCGCACAGGAAGGCCCCACTGTACCCGTTGATGACCGGCATGCAGCCTCCGACGTCGTTGACCCCCCAGTATCTCGTTCCTTCGCCGTCAATCAGCTCGAGATCCGAGTATCCGTCCTTGGACGCCGGACACGTGTTGACCCCCGTACACGTGTTGCTGGTGATGCCCTTCTTCATGTTGGCGATCACTGTCTCCGGGTTCTGGATCAAGCTGCCGTCGGGCGCGCAGAGCGTGTTGGGCGCGTACCGGAGCCCCTGGTACCAACTGTCGTGTCCTCGAGCGTCGTAGGTTTTCTTGGGGATGCCGGGGAAGTTGGCGCCCACCGTCGTGCAGTCCCCAGTGTAGACGCAGTACGCGCTCGTGTCGTTGGCAGCGGGAGGGATGATACGGAAGGCGTCGGGCATCCCGGGCGCGACCTGGATACTCGTCGAGATGGCGATGCCGCCCCCTTCCAGTAGATCGATCTCGGGGGCCCCTCTACCCTGGTGGGGGTTGAGGCCGTGGCCCGGACTACCGTCGCACGCGCTGATGCGTTGGCTCGAGCTGAGCTTCTCGTTGCACTCGTTGTAGCTCCAGGGCCACATGCGACTCGTGGACTGGGAGAAGAGCGCTCTACCCAAGTTCCCCATGAGCCAGATGCCGGGCCACGTCGGGTAGAACGCGTTGGTCTTGACGCGGGCCTTCTCGTTGCCCACGTCCGGGTTGCTGGAGCTCAGCGTGGCCGGTAGTTTGGCCACGGCCTCCATTCTACCGCCTTGGAAGCAGAACTTGTTCCAGGACTGCACCATGCCCGCGCGGTAGTACATGCTGTGCGTCTCGAAGCCCGCGGGCTTGGCGTACGTGTTCCACACCGTGTACGAGATGTTCTCCTCCTCCATGACCTTTATCCGGAACACGCCGCGGCCGTCCGACTCCGTCACGGTGTCCGTCATGTTGACGCTGTAGTACTCGAGGGCCGAGTTGACGCCGTCGGGCATCTCGAGGGCCGTCCACAGGTGGTCGTCGCCCGGCGAGAAGTTGCGGCCCGGCACGTTGAACTCGTCGCTCATGATGAGCGTCCACGTCTGACCGCGCGACGACGTGATGTTGTAGGCCGACTCGGGCGTGTCGACGTCCACCCAGGGGCTCAGGCCCGAGCGAGATGCGATGAACTTGTCGGCCCGCTCCGCTGCGGCCATGCTCGCGGCCAGCGCCAAGCTCAAAGCGCCCAGCACCAGCCCCGACTGCATTGGTGGTATCGTGCTGTATGTAGGACTATCGGAGACTTTGTGGGTCCGGGGCTGGAAATGGAGAATGAATCGAGCCACGCGGGACGAACGGCAAAAGGTCGCACGTGGTGCGTAACGGACACTCATCGCACGCGTGTTCGACTGTCCTCTGGCCTCATTGGCAGCGCTGGCCATCACCATGAGCACAACTTCTGGGTGCTTTGGTGTTTGATATGGGTTGGCGCATTGGGATGCCTGCCCATGAGCAGCTCCACGCTGCTGCTTCTAGCTGCGCGGTGCCCCATTTCATCACGTCCAGCATTGTGAGCACGTTCGCAACTTTTGAGGAAGCAGTTAGTGACGATGGTGTCGATTGCCACCACCGAAATCACACGCCAATACTGTGCCCTCAACTGTTCAGCGCTCTCCTGTACTGCAGACGCTTCTTCTCCCCTTTGAAAAGGATCATGGATCGACGGGCTGAGTTGAGGTGCTGTTGGCACTATAAGCGCTGCTGGGCAAGTGTCGAACGCTTCAGACGACGATCGAGCTCCTCAATTTAGGCCGAGCAAAGATAGCACCAAGCTCAGCGTTGAGAGCCTTTGCTCGTTGTCCGAGCCACACCTTGCCGGTCGGCGGCTTTCATGCACTGCAATGGCTGATCGATCACACCCGTCGACGCCGCGGTTCGCTCGAGGTTACACTCAGCCACCACAGCCGCGAGTGCCGGCGCCGTACACGGAGCTCGACGTCTTCCCTTCCCTGTCAGCGCGCTGGAATGGGGCCAACCAGCTCACGCGGAAACCTCCGCGCCGTCGTCGCGGCCTCGCCACGCTCCCGTTCGCCTTCACGATGCCGTCCGAGGTCGAAGACTCCTCTGCCTTCTCCCTCACGGCCCCTGCAGGATCCGCTTCCAACTTCTTGGATGCCCTGCGCGGTCGGACGCTGCTGGACTTGTCGTGTATGAGGGAGTTCTCGCTGCTGCGCACCAAGCCCATGCCCGAGCGGAACCTCTCGCGTCTGTCCGTCAGCTCCGCGTACAACATGCACACGGAGCAACTGCATCTCAAGCACCTCGCCAAGCCTCCTCAAAGTGCATCAAAAGATGACAGCACTCGTCGAGCGTCTCCAGTCAAGCAGGAACTGTCCGAGCTCCGTTCGCGAGTTGCCCACGCCCACAGGAAGATACTCCAGACAGCAGAACTCAGAGCCGCGCATTCTAACAACAATGCAGCTACTACTGCTGCTCCACGAACGTTCATCGCCACCCCACCGCCGACAAAACTCTCACCCAGGTCTCGTCAGCAACAGCAACAACAACAACAGCAGAAAGCTCGACCCGTGCAACGCCCCCGATCCGAGCCGGCTTCAACCAGCGCAACTCCTACAGTGGCCGAGCAGCACGGATTCCTCCAGGAGCAGGACCTGGCCGCGCTCATGGCGGCTACCGGCTATTCCCGCGCTGAGCTGTTCGCCCGGTGGGCTCGATTCAAGGCGCTGTGCTCCATGTCCAAGAACCCGCACGGCGTGGATAAAGAAACACTACGCCACGGCATCCCGCAGCTGTCGGTGGAGGACCAGTTCTTCGTTGATCGGGCCTTCGACGTGCTGGATAAGGACGGCTCTGGAGCGCTGGACTGGCCCGAGTTCATCGCTGCACTGAGTGCTCTGGAGAAGGGCGACGCCTCTCGCCGCGTCGACTTCCTCTTCCACGCGTACGACCTCAACGGAGACGGCTTCATCCAGCGACACGAAGTGCGGCTCTTCTTCTTGGCTAGTCTTCTAGTGCCGCAGACGCCCGAAGCTCTTGAGGTTGCACGCCATGTCGTCGACAAGATCTTCAGCGCTCTGGGCCGAGAACAGCACGACTCGATCCGTGTGGAAGACGCGATGGCCTATCTGCACGAGCACCCGGCCACAGACGCGTACAGCTTGCTGGGACGTACCATGGTCTCCAGCCCACCGTCGACACCCCTCGCAAATGCAAGGCGCTCCTCGACCCAACCCAAAACTCTCACCGACAACGAAATCAACGAAATACACGTAGGATGAACATAAGAGCCCGCAAGACTAGGGGGAAACAGGTTAATAGTGCCACTTGTTTCCCAAAAGTTAGCTTTATCACTCGTCAAGCTCGGACGTCGTGGGCAACACGTTTCGTCGAGGAGCTGCCATCGGCTGTCCAATGTCAAACAGAGCAAAGGTTAGGCAAGACGTTGCAGGGGATAGCGACACGAGAAAGCACGAGTGTTTACCTGTCGAAACAAGTTGGCCGCTTGCTCTTCCTGCTTTAGACGCCTGGCACTGGACGTTTCCTCCTCGTCTTCTTCGTACACGCACCGCTGAATCTTGCGGAAGTTGCGGCCTGAGGCGAAGTAGGGATTCCGGGACCGGGGTGGCGACCGGGTCTTGGCCTCCCACACTGCTTGCTTCGTCTTCGGCGGCGAACGCTTCCGTTGCGCTTGGGCCTTGGGTGGCGTTGCTTCAGAGGCGCGCTTCTCATTGTCGGCGCTGTTCTGGAACTTGAAAGCGACGTGTTTCCGGTGAGGACTTGCCTTGATAGGGGAGACCACTGGAATCATGGGCAATCGAACGTCACGGGCCGATTCTCCTTTGCCTTTAGCTAGTGCTCCTTTTGATGGCGGAGTAGCAAAAGAAGGCGGCGCTGACGTCCGGACAGGAGAAAACGGCATCTGCCCACCAGTACTCACCTCAGTCTCGTCCTGGTCATCCACACCATCGAAAGCTGTCTGGAAATGACAGCACAACTCGTCAGACCTCGGTAAGAATTGAGATAAAACAACGTCGTACCAGGCACTTACGCTGTAGTTGTGGAGCTGGAGGCGCGACTTGCGGCTTGGATTCCTTCGAGGTCCACGCTTTTCAACGCCCCTCACAACGGCGCTCACGCCCACCGCCAGCCGTGACGAGTCTAGTTGAGGTAAGTGAGCAAGAGTGGAGGCTGTCTGGATGGGGCGTCCGGGCGTCTCGGGTGGGGGTGTTGGGACTACGACAGACGCTCTGGGTCGCTTGATGGGAGAGCACATCGCCGCTGAAAGTCGCTCCTGCTCCTCCCGCGCGTGAGCGTTGCCGTCAGAGACTGTAAACGGCAGAGTGTCGCGCTCCAGCTCGAACTTGCTGCGTACAAAATTCGCCCGTCCTCGATGTTGTGCTGCACCCGCTTGGTCGTTCTGCTGTGGTCGTGTGGGAGACAGAGCGCCCGAATGTCCGTCGGATGTGACCCCCATCGTAACTACAGAGTTGGCGGCTACGTAGGCTTGGAAGTGCTGGTGATCCGCCTGCGAGGGACGCATGGCCTCATCACTGTCACGCCCGACGGAGGGCCCACCCAGACTCATCGAGGCGATGAGAGTTGTCGATGCTCGACGCTGAGCGCGCGCTGCTTCCCGTTCTAGTTGGGCTAGCAAGTCGTTCCGTCGGGCCAATTCCAGAGCCGAAAGCTGTCTGGGTGTTCCAAGCGAGAAAATGTTGGAAAGCGCTGCCGCATCGGGCATTTCCTCGCTCTCTGTGGTCTGCACTGCTAGTCCAGGGGCTTTTCTCTCAGCCGAGGTGCCATGTGTAGGCGGTGCTGGCACAGGGGGTTTGTCGCCCGCAAGATGGAGCTCCATGTCAGCCTCAGCGGTTATGGTCATGACTCCATCGGCTCCAGCTTCATCGGCAGGAGGGACGATGAGTTTGTGACGCACTGTCTTCCACCGACTTCCCTGTCGAGGAGATGGCGCCATCATCAACAGCACTTTGCGCGAAATGGCTCGCTGCGACGGGTTTGCAGCGCTCAGCGCTGCTTTCGTGGCCACTTGGCCAGGAGCACGACGGTCCATTTCAATGGCCCGAGGCGCAACTTCCTCCATGTAGCTACTCAATAACTCCTGCTCAGGCCCCACTTCAGGTTGCTCAGGTATCGCCATTGTGCGCTTCAACAACGCGGAGAAGTTAACCTTGATGAAAGGGACTTCGGTCTGGAAGATACGAGATCGCGGCGTAGATTCACTATCGACCTTGGCTTTCGGCTTACTGGCGGGGAACAGAGGAGGCTGACTGCGCTGCTCACGGCTGCTCTCCTCCTCTTCTTCTGCAGTTAGCAACGCCTTCTGCACGAATTGCTGGATATGTGGCAGTGCCACGCGAGTTTGAGAGTGCATCTTTTTCTCCAAAGCCTCTCGGTTGGCGCCCATCACGAATTGAATTGTACTGGGCACCGCGCTCACGAGCCCTTTAGCCAGTAGTATTTGCAGGAACGCAGAGACGTGGTCGACGGAGATGCACCATTCACCATAATCCACCCCGTCAGCATTCCCAACGCCCAAAAGTTTGCGTTTGCCAGTCAACGACAAGATCGCCTCCGACAAGTTGAAGCGCTGCAGCTCCAGGCCAGCGCGATCCGCACGGTTCTCGAGAAAGTTGGATAAGCGTCGCAGGAACAACAGCGGCGGAGGAGGTGCGGGCAGCGATGACTCCAATGCTGAAGCTTCCGGGCTGAGATTTCTTCGAGACCGAGGACTTGGCGCCCATTTACTGTGTGGCTTGAGTATCTGCTGTCTCCCGCTTGGTTCGTGCTGCGTGGGCCCAGGTATTCGATCGAGCGAGTCCGACGGCTCGAATGCGCTCATATCCACGCTCTCGAACGCTTGTGCGCACATGCGCCGCGCTGACGTCGCGAAGAGGGACGCATTCTCCGAGCGCACTTGCATCTCCTGGAAAATCGCGGCCAGTAGGTCCTCCACCAGAAACACGCAGGTCTCCTCGGCTTCCCCCATCGCAGCACGGAAGTCGTTCAGCTCCTGACGCCATTTGTTTTCCTCTTCGTTGTCCTCGCTCAGTGAAGTGCCATCAGCGCCAACATCTTGAGCCTCGGTGCTTGACGCATCGTGTGCGTCGCTGCTCATGCTTCACCGCTAGCCCGATGTGAACTCTCAAACAACCAGACTCTTGACAGCGCTCGCGCCCATGAAGCTAATAAAACACTGGCGAAACGCTTTAGACCAAAGCTGTGACGACGCACCACTAGGCCGAAAACAGCAACCTGAACCTGAGCTGCAGTACGATTGTCTTGGACTGCTGCTGGCCCCTGACTGCTCAACACACACGCGCACACACACAACACATCCCTCTCTCAGTGTCGTCTATTGAGTAGCCTTATACCTTGGGGGTATCCTCATAGCAAGGTCTGGCTCTGATCATCCGACCGCCGCCGGCTTCTTTCACAATGACGTTTCCGTCGGCGATCGGTCTGTCTCTGCTGTAGGAGAAGAAACTGGCGTCGTCTTGGCTTTCGGTCGGCGCTGGTAGAACAGCATGTACGCTTCGCACTTTAGCACTTGCTCGAACGGCACGCGCTTGACGACGGTGTCCGAGACATAGTACCATGTTCGCGTGGATCCATCGCTATTTTTCGGCGTCAGAACCTCGGGCGCTGCAGTTGCACCATCCTCTGACGTGAGGCGACTGCGTGACCGAAGCAGCAGGGCTTCACGCCGACGCGAGCGACTCACATACGCCACGTAGTGACCCGACCGTTTGTTGCCCATGTGCACCACAACCGCAATGAGTTCGTAGCACAACGAGTGATTCTTTGCGTCGCCACCTCCCTGACGCAGCGTGTCGCTCACGTACGGCGTTATATCTAGCTTCTCGTCGAAGGAAATGTGCTGCGTGATCTTCCGAGAGCGCGCCAGACGCTTGATGTGCACCACGAGGACTCGAGGCAAAGCCGATACGAACATCTGCATAGAGGCGTCTCGCAAGACGACTTCCATCTCTGGTTCAGCGTTCGACCCGAGCCGCTTCTTTCGGATGAACCGACCGGCAGCGCTGCGCACCTTGGTCTGTCGCGAGCACTTCTCACAGTCGTAGCCGTTGTTGGCCTCCACGAGCAGTTGAGTCTCGGTCACAAAGTTGTCGAGGCAGTCCGTCGTCGCCAGCTCGTGGTGGCGTCCATCGGGCACGGACACGCTCAGGTGGAAGGCGTCCTCGACAATCTCCGTCCGGTTACCGCACGCTTTGCACGTCACCGCAGTCGTCAGTGCACCTCCGAACAAGTTGCGCGTAAAATTGAGCCTCGAATACATTTTTCGCTTCTCCGCTCGGGCGTGGAGCACAGCGGACGGCCGCGACGACAATGTTGCGCGCGTCGTCTCGACCTTCGACGCGTCCAGCATCATGTCCTCCTCGTTTAGGTTTAGCCTCTTGGCCAGCAAGTGCTGCACCTCTTTAACCGTTGCGCTCTTGGGCACCTGCATGGAGATCGTCTCTCCTGTCTCCGTCTTGACAAAGATCTGCTTCGTCTCCTCCTGCTCCGAGTTGTCGGCGTCGCTTTCGCTGCCTTCCTCCTCTGTTTCTTGCTCGCCCTCCTCTGTCATTTCATTGTCCGTGACGTCCTCTTCGGGCCACGTTCCATTCCGACGAGAAGAGTCATCCCCGTCGTCGTCTGGTAGCTCCGAAGACGTCACCGTGCTAACACTGCTGTTCGTAACGCTATCCTTCGTGCCTTCATCAGCAGGCTCGTCGGAAGGAGGCAGTGGAGGGTCCATCTCCTCGTCCACAGCCCAAAGGAAGCTCGTGAACAGTTCGTGCGCGTCCTGCTGGTAGCTGCCACGGAACTGCGAGAATTTGGAGCGCATTTCCTTGAGCAGCGGCGCCACGGTTAGTACCGACGAGGAGCTAGACCGCGAGCGACTGCTCCTGGAGCTTTTACCGCGCTTGTCCGACGGAGACTCGCCCGCCAGAGCCTTCCGCGCGCGCTTCTTCACCGTCTCGTGCAGCATCCTACAGCAAAAACATCCATCGGCGTCAGAAACTCCGCTCTCCTCCTTCCAGTTCCAGTAGCACAACTCAAAGCTCCAGCGTACGTGAACGTAGTCGTGATAGGCGCGTTGTTCATCTCGAGCACCTCCTCAATGTGCGTGTGCTCTGGGAAGTAGTGCGTCGCCGTGAGCAGCGCCTGCATGGACGCGTTGAAGTAGCACGTGTTGCCCAAGTTCGTGAAGCCCAACACCGTATTGGGCAGCTCGCGCTCCCCATTCGCCGCTGCGTCCTCCGCCCCACTCGACTGGGGAATGCTGATCGTCTGCACGGGCTCGCGCTTGTGCATGGCCGTCTTGAGCATCCTGCGGCGCGCCTTGTCGTCCCTGGCCTTGGTGCGCAGCGGCATGTTGAGCAGCGCGGCGCCGTTGCTGCTGCTCTGGTCTTCTACGTCCTCCCGGGGCTTCGTCTCGAGCGCCAGCGCGCCGCGCGGCACCGGCGGCGTGTCCGCGTGCGCCTCGAGCTCCAGCAGGTTGTGCGCCGAGCCGTTGGGCGTGGCGATGGGCGACACGGCGGCGCGCATCTGGTTGCGCAGCTGGCGGCGCTTCTTGGCCGCGATCTCGTCCAGCGCGGCGCAGAACTCCTGGCGCGCGCTCTCCACCTTGGCGCGCGCGTCCTCGGGGATCTCCAGGTTGCACGGCTCGCACCAGAACGTGCGCGCGGCCAGCTGCAGCCCCACGAAGTGCTTGGGGTGCGACTGCAGGTGCAGGCTGAAGTGGCCGTCGCTGAAGCAGCCCACGAAGCCGCAGCTCACGCACACGAGCAGGTCCGTGGCCTCCGCGTACTCGTCCCAGCTGCGCAGCGCGGCGGCCTGCGGGTCCTCCGCGGAGGCGGCGGAGGACGTGGAGGAGGACAGGGACTGACTGCTGCTGCGGCGGGACGCGGCCAGAGACGCGCGCGACGGCGCCGCGCAGCCCTCGCACAGCAGCTGCGCGCGCTTCTTGAGCTCGCGGCGGAATTCGGGCGCGCGCACGGCCTGCCCCACGTGGCGGCAGCTCTTGTCGCCCGCCATCCGGCTCAGTCCGCCCCTGGAACCTTGGGCGCTTCGAGTGTTGGTGATGATGGCGCGCGGACTTCTTCCCGCAGAGTAAGGACCTGCGTGGTGGGATGGAACTGTGCTGTGGAATGAAAGGACAGATGGATACATGGAACCATAAAAGTGGTACGTTAACTTATGTTGGCTCTCAAGCTTCACTTCAACATGTATCGGCCTCCTTGATGTGTCTGCGCCTTTACGGCGGAGAGCGCCCGGGTCTGCGGCCACTTGTTGCAGAAGGTGTTTCCGGCGCCCGCTTGGCACACGCGCTTCGCGACGGAGCTCACGCTTTTGTTGAACGCAGGCGGTGGCTGCAGCTTTCGCACCATGTATTCGGGCGCGTTCTTGGGCTTCACCTTGCAGCCTCGCTTCTTCTTGGGCGGATCCACCGCTGCGGCGGCTTCTGGAAGGGGGGCTGCAAACGCCCAAATTGCAACAAATGCTACCAAGTCGCTCGTCACGCCCGCCACCGCGGGCTTGGCCCAGGCATCGGCTTGACAGATATCGGACAGACTCGCCCTCTTGAGCAAGGCAAGGCGGTTGGACCGCTGAGCCAAGTCGGCGCAGTGCTTGCCCGTGACCGTGTCGACGGTGTTGTCCGCTGGTTGGCTTGGTCCTGCCGACTGGATAGCAGTCACTCTGCAGACGGTCTTCAAGTCGGAGGCTGACGTCGCGGCAGTGGCCTTCTTGTTGCTGGAGCTGTCGCCGCTCTGCGTTGCCTCCATCTCGGCGGTGAGTTTGTTAATGAACCATGACCGCGCCACTGCGACAGCCATCGGCAAATGCAAGGCGGGCTGGATACTGCTGATGGCTTCGTGATACCCCAGATGACTCGCTCCTCGTGTGCCACAAGGATGCAGGAAGCACTTGGAACCTGTCGCTAGGGTCCTGCCTGGACACCTGCAGGCCTTCGTGGGAACTGTAGGATCATGAAGACATGAGCTTGAACATCCAACTTTCTTCTACGTCAAAACGGGAGCTATGGTCGTCACCAGTGTGAGCTGAATGTACCGGTGGCAGGGCCTCGAGATCTGTGGCACACTGCTCAATGCGCCCGCCGCCTCACGCATCCACTCGCGTTCGTGCTACGCACGCCATCTCAACCGTGACCACGCGCCGGCAGACGCGGGGCTTTTTATACGACGAGGCGCCTCGTATCGTTCCTACCATCATAATAGTTTTTGACGTTGTGTGCAAAATGCACCGCAGCTAAAAGCGGGCAAGTAAAACCTACCTGATGATCAATCTCCGCGGAGAGCATTCCATGACTAGCAAGCAAGCAGCCGACCGTCGTCTTCGTTTATCGCCCATGAACGTTGACTGAGGTAGGCGACGGTTAACAAGGAGGAATCCAAAATTGGCCAGCTCGCGATAAGACTGCCTACCTTTGCTGTTCTTCCTTGGCCTGGATTAGTACGTCCACGTAGCAGTGCTGGTTTCATTCTCAGCCACACCGGAAAAGCCCCGAAACGCCTACGGTAGGACAACGACGAACTCGGTCTTGTCCTGGAGGAGGGCGGTCAACCATAGGTAACAGGCAACAGCAACAAGCCGCAGTAGCAAGCATACAGCTGAGAGGCGAAGCGCAGCGCGGTCACGCCATCGGCATTTCGGCCACTTCAATCCCGGCGGCCAATCACCGCGCGAGACTTTTAGACAAACGAGTTATCAGCAAAGTAAGCTGCGCACTGATTGGCCGCCGAATGGGCGCCACGCCAGCGATCTTACCACTACGTATCAGAGCCCACCAAAAATCACTTGCGCCCACTATGCCGGCGGCGACGCATAAGAAGGAGAAGGACGAGATCAAGATCTGCGACAATAAAAGAAGAAAAACAAGCGCCAAGCGTCGTCCTTCATTCGCGGTTCCCCCACTCAAGTGCAAGCCCCACAACCTGATAACTTACTATCGAACCAGCTAGCTTTGCCATGCCCGCCAAGGACTGCGGCGAGAAGCTCGCGCCCGCTGCGGACAGCAAGGCGCGCGACGCGGCGGACGACGACGACCTGGCCGCCAAGAAGAAGCGCCTCAAGACGCAGCGCGCGGACCGCAAGGGCGCCGACCTGTCGGACTCGGAGGACGACGAGACGGAGGAGGAGGACGCGCCCTCCTCCGCCAGCGACAGCGACGCCGAGGACCGCGAGTACTCGGTGGACTTCGGCGCCATCACGGCGCGGCTGGGCGGCGCCACCAGCACGCACCGCCGCTCCGTGGTGTCGTCCTTCGTGCCGCCGCCCAACGAGCAGTGGACGCCCCCCGTGAACCCCAAGAGCGCGCAGGACGCGGACTCGATCCGGAGATCCGTGCGCAGGAACCTGCTGTTCGCCAACATCCCGGAGGACACGCTGCAGGTGCTGGTGGACGCCATGAAGTACGTGGCCGTGGACGCCGACGTGGATGTCGTGACGCAGGGCGACGTCGGCGGAGACAGGTTCTTCATCCTCGACAGCGGCGTGTGCGACGTGCTCGTGAACGACCGCGTGGTGGGCGAGGTGTGCGCCACATCCCCGCGCAACTTCTTCGGCGAGCTGGCGCTGCTGTACGACTCGCCGCGCGCCGCCACCGTGCGCGCCAAGACGCCCGTCGAGTGCTGGTCGCTGGACCGCGTCACGTTCAAGCGGGTGCTCATGGCCACCACCATGCAGCAGCGCGCACTCTACCTGGACTTCCTGGGCCAGGTGCCCATCTTCTCGACGCTGTCGAGCTACGAGAAGATGACAGTGGCCGACGCCTTGCGCGTACAGTTCGTCGAGTCGGGAGACACCATCCTCACGGAGGGATCCAGGGGCGACGACTTCTATATTATTGCAGACGGCGAGGTCAAGTGCACGCGCGGAGGCGAGGAAGTGTCAGCACGGCTCGGCGCCGGCGATTTCTTCGGCGAGCTCGCGCTCATCCACGACGACGTGCGCCAAGCCACTGTCACAGCCATGCGCAAGACCAAGCTGCTTGTGCTGGACCGAGCCACCTTCAAGCGCCTGCTGGGCCCCATGCAGGAGCACCTGCGCAAACGCGCCGACCTCTACGAGCTCTACATGAACGCACCAAGGATCACCGAGCAGAACTGAGCCACCGCTGCACGCCCAGCAACTTTATAATCAGTAAGTAGATATTGTAGATATGCATGCCAGCTCGCCTTCGCCAATTGTGCCCCCCAATGACGCACCACAAACAGCAGCCAGGCCGACCTCCATGCGAAGCCGCCGGAAGCTTTCTACCCCCAAAGTATATATAAACGCGCGTTCTGTATCAAACGGTCTTGTCTTGATTGTCGTGCTCCACTTCACCTGGAAGATCTAAGATCGAGAGGATAAGAAATCGGCGACGGAAGCTGAAGTTTGCATTGCGAGCTTCTCGATCTTATCCAAGTCGGTAGTCGCCTCCTACAGCAGTTGCTCTAAATCTCATATAGACCTCACAATTCACAAACTGCTCTTGCGTTTTCAACTTCATTTTATTCCACTATTGTATTGGCGAGATGAAATGCACCACCAAAATTTTCATTTGTCCATAATTTCAAAAGTACTTAGCGTATAAAGGCAAGAAGACCAGCAATGAAAACAGCATAACATGCAGAATGTAGGTGCGCACGTGTTAGTATCCTACTTCTTAATTTTATCGGCATCATCCGGCGATTTCTGCAGCGGGAAAGACGTGCTTGTCTGATCTGCACACGACATTTTTTGCCATATTTCCTAAACGAAGATGATAAATCGAGAAAGCTAAGCGTCAGGGTAAAGCTCGGCTTCTGGTTCATCAAACAAACGTAGTTTCATGAGCGCCAACCGCGTAGGAAGTGTTCCAGGCGCTGTTGATCTCGCCGGTTGTGGTGGCGTCGTCAACCAATAATGGGCATAAAACGCGTTACAGAAAGTGCGCAATAATTTAGTACTATACTAAATTATTATCTTTGGGGACGAAGTCCCCTATAATCATGAGACTCCGTTTTATGGAGTTTTTACGTCTCTTATATACACTCCGCTTTACTTTTTACATTAATTCTGCGAATGGGTTAGGGTCACAATTTAGAATCGCTCACACGGCCAAAACATGAAAAAAATACCTCGGTTAAACAACATTTAGATGCTTATCGGAAGGTGGTATCGGCACGGATTTATCTGAGCTGACCCGACGTCACTATCGTTAGATGCTATAAACCAGAGGGTCGAAGTTATGAAACAACAGCAAATTCGACTGTTAGTATGGAGGACATCAGAAATAGACTTAAACGTGACATTTTACCCTTATTTGGACCCGATTAGGACCCTTTATTAAGCCTATTTGCCTTTCAAACTTATGCTGTCGTAAGAAGGGTCGCTCTGAGGCCGTTGGTAAGAAGTCTGCGGCCCTTCGGGACCGCTTGACCAGCGCACAACAGAGAGTCCAAGCATCAACAAGCAGAGCCTCAAGGAAGCGCCAACGCTACACCAAGTAGCAAGCAGCTTTGCATGCTGATGACCGGGTACTGTCGAGCAGCAACTTCTCTAAATTACATTGAAGGCTATGCGCGGATGACGAGCTGGACGATGAGCTGGGGTGTACGAGCCGGAGTCCGTGTCGGTGCTTCTTGGTAGCAACAATGGCTCTCTTTTGGCCCGTTCGAGGTCGCCTGCTACTTCGCTTTAAAGAAATCAGACAGCTCCAAGTCCTTCCTGCACGCTATAGGCGCCGATTATTTGCTCCTTTCCAGTCTGCGTTAATTCATTCATTGCGTTGCTCATGAAAAGATGTTCGACTAAGCAAATACATTAGCCCACTCAATTACAGTTCTGTTGGGTCGATCTCGGGCGTCGCAGCTCTGCTTTGATACCCTACATGCATGTGTGATGGTACGATATCAGGGTCAACTACATTATTTTGAGCTAGTTATCGTTCATTGTATATGTTTCCTTATTGCGCTCAACGTGCATGAGGTTATCTACCTACGCGTGCAGACTAACAGTTTTGAACAGCCGTGCATGCCATAGTCGCGGCAGCAACATTGGCCATTGCGGCTGGGTGCAGATGACATCTGGAGAAAGAATTTCAACATGGATCGCGAAAGGTTACTGGAATAATTCGCTCGTATTTTCACTCTGAAAATGAACACACCACGAAATTGAAACATCGAAAGTTAACTCCTTATTCACTTTTCGTTGTGCGAGTGTGCACATTCTACTATTACACTTACCTAAGTAAGTAAAACACAAGTGTACTGGCATTCGAACCGCAACTCAGGTGTATCAGTCTACCGTTAATAACAACGTATGAATGGTATGTTGTCTGCTATTACACTTACCTAAGTAAGTAAAATACAAGTGTACTGGCATTCGAACCACAAGTCAGGTGTATCAGTCTACCGTTAATAACAACGTATGAATGGTATGTTGTTTGCAAAATAGCCAGCATATCGGGGAGCGTGAAAGGGGAAATAAAGCGCTAGAATTTGCAAGCGGCTTTGTACTCAAATTCCTCAAGTGGGGACGTCGTCCAAAACTCTGTGGTCAGCATAGTTTTGGGGGTCGACCCCTAAAGCAACATGAGCGCAGCGACCGTGATGCTACGCTAGTTTAAAAAGAGCAATCATATGGCACCATATGGCCTCGATATTTTCGAGAAACCGGCGGACAGTCAATTTCCATTTAGGTATATATCATTCATTCGCTGCGATTACAAGTCCAAACGTAGTTTACTTAAAAGAGGAAGCACAGAGCTTTCCAACAAAACAAAGCTCACATCATTCTGATTATTTGATGCTGAGATACGCTCCGTCAAAGTTTGGTGGTGCATTTCATCTCGCCAGTACAATAACAGGCTTCGGTTCGAGTGTCACTACTACCACTCACCAGCACAGCTTGCCGGGCAGGTACTTGTCGATGAGCGACTGGTAGTAGGGCCAGAGCTTCTCCACGTCCGGACGCACGTCCGCCTTGGTGTACAGGTCAAACTTGTTGAACTCGAGCACCCAGTCCATCATTTCATAGTCGTCCTCGCTCATGAGGTGCGCGTACTCCTTCTTGTTGTGCCACGGGTAGCACGAGTGGTAGCGGATCATGGCGAGCCCCTCGTCCGGGATCGTGGTCTCGTTGAACTTGAGCATCTGGTACAGGTACTCATCGTGGCCCCAGGCGAACTTGAGGTTCTTGAAGCCGCAGTGCGGCTCGTACATGCCATTCTCCGTGTTGTAGCGCGGGTCGCTCATGTCCGGGTTGCTGGCGTTGTACTCCGGGAAGACGACCGAGTCGGGGATCTTGCAGCCCACGACCCACGTGTCGCCGCCGAGCGCCCACTGGTCTCCGTCGGCCGTGCCCTCCTGGCCGTCCTCGGCGTGGCCCCAGAGGTACTGGATCTTGCCCATGTCGTGCAGCAGCCCCACGAGCTGGAACCAGTCCGGGTGGCCGGCGGCGCGGATGCCCTCGGCGGTCTGCAGCATGTGCTCGAGGTTGGGCAGCGACGAGTCCGGGTCGGACGAGTCCACGTAGCCCTTGAGCGCCGTGAAGGCCTCCCAGATAGTCATCTTGGTGTTGCTGAAGGAGCCGTACTTGGCCTGCATCTTGTCGTTGAAGGCCACGGTCTGGTTCTTGCGCATGAGCGCGTAGTGGCGCGACACGAGCGCGTGCCGGTCCGAGTCCTTGTAGTTGCGGAACTCCTCCTCGGCCTTGCCGGCGCTGACCTTGCCGGTGACCTCGAGCGTGGGCTTGGCGACGGCGACGTTGTCTCCAGCCATTGTGGTGGTAGTGGTGAAGAGGGAGGGGGTAGAGGGTGGAGTGGGCGGGTGTGTGGGGGCCAGAGCCGAATGTGGAATGACCTGGCGGCGGAGTAGAGCGAGGATGGAGGAGGTCGGTGCATGGAGTGGCGTGTTCCCGATTTGGGGGATAAGGAGGTTGCACTGCGCTGCTCAGTTAGTCTGCCGCTTGAACCTTGTCAGTCGGGCGGTTGCAGTGCAACGGACGTTGAGTCAAATCTTCTGGCGGTGCGGCGCCTTTTGCGCCAATGGCAGCGCGTTTAACAAGATCGAGGTCGCCGTGACTGGCTGAAAATGCGGCGCCTCGGGTCTGTGCAAGATGAGTGAGTTCACTTTGCCGCGGCCTCTGTTTTGGGCTTGCGAGTCCTGGAGAACTTATGGGAGAGTGTTAACTCCACGCATGTCCGACGCGTGCACACCAAGATGCAATTGATGAATGGAGCTCCCCGTCATGAATCTGAATTGTTGTGCGTATTCGCATGCTGGTTTCGCTAGCCGATCCCGGGCTACTTACTGTATTGCAGCAACTCTGCTCTGCCAGAGTCGACTGCCGTAGGCAAACAGGGGAGCAAGCATCCCAATGGGATGCTTGCTCGCTGTATGGGATGATCCCATACAGCCATCAGCCTCGCGCTTGACCGCCGGACGAATTGGTTTGGTGGTTGCACTTTTCATTGCGGCAAAGACAAGCATCAAAAATGTTTAACTACGTCGTTTCGGTATTGAGTTTCGCGAGGTTTTTACATGGGCGACTGCATCGCTGCCGACGGGGAGAACATGCCGCTGGCGTCCGTCTTGCAAGCTTCGCGCTGGTCTGTCTTGCGCAGCACTGGCCAGAGTCCGTGGCCGGTCTTTCACGCGATGTGTGTTTGAAGTTGGCGCTAGCGGATCAACCAACTCGTTCTCAGTTCACCACGACCACCTTCGCCAGAAATGCGATCAACCAGGACGACCCCTTTGATGAGTACGGGTGGTGTCGACTTCGTCACCGTCTTGAGATCACCGATCACCGAGGTCTTGGAGCCTTGCGCTTCTGCTCGTCACCTGTGAGCTTACGGTATTGTGCAAATCGCTGCTGGTCAAACTGAACATGGCTACACTGAACTTCAACAACGCACCACCGCTGACCAAGTTTGGCAAAGCAGCGTCAGTTTTCCCAACTTTCCCGAACAGGGTCGCGACTTGGCGCGAATTTAACGTCGTAGAGGAAGCAGCAGCGCGTGAAGAGTCTTCACTGAAGACAAGCGAATCCAATGCATCCCGGCGGTCGTGTTCATGGACTTCAATGACTCCTCAATCGGGGAATCACCCTCGGAACGAGTGCTTAAACATTCCCACGCCACTGTCTGTGCCCCTCGCACTCCACCACCACGAACCTCCTCCACCCCATTGCTGGAGACAAGGTTGCCGGCTGCTCGAGGTCACCGGCAAGGGTGAGGAGGATCTCCTCGACTACATGTACAATGACTCGAACCGGCGCCTTATGAGCATGGAGGATCACCAGGGTGCTCGAGTTCAATAAGATCGGCCTGTACACCAAGGCGGACGTGCGTCCGAACGTGGAGAAGCTCTGGCAGTACTATTATACCAGTCGATCATCGAGTTGATGACACCGACAAGTACCTGTCCGTGATACTCGAGCCGAAGGCTGTTTGTGGAATAAAATGAAGCCGAAGAGCAATTCGTGGAGGAATATTGCCAGCCTGGCAATACCAGGCGATTATGACAAGTACCTAGAAGCTACCATGGTAGGCGACATCTGCGTCTCCTGGAAAGTCTACAATACAGTAGTAGTGGCGTTACCAAGAACTGATGAATTCACCAAAGCGGCGAGTCTGAGTTTGAGAGACCATTCGGAGTTGTTCTTGCTACTTGCATACACGTGTACTTACACCAAATACAGGCACGTGTTGCTCGTAATCGTCGGCACAAAATGGCTGGCGTAGTGTGAGCCTCAAGCCTCAATTGTGAGGAAACGTCTTGCAACTGAAACACAAAACACATGGAAAGATTTCTGAAGCGACCACCCGAACATCTTCAGATTTTCACCGTACTCTCAAATGAGCTACGAGCATGTCATTGTTTCTATTTCTTAGGAGCGAGGAAGTAGCTGTCCAGCTCAGTTGCTCTCTTGAACACTGTGGCGCAAGCTGAGCCCTTCGCTCGGACGGGCAGCCAATGCGACACCGAGCCTGTTTGTCTTATCGGGGACAGGCGACACAGCTCCCCAAAAGCACCAGCATGGTGGATGCCAGCACACTGCAATTTCTTCGCAGTACCAAAGACCCTCGTCTGGAATGCGACTGAACAACAAGTTCTGCTGCACGACAATGCTGCTCGTCATCGGTATCAGCACCCGTGTTCTCTCCGTGCAAGTCTGCGGTGCCAGTATCGGCCTGGAACCTGCCGCAGACTTCATCAGCAAGACACAGTATCGCCACCTCAGGAGTCAGGATATATTGCCACGAACGCTCGACATCGACACCGTGCTACGCAACAAAATATTCCTTTAGCGTACCGCTAGCTTCTTCGGCCCTCCCGCGCGTCACCGAGCAGGAATCGGCACGGTTTATCAGCTTCTAAATACACAACTAAGTAAAATCGTTCGCATTAATGTTGTTCAGTCAAAGTTAGACTGCTGTATGCTAAAGATCAAAAGGAACATCTGAGCTCCATGAACCGTTGTGTCTCGACTTGTATCCGTAGGCATTAATGCTCTACTCGTTGGCGACCTCAATGATGATCTTGCCTCTCGCGTGGTTCGACATCTGCAGCTTGATAGCGTCCAAGACGTTCTCGAGCGGGTGGACCGAATCGATCGTTGGCTTGACTTCGCCGGCCACGACCAACTTTGTGAGGCCCTGCAAGTCTTCTGGGGTCGGGTGCAAGTAAAGCTGGTGAAAGGTGGCACCGATGGGGGAGTCCACCGGCTTCGGGCCCATGCCGATAGTGACAAACTTGCCGGTGTTCTGCTTCAGAACCTTTTGCGCGTCCTCGGCCCAGGACTCAGGCTCCATACCGCAGTCGTAGATCAAGTCCGCCGAGTGCTCAGCACGGACGGCGCCCCACTTCTCCGACGTGTAGTCGACAACCTGGTCTGCCCCGAGAGACTTGACCAAATCGGTGTTGCGAGGGCTGGCTGGCCGTCGTGATGACTTCGGCACCGACAGCCTTGGCGATCTGGATCGCGAATTGACCCGTGGCACTGCTGCCGCCCAGAATGAGCACACGCTGTCCAGCCTCGAGCTTTCCGAGGTTGTTAAGCGCCTGGTAGCTGGTCAATCCTGCCATCGGCACTCCAGCAGCTTCGTTGAACGTTAAGTTGCTCGGCTTGTGCGCCAAGTACTTCGTGTCGACAGCGAAGTATTCACCAAAGCTTCCGCCGGCAGTAATGTCGGGAGTGCCGTACACGGCGTCGCCCACCTTGAAGCCACGGACGTCACCGCTACCGACCTCAACGATAACACCGGCCGTGTCGAAACCCATGCGGAACGGGTTCTCAGCAGTCGGGGCCGTCGGCAGGAAGGCAGCTCCGAACATGAGCAACTTGTAGTCGAGGGGGTTGATCGCAGCGCTCACCACCTTGACGCGGACCTGGGTGGGTTCCAGTGGCTTCAGCGCCGTCTGCGTGTTCAGCTTGGCCTCCTTGAGTACGTCGCCGTAGCTGGCAAACTGGTAGGCCTTGAACGTCGAGGGGATGCTGGACATCGTGGAGAAGCTTGGGAGGTGTTTGGTTGGTTGACTTGGTGTAATTTTGAAAGTGAGAGACTGTGTGCCAAGTCCCGGAAGTGAAGGACCAACTTTAAGGGCGCATACACTCTTCAGCAGAATGCAGGCGAGTATCAAGTGATCAGCGCGAATACAAGAAGTGCAGACGGCTTTAGGTTGTCAATTGGCACAACAAGCAAAAGCTGCGGAGTAAACAGATCCAAGAATGGCCAGAACCCGATGCACATACTTTTATTATAGCTGAAAATGTATACACCGCAGTGATCATCGATCGCGACGCAAAAGTTGATCTCACGCAATCGCTGTCTTCATGAACCTGCTGGCAAAGTTTGCCGCAAACAGAGTCTTAGTGGAAGTTAGTCAAACTGAAATGCCATTCACGCAATACCAGGGCAACATACCATTACTTTAGTATACCATGTCTACAAATTATGTGTCCACTTCACTATGTATACTGTATACTTTTCTTTCCATCCAGTTGAATCCAACTACCTTATTGTTCATTGGTCAAAATGTCTCCTTGATAAACCAAGCATCATTGCTCGAGCCACAAGACCAGGACAATGGTGCGAAGGTGTCGCCCCCTCTTGCCGCGCGTACACCTCCCTAACTAACCCCTTGCCGCTATATGTATACCCGATGTGTGTCTGCAGCTCTTCTACTCGTTCTTCAAGACGCTGGTCGGCAAGGAGGTGGCCGTGGAGCTCAAGAACGACGTGGCGCTCATGGGCGTGCTCGACTCGGTAGACCAGTATCTCAACATCAAGCTGCTCAACGTGTCGGTCGTGGAAGGCGACAAGTTCCCCCAACTGGTACGGTATAAAAACTCTTACCAACGTATTAATTATTCTCTAATCGAGTGCGTGTGGATAACCTTTTTGTGTTGCAATTGCCCTTTAGATGAACATGAAGAACTGCTTTATCCGCGGAAGCTCCATCCGCTACGTGCAGATCCCGGCGGGCGAAGTGGACACGGAGCTGCTGCAGGATGCGGCACGTCGCGAAGCCACTGCCAACAAGCAGACCTAGGGAGTGAACAAGCACGTCGTAATGGATCCAAGCGATTCTCGATGAAAGCAGGAAAGATGTAATGTGCTATTGACTGTTGTTACTATTGGATTTGGCTATCATGGATACCATACATTCATCATGACCATACGGCCGACGATGTGCTTACTCCTTCGGGTGCCATAGCGCCTTGAGATCAGCCAGAGCCTGCTCGATGTCGCCTGCAAACTTGTCCGAGCTGGTCGACGGGCACGACTTCTTGCTGGAGATATGGAAGCCGAGCATGTCCTCGCCCGCCACCATGTAGCTGACACCGTAGCCGTCTTCTGCGACAGGGCCGAAGCCTCCGCCAGGGCAGCGCGCATCGTCGATCGAGAACTTGGATCCCTCCAACGCCTTCTCTACGAGCCGCCAGTTGTCGGTCTGCTGCTGAGGCTGCTGGCTGGTCGACAGGCGCCACGGTCGGCTGAGTGCGTTGTTCAGGAACGGCGACTCGATACCGAAGCCCACCGACACGCAGTAGAGCGTGAAGAGGTGGCGATCGATGCCCTTGCCGCTCATGGCGTTCCGGTAACTGTCTTGGTGCACATCGCACGCGCGCTGAAGCAGCTTCAGCTTCTCGGCGTCCGATAGCTTGGGGTCCACCATTCCGAGCACAAAGGCCTTGGACTCGTCGGTCACGGGTCGTACAGTTTCGGTGCGGCCATCACGGTACAAGCGCGTCATACTGGACTCGTACGTCTGGGTAATGGTGCCCGAGTTGCGGTAGTACGCGAGCTGTAGAGCCATCTGAAGGAATGCGTCAGGACTCACACGGAACTTCTTGATCAGACCCTTGCCGTAGTCCGTGTGTGAAATGACCTTGAGGTCAAAATCAGCAATCGCCTTCTCGGCGTCTGCAAGCGACTTCAACACAGCGTTGTCTAAGCCAGACGAGAAATCCCATTGTAGCATTCTGCACGGCGGCAGCTTCGACGAGCGCTCGTCTTCCGACTGTACCAGCGTGTCTCCATTCGCATCGTACGGGTTAGTGTAGCACTGCTTGGTGTACACCTGCTCCCACGCATGGGCCATCACTGGGGCGTCGGCCCAGGCGTGTTCCGCATTGATTCCAGCGACGCTGTTCTTGTAGACGACGAGGTTGAAGGACTTGTCGAACCAGCGGTTACCTCCGCTGCCGTGAATGAGATCCTTGCCCATCGAACTCCAGTCCTTGGCCTCTTCGTTCTGCAGCACAATGACAAACACCGCGGACTCGATAGCCTCCAGCGACCGCTTGTTGATACCGCTCGAGAAGAACTGCTCACGGTTCTCCGCCCACTCGATGCGGCCTGCAGCGGTAAGGGCAGCAAAGTTCTGCTCAGCGTTGGATGACGTTCCCATTGCCAGAGATGTTGCTTCAATCCACTCAAACTGCCGCTGGATCTCGAACTTGGTCAGCAGCTTGCCGTATTGGCCCTTCTCGAACAGCGGCATCTTGAACACGCGGCCGTTGCAGAATACGGCAATGTGCTTGGACTTGTGGTGGTACAGCTTGAGCGTGTCGGTCTCGCGTCCGGGGATGCGAGTGCACGAGAAGATCCTCTGGTACTGACCCATGCAGAGCGGGACAATGCCGCGGATGAGCTGCGGGGCGAGCTGCTCCCTGTCCAGGTCCTGCTTGAACAGCAGGAACTCGTGTACCAGCGCAGCTGCTAGAGCCACAGGCTTCTTGGTGAGACTGAAGTCCAGGTTGGCTCCAGGCAGCGCGTAGTAGTTGCTGTTGATCATGAGCGACGAGCGGCCCTTGAGGTAGACGTACTTCTCCCACCAGTCCGTCACGTAGTTGGACGACCACCAGCTCTTGAGGTACAGGTAGAACTGCAGCTTGGGCCCCTCCTTGTGCACGAACTCGTCGGCCATGCGCTCCACCTCCTCGTACTCCTTGGGGGTCAGCAGCGGGTGCACCGACTTAAGGTATCTCTCCACGGTGCCCTTGAGCGCCGGCAGCGGGAGTCGAGGCAGCGCGTCCTGGAACGAGTACGTCAACGGGTTACGCCCGCCGAAGATCTTGAGCAGCGCCGCCCAGGCCATGACGACGCGGCTCTTTTGCCTCGGCGCGAGGTACAGCCAGCCTCTGTAGCTCAGCAGCAGGCGGAGGAACAGCCTCTGCACCGCCATTAGCAGTAGCAGCCCCAGGAACGCCGCCCATGCCGCCAAGTACGCCACATAGACCGAGTTGGGCAGCAGGTGCCAGTAGGGCATCAAGAAGTTGCCGACATGCCAGACGACCACCGAAATGGGTCCACTGCGCCACCACGACTCGGAGGGCGACAGCACGACGATCACCGAAATGGCTACAACCGTCAGGATGGCCACGAGCGGCGGCGCCGGGTACACGCCGCGCTTGAGCGCGCGCTGGAGGTGGAAGAGCTCGCGGACGACGCTGCGGCGCAGCTCATGGGGCGGCGGGATGGTGAAGGACACGCGGATGCCCTCGTCCGAGTACAGCAGCTCCACGCCGCGCTTGTGCTCGTCGAAGACGCCGATGGCTTGATGCGCTTCCGCCATGGCTGAGGCTGGCTGGTCGGATTGAGTTGGGTCGGGGCTGACCTTCCCCTCTCTCTCTCTCGTTGTGTCTTAGACTGTCGGGTGCGCTCCAGCAGGCGGAATCGAAAGTGACGTTGATAAAGGCAACATCAACTTGCAGGAGTGATGGTCAGTCAAGGTCAGAACCTGCTGGCGGCACACTCGAAGCGATGTGAAGGATGAGGGCGAATGGTGCAGCTTCTCGCACTTCTCGCGTGTTGCCGTGTTGTTGCTAACCGAGGAGGACGGGAGGCAAAGTGCAACTTGTCAAGCCGACGCTCTGGTTTCTGATAATTCAGACTTTTAGCCAATCGATTAAGATACTAGAAGAAAATTCAGCCAATGGCTGGCGTCCGATGAAACTTCAGATTCTCCCGGCGGTTCCACAGTGTGTTGAAGTTGCTGGTATTTCCAACAGCGAACATGACGCCGCCGACAAATGTTCGCGGTTGACACCCGCCATCTGCATCCATGGGTGCAGTGACTGTTAAACGACTGGGCACGTTTGCTGCTGGCCGCGAGAGCGACATGGTCGTCTTTGTGGTTTGCTTGGCCAGTCAGACCGCTGCAATACGAGGTTTCAGGGGTCCAAACACCTAATAGTGGTTCGTAAAACTATGATTCCTATGGTCGTTGTGCATTGCAATGTGCACGTTTGTACCACAGTCGGTGGCGCCAAAACACCAAGCACTCATGCTGTGAAGTACCAATGCCTTGGTAACGGCCTGGGAAGCCTTCACGGCTCAGCCTCGAGCAAATGCTGCCAGGCAACAAACAACAGACCCTTACCGTGATACATGTAGACAAGCAAGTAAACAGAGATTGCAGTGCGCTTTATTGCTCATCGATGGCATGTACGTATATATACATTGCACTGCTGGTCCCAGCTACTTACTCCTTGGCAATTTCAATGATGATCTTGCCCTGGGCGCGGCCGCTCATTTGATGCTTGATAGCGTCGAGCAGCTTGTCGAAGGGGTAGACCGAGTCGATGGTAGTCTTCAGCTGGCCGGCAGCAATGAGCTTCCGGAGACCCTCGAGGTCCTCGGCGATCGGGTGGCAGTAGTACTGGATGAGCGTGGCCCCGATCGGCGACTGGGCTTGGTTCTCCACCATGCCGATAGTCAAGAACTTGCCCGTGCTCTTCTTGAGGGTCTTCTGGGCGTCGGTGGACCAGGATTCCGACTCTACTGCGCAGTCGTAGATGACATCGATCGAGTTCTCGGTGAGGACATCGACCCACTTCTGAGTGGTGTAGTCGATCACCTGGTCGGCGCCGAGGGACTTGACCAGCTCAGCATTGCGGGGGCTGGCGGTCGCGATCACCTCGGCGCCGAAGGCTTTGGCGATCTGGATGCCGAACTGACCGGTGGCGCTGCCGCCGCCCAGCACCAGCACGCGCTGTCCAGCCTCGATCTTGGCGCGGTTGATAAGTCCCTGGAAGCTGGCGAGGCCGGCAATTGACACCCCAGCAGCCTCATTGAACGTCACGTTGCTGGGCTTCAGCGCGAGGTGGTCGGCCTCCAGTGCCACATACTCGGCGAAGCTGCCCATGCCGGCCATGTCACAGGAGCCGAAGACAGCGTCGCCCACCTTGAAGCCGCGGACGTCGCCGCTTCCGACCTCAACGACGATTCCAGACAGGTCGAAGCCCATGCGGAGAGGTTTCTCGGCGGTGGGGCCAACTGCAATAACCATGGCCCCGAAGTAGTGCAGCTTGTAGTCAAGCGGGTTCACGGCCGCGCTGAGCACCTTGACACGGACCTCGTTGGGTCCCAGCGGCTCCTGCGGCACTTGCGTGTTCAGCTTGGTCTCCGTGAGCGCGTCGCTGTAGTTGGCAAACTCGTAGGCCTGGAAGGTGGCAGGGATGCTGGGCATAGTTGATAAGCTGTTTGGTGACTTGTTGTCGAGAGGAAGTTTTGTAAAGTGAGTGTACCAGGGATCACTGAAGCTGTGTCCGACCCAGAGGAGTCTGACGTCAGCTGTGAGCACGGCAACTTGAAGAGCATGCACTCTGGAAGGAGAATGCATGCGAGGGGGAGTGATCGCATCGCAAAAAGGAGTGAACACATCCGAATGCAGAGCTCCTTGGACGCAATCTTGCTCAAAATCCACGACGATTCATAACGCAGCAATTGATGTCGTTGAGCAGCTGGGTGCTACTTAATTTCGAGTACCGGTAACGTTATACACTCCACGACAAAAAGATATGGACACCACCAAAAGTGGCTGTAACTTCGTCATTTTTTATCGTTTTAAGGTGCGGTTTGGACTAGAGTTGCAGAACACGCTGATAAAGATCTGCACGCTACTAACACACGCGCTTTTGCGCTTCTTCAGGTAGCACACATACAAATCACTGGTTCTGCCCAGGTGACAAAACTTATGGACAGCTAATCCCCATGCAAAATCCTATATTAACCAAAACCCCTTACAAATGATACAACTTGGACTTTGTATGGGGCGACAAAGGAACCCATGATTTCTCCACTCTACCTTAGTACTGAGCCATATATCATCGACCAACAGTTTAGAATGGAGAAGACAATCGTATATCCAAAAGATAGCAGCATACAGAGCTACAAATTGGCACTAACTAGGATGCAACTGAAGGTGTCTCGCAAATCATCAGATAATACATGGTAGCCACCACTCGAAATTTCAGTCGCTTACTACTTGCTCAGTTCTGTGCGATGGTCGATGTGTTTATTACAGATCACTAAACACACCATCTAGTACACGATAATGCCATCAGATATTTGTCTAACGTCGCGAGTATCGCCGTGAGGCTGGTTCCTTTGTCGCCCCATACAAAGTCCAAGTTGTATCATTTGTAAGGGGTTTTGGTTAATATAGGATTTTGCATGGGGATTAGCTGTCCATAAGTTTTGTCACCTGGGCAGAACCAGTGATTTGTATGTGTGCTACCTGAAGAAGCGCAAAAGCGCGTGTGTTAGTAGCGTGCAGATCTTTATCAGCGTGTTCTGCAACTCTAGTCCAAACCGCACCTTAAAACGATAAAAAATGACGAAGTTACAGCCACTTTTGGTGGTGTCCATATCTTTTTGTCGTGGAGTGTACTTGGATAACTTCCGAGTGAACATACGCAAAAAGGTTAAGATGCCGAGTGCGGCATCACAGGATGAGGGCTCAGTACGAATGCATCTGAGGGAGAAATCCAATTGACATGAGCAGTCCGCGGATGACACACTGGCTTTCCTCAAGCTCATGTGCGGATGTGATAAGCTTATACCGGTAGACCAAAAACAGAAAGAAATATCGTGCCAAAGAGCTCTAGCACGTTGGTGATGCCATCATTCGCCAAGAACCCGAGAACTCGAGGTGGTTCTCCGGTTTTGAGTAAAGTGCCTATGTTTTGTTCATTTTGGACAAAAAGCAGACAGAGTCAAAACCGAGTAGCTCGCTGTACCCCTTGGCTCACCGGACCGAGAACCAGCACCAGCCAGTCTGACCAGCCCCTCACGGCAAGCAACATTAGAGTGGAATCAAAGTTTTGTGAATTGATGTAGCGCGCGAACTAAAGTCCGAGCTTACTCCGAAATACGCGAATGTACTCGAAAGTATATAAGAATAAAACCAATCGCATTGCTCAACAGGATTACAAAATCCTGTTGAGTTGATTACGAAATCGGTTACCTCCGGATTGGATCGTTGGGGACCCGGGTGGTGGACCTGGGGGGTTTCGCTAGCTTGTACGGATACCCTTACAGGGAAACGATGTACTCGGGCATCCCCTGCGGCTGCGTCGCAGCCGCAGCATCTGCCTAATCTACCACGGTACATCCAAGTGTACAAAGTTTGATCGCTTATTTTCAAAGGCATTGCCAGTTCATATACATGTATCAGAGGTCCGCCAATACCATATAAAAATTGTATTGCCAGCAGCATGACTCCATAATAAAGATTTCAATATAGCGGCAAGCAATAGTAAATATTGCCGTAATTTATATTGTATTGTTAGTTATTTCTTCATGTTCTTCTAACTCTCGCTCTTCTACCACTACTTCCCGTAGGCACGCCTATCTCGATAAAATCTCTGCGATCCACAGGCCAAAACACGCCGAGCTCCTCCTCTTCAAAACGCGCAATGGCATCTTGTGGTAAATCTGACGCTGGCTGCCAAATATCCAACCCAGCTCACAAAGTAGTAGTCGTTGCCATCCAGATCAGTCTTTTTCGCATAAATAAACTCAAGGGTGTATACATTTGGCCCTTCAATGTCGGAGCTGTCACTCTCTGACGAAGTTGAGTCGCTCACAACAGCATTCGTAGGGGCACTTGGCGCACCGACGCTAGACGAGTACGACTGGTACTTGAACGCTTTGAGTCGGCCAGCTTGCCAATATGTGCGAGGCGCTTGTTTTTCTTGGGCATCACGGTTCAAGAGGGATAGTGATGGCCCAAGGGAAACAAGCGCATAGAGTATAAATTTAATGTTGAAGTGCATTGCCGCTATAAATATAAGCGGTATCGCTATAAATTGTAGCCAGTAAAAGTGCGATGACTATAATTAATATAGAATTGGTTCTAACAATAAGTGACCGCACATTACCTTAAAATTGATCATGCGGTATATCTATTTAAAGAGGTAAATAAGCGCATATACATGCAACGAGGCATACCAACTCTAGATAAATCGCATCTTCTTCGTCAATATTTGCATGTTGACTCCGGGGAAACCTGCATCGTAACAGCGAATATTAGGCTTATACATGTATGATTCGTTTTAGATCTCAAGTTTCGTCCAATTTTCGCAATGAATATTAAATATATCACTAAAATTATGGCAAGGTAAAGATCGCACTTTCGCTAACTGGATTACGATCTAAAGGGTTTCCTCAGCACTAACGCTAGCAACCGTCGTAACATCCCACATGGTGCGGTTGACGCGAAGGAACGCGAGCTGTTCGAAGTTCACCGGGAGCATAGCACGCCGCTGCGGGGTCAAAACGAGCTTGCACTGCGAGAACAGACGTTCCACAGTGTTTGAAGCCGGTGGGATCTTCACGAGAGGCATGTAGCTGGTGGCTCCGGCGGTCTGCTTCTGCTTCTTCCCCTTTCCTCGGAGTAGCGACGACGCGTAGTCCTCCTCTCTCTCCTTACGCTTCTTTCCAGCTGGGCCCTTGACCTCGAAGCGCTTCAGAGCTGCTGTTTCCGACTGCGAGAGAGCTGAACCAGCGATCACCTTCACAACACCTGTCTCAAAGGCGGGAGTGTGCACAATCTTAGCCGACGCCTTGTGGTGCTCTGCCATGACAGGATACTCCGCTACCAGACCATCAAACATCAACCGCACCTCCGCCATGTCCGTATCCTCGCGCTGCAGCCGCTTGCCGATACTCTCGAACTTCTTCAGATGCTCGAATAAGACCACGAGCTTGCGGTGCTTGCCCTCCGTTGGGATCAGTTCCTCAACCGCCTCCACCTTCTTGATCTCGGAGCGAATACGAATCTAACGCTCCAGCATCGTGAATGTAGATGACCAGCGCGTGACGTTGCGCTTGACAGGATGGAGGTCGGTGTGCTTCTTCAGCTCCGCGAAGTTGTTCTCGTGGCGCAGCTCCACCATGAGGGCGTTCACCTCATCCAGCAACGGCTCGTATGGCGCCAAAAACTTCTTGACGGCTGGGTTGAGCCGGTGGCTGGCGCAACCCACTAACGGTACGCCCATCTTGGTCGCGATGGATAGGTTCGTGTTGCAGTTGTCACCAACCAGAAACCCCACCATGTCGAGGGTCTTGTTGTAAACCTCGAGAACGTCCTTGAACATCACCACGTGAGCGTCAGCGGTCTGCGAGCCGTCTGTTAGATGAGAGAGCCCCAGCAGCCGCACGCGCACCTCGCCATCTGCCTCCCAAACAGTGTACAGGGCGACGTAATGCACACCAGCATGCGCCCAGCCGTCGAACATCAGGCCGAACAGGGTTCCCAGCTCACTCCCCAGCTTGAGGCCAATCTTGATTGCGATTCCTTCCATGCACTTCTTTAGAGCCTTAGCTGTGACGGGGCGCAGCTTGCTCATGGCTCGAGTGAGCTCGTCCTCGACTTCGTGGACCGGCATATTCCGCATGACAACTCATTGCAGCCACTGGAACAGATGGCTCGCCTCCTCAGGGACGAAGCCAAAGGCTTGGAGGGACCGGATGGAGCTGCTCTCGAAGGATGAGTACTGGGCCTCAAACCCCTCGTGTTTACCAGCCAGGTGCGCCAGAAGGTAGGCGTACCCGGATCCGGGCATCTGCTTGCGATCTTGGTCGCAGAGCTTGCAGCGAAAGAGGCCTTGGCCGAGATGGTCGAAGAAGAAGGCGGTGAGAAGCTTGTTGAAGACCATTGTTTTTGGAGAATGTAATGTTGAAATGAGACGCTAGGCCGCCCGAGAATGGCGGCTGGGCTTCTCTACGAGTCTGCTCCTGACCAGTAATTGTATCGACGCTAGTGTAGTGTGGAGGACCCCATTGTTGATGTCATCGGTGGTGCCATGTGATGCCATCAACCGTGGATTTGTGGTGGGCCGCAGAACTGCACTTTTTTTGATATTTATTGTCAATAATTGTGTCAATATCATATTGTATTACTAGCTGGGATGTCACTAGCTGGGATGTCCAATAATAACGATTTTTATTGCAAAACCCAATTATTTATTGAATTGAAATATTTTTTTCCGACCTCTGACATGTATCGTCACTCCAACGAATTGGTACTTCAACGATTGGGTTTGGCAAACCCACCGTGATGATTCTACCTCCTCCTGCTCGTCGAATGAGGGCTCCACGGATTTAGTTTTAACTTTAGTTCTTTGTAGTTAGTAGAACGGTTATCAACAGCGAGGTAATCAACGTAATTTCCTTCCTTCCTGCTACTGAAATGTGCGCTGATGCCCAGGCAGAATCCTTTATTGTTTAGATTGCAGTGTTGTGCTCGGAAACTTACAGGTGACGATAAAACAAGAAAAAAAACGTGCATTCGAATAATTAGCGCTGCCAGGATAACTACTTGCAGGATAATCCGATGAAGCCAGCAATTTGTTTTAAGTTTGATGAGTTAAAACTGAGGTCTAGCAGATTTCGATCGCGTGTAGGAGTAAGATACACCGGGTGTTTGTCCTTCGCTTTGACGATGTCCGCCCGGTGCTTCCTCTCGCACAGGATTCGCGGCGTACAGCGACAACGTAGGAGCATTCAAACTCTGTTTGATAAAACTTGGTGCAGCCGCACACATATTTTGTCCGGGTCGCCTGAAAATCTAACAACAACAAAAAAATCGTCAGCTTCGATTCGTCCAAGTGTGATATTGCCATTTATCAAGTATTAATCTGAAGGTACTGTATGCATGTAGCATTAGGATGATCTGAACTAATATCGGTAACAATGTACTTTGAACTTGTTTTGACAAGAACATGATCAAGTAGTAGATCATTCTACACCACCAGTTCGGTGGATCTCTGCGGGTCGTATTGTAGTCTCACACAAGACAAGCTTAAATCATCCTAGTCTTCATAGATAAATGCCTAAGCTAGTGCAGCTAGCCTTTAGCTTTTTTCCCGGAGAAGACATACCACCAGGTGCAGCTCTTTTTGAGTCTCCGCTGAATGAATTCGTTCGTCACCGTATAGGACGTCACCGCATTGCCGGCGGATAGAGTTGGGTTCGGATTAAAAAAAATGGTGAACGAAAAAAAATCGAGCTATACTTCCTATCATGGATCGCACAACCTAGGACTTTAAGTAGTTTTTTGCAATGTTTTAGTGGAATGTTTTATCTAATCCATCCGGATTAATTCCAGTGAGTGTGGGGATCCATACAATATCAGCCCGCCGACAGTTTATGTCACGGCAAACTCAGTTGACCACACGATTTTCAATATCTCTCTCTGAGAAACTATGCATGCAGAAGAAAATCTGTGTAGGGTATAAGTTATGCCTCATAACAGATCGAATCGATAATTTTACCGCTAATGGAATGAATAAGTACTATGTTGAGTGCTTTGAAGCTGCATGTACAGTAGTATAATACGATGCAGTGATCCAGTTGTGTCCAAGGTTAGCATCATTAGCACCGATGTCTCATATTGATCGAAAGAATACAATGCTTGCTAGTACACAATACGTTGTTCGTCGTTAGTAGTCCGCTAATATAAAATACGTTGTTCGTCGTAGTAGTAGATGGAGCCCACTTCCTCTGATGGCATCTGACATCAATCTACAGTAGAAGGAAAAAAAGAATAGGCATCCATCAAAACCTGTAAGTGTCATCCAGACCGATTCGATCGATTGCTGTATGATGTTGTGTAAATGTTGTTTGATGTGGGGTGAAGTGACGAATGTAGCGTGAATGTCATTCGATGTCATCCAAAACCCTTCCCCAATCGACAGTTCTTCGAACTGCGAATACCACTCCGTTTCAAAATGAAAGCACGATTGGCGTCAAAATGCACCCTCCAAATCAATTTTCAACGTTTTCGCGTAAAAATTGCACCACTTGAATTGAACTGCTGAATTCTCATCTTTCAATTGATGTGCTACACCGACGAACAGAATGCAACAGCCACCTCAGCAGCTGCCGCTTGGAAATAGACGAGGTACTCTTGTACATAAGGGTAGACACCTTGCACTGTTTGTTCTCTAAGCGGATAGCTTAGAACCAGCATCATTTTTTGTCAGACCATCGGTTTAATACATTCAGTACTTTTTAATATGAACTAGAGTATCCAAAATCTCATGGTATTACCGGTATAAAGCAGCGAAGCGTCCGGATCGATGCCTTAACGGGGTTTTGGATTTGGAATAAAACTTCAGCAAAAATATACACGGTTTAATTCACACGCCACCATTACGATGCATGCTGTGCGAACTTCGGCGCAGTGCGACGTTGACTAAACCGACAGTAGTGTATGTAGTGTTCTGGACGTCGCACCACAGTAGTATACGTAGTGTTTTCTGGACGTCGCATCATATTGAGCTGCAGTAGGTACAGAAGAGACATTGATTGATAGACGGACAAGCCACCTTCGTGGCCATGGTGGTGCACTTTAACCCTAAAAGTGCCCGATTAGATGGGCGTAAGGTTTGCTGCAGCAAGAACCTAACTAGAGTAATATGAACGCATAACAAAGCGAAATTAGCGCCTTCAAGCCAATTTGCATCGCGTACTTCATAACTGCGGTGACGTGTAAACTGCTCGTTCGTAAATAGAGATATCTTAACAGGTGCGGTTCGCGAAAAAGTCTCGTTGGATGACATTATACTGAGTTGCAACAACTCACGCACCGGGGCGAGCAGAAAAAAGTTAATAACAGAAATAGCGATAGCAATATCAGTAGCAAAGCTATTATTTAATAGCGGTTGCAGTAGTGGTGGTATTGACAGTAGGGCAGTTGCAGTGGTAGCGGGCAGTGATCTTGACGCAGGAGAACAATTCCAATAGCATTTTACTGAATAAGAAATATTAATACTTCGTATTGATATTACTTACGCAGCAATACAAGTTACATATACTATTTAGAAAAGAGGAGAGTGATATACAAAGTCTAGACGACCGATAAGAAGTTAAGATCATCGGTAATGCTTGTGGGGACGGTGATGTTCAGACGGCATCTACTTGTAAATTTGGCTTGCGCAAGCCATGAGATGCCCAGTGATATTATGCAACAATATATAATAGAAACATGAAGTAGATTTTGGCAGTCTTTCTCCGGCGTGAAGAAGAAAGCAGGGGAAACATCATTGCAAAGTCATTATCAATGCTGATATTGTAGTTGTAGCGTAAATAACAGCGGTAACGGTAGTGGCAGCAGCGATAGCAGGAGATATGAACTAGCAACATCAATGACAGCATTACTATGATATTATTAACAAAAGTGAAATAGTAGTTTTAGTAGCTGTAGTTGCAGTAGGGATAAGGGCCTAGTTGTTTCCATCGTGTCCGGTGTCGAGTGTAGTGTTGTTTATTACCAAGTTAATAACTACTGTTAACTGGTATTAGGATTTTTAGCTATCTAATACCGATTGGTAATACCATTATGTAAAGATTGTGTACGATAAACTGTCTTTTTTGTGGCAGTCAAAACTCCGCTCAGAGTCCGGAAGAATGCGCTTCTTCACAATGATATGACTTCATGCTTGTTCTCACTAGTGTCTTCTTACCACTAGGAAGGTATGATGAGCGCATTGGTGCTATCCTCATCTCGTTTTTGTTTTATTAGCTAAAGTAGTCCTGACACACCAACTTTACACAAAAGGTATTACCGTTAATAGGAAGGTATTAGGAAGGTAATAACGGTAATTGGTATTCACGATGAGGTTAGCACCAATGCGCTCATCATACCTTCCTAGTGGTAAGAAGACACTAGTGAGAACAAGCATGAAGTCATATCATTGTGAAGAAGCGCATTCTTCCGGACTCTGAGCGGGGTTTTGACTGCACACAAAAAAGACAGTTTATCGTACACAATCTTTACATAATGGTATTACCAATCGGTATTAGATAGCTAAAAATCCTAATACCAGTTATTAGTAGTTATTAACTTGGTAATAAACAACACTACATATACCCCTACCCCTAATCCGTTGGTCTGGTCGCTCGTGTCGGTGTTCGTCGGTGTTCGAGAACACTACTTCATAGATCTTTCTAAGCGATGACCCCGTCGAACTCAACGATGACGCAGGAGCCTCACCACCACTGCGCTGTGGCAGGACCCTATGTCGACTTTCGTATCCCTGCAGACCCTATGTCGACTTTCGTATCCCTGCACCGGCAGCTTCTTGGCGACTACACATAGCGTTGCTGCGACCGCTGACGCGCACGCCCCAATAGCGGCAACGACAGCGGCTTCTTCGGTCATATCAGCTTCCATGGTAGAACTTCTGAATCGTTATGAAAATCCCCCCTCCCTTGGTGTTGGCCCTGTCCTAAGCGAAGTTTTGTCCTAAGCGAATTTCTGTATTGACCAATGAGAGAGTCATATTATCGACATATGTTTGATGCTAAACTGCTGTGCCAAGCACGCTAATCATAGACGGATGGCGAGCACATTGACCGAAGAACATGTCATGATTCGCATCAACGCACCACAAGGTATTCAAATATACAAGGAAGCTCGATCATAAGGCAAATGACTATAATCGCACAATATATGCATATTTTGAGTCGGATGATCTAGCCTATTTACTAAATTTTAGAATCTAATCATTTGGCCATGAAGCTAACCCTAACTGTTAGAAAGTACATTGAGATTCGCTTAGGACAGGGGCGATGCGGTAATGTGAACCAATCAGAAAAAAGGAATTGCATGTTTATGGCACACCTTCAAAACACCGACAAGGAAACAACCAGCCCCTAAGCAGTGACAGTGACCAGTAGTAACGCCCGCCACAGGTAGCAATATCAAAAGCAATTTCTTTAACAATAGTGGAATGTCAGTAGTATAGCAATAGAAGTAGAGATGGGGTAGCAGTATCAGTAGCAGTAGCAGCGGTAGTGGCAGTGACAGTGTCAGTGACTGAAGCAGTGGCAGTAGCAGTGACAGTAGCAGCCGCAGTAGCTGGCAGTGGCGGCGAGTGGCAGTTGCAATCAATACCAATAGCAACATGATGATGTTGCCAACATCAATTATGACCGTATTTGAGACCAACCGCCGGAAATGCTCTCAGAGCATCTCTAGTATGAGAATTAAAATATCTAGTGTAGTCATATGAAGCGTTACATGCATAGTACTCACCAAAATAGTGATGATAATGGTAATAACAATAAGGCGCAGCGTGTCCTAGCCGTTAAAGTAGCAAAAAACGCAAAACTTTTCGGTGCGTTTGCCTCGGCTTAGAGACCCGCACGCGAAGAGCGCCCCAGTTTCACAGTAGATTACTGTTTTAGCCAATAAAAATCCGAATTTTTTCTGGTATTGTTACAAAATCCAAGACTTAGTCTTACTAGGGAAATCATCCCATAAATTATTTAAACCAATCATGCATCTGTATTGAAACGGCTGTTTATGAGGCGTACAGTGACCAGATCTTCACCATCGCTTCCCACTGGCTGTTGCATTCTGTCCGTCGGTGTAGTTTATTACATGTACCTGAACCGTTTAGAATTGACCTTTGAACACTTGAATATCGTATGGCTAGTAGGCTTTTCTCTTCCGAAATGCACAAGTCATCCGTGATTTGAAGATGTCAGTAATCCCTCCCATACTCAAACCAAGTCTTTTTTCGTGCTATCTTTCTGAAACAACCTTCACGGTGAATCATGCTTTCTTTTTGGAACGGAGTGGTACAGTACAGTCAAACCTGTTTATATGAGGCCCTGTTGGTGACCATCTACTACAATGACTCATATAAAATGGACTCAGTTAAAACAATTATGTGGTGCACGTAAAGAAATCGTGCATAGTTCGCTGCCGCTTTGCCTTCACCGTAGTCTCTCGAACCAAAGCGGTCACGGTTTGTAAAGTTCTTCGTTCTCTGTCAGTCTGCTCTCCGCATTGCAGCAGAAATGCAACCAGCTCCATGCAGTGTCTCAGAGCAATGGCAGGTTGAACTGCGGGTTCCTGTTCCTCCTATTCCTCCTGCTCGTCCTGCGAAACTGCATCACTTCCTGCACTAGCACATCTGGCTCGTGCACAGGAACGTCTTCGTCCACTGCCAGATACTCACTAGCGCTAACAGCGCCCTCCCACCTCGGTAGCATCGCCGTTAACTCCTCCATCTCGTTGCTGGATACCTCCTCAATGTAATCCGTGTCACCACGGGTCCTTCCTAGCATCTTTCCTCCCAAAATGCGAGTATTGACCCAGCAATTTGTAATTGTCGTTGGCGTCACACCCGCCCAAGCATCAATGGAGAATTGGACAGCTTCCAGTACGTTGAGCTTGCGTGTAATTTTAGCTTCAAGTGCATCCAAACACCACCGCACAAAATACTTTCGGTACCGAGCCTTGAACGACCGGATAATACCTGAATAAAAAACACTGTAATAGAGTTGGCTAGTTTAGGCTACACCACAATATAGATAAAATATTTACCTGCATCCAGCGGCTGTACGGCGGATGTCATGTTAGGAGGGAGGAAGTGAACAGTCACATGAGTCAGGTTTCGTAGAATCTTGTGGCATGAAGCATTGTCGACTAGAAGTAGGACCTTGCGATTGGCGGCCGCCATTCTCATGTTGAAGAGGTGCAGCCATTCGTCAAAAATGACGGATGTCATCCAGGCGTTCGTGGAGGACTTGTACAATATAGGTTTACCTTTAATCGCCGCTCCCTTTCTAAAGCACCTCGGGTTCTTGGCCGTACCGATGACTATTGGGTCGAGCGTGTCGGAGCCAGTCGCGTTGCAGCAGAAGGCCAAAGTCAAACATTGCTTCTCCTTTTTCTTGCCCTTGCGAATAGTCGTAGCTAGCGTTCGATTAGGCGCTAAGCGATAGAAAAGCGCCGTTTCGTCGAAGTTGAACACATTCTCGGGTGTAAACTGCGCCACCAACTCTTGTAGCTCTAGCCTCGCATCTCGCACTTCATCAGCTTCTACAGCGCCACCTTCGCCGTGTAGCGTATGGGAGCGGATCCCATTGCGCTTCTTAAAGCTTTGAAGCCAGCCGTTGCTTGGCCGGAGCTGCGTGGCATCGATGCCTAAGCGCTCCGCCAGCTCATGCGCCTTCAGCAGGAGCACGTCGTCCGCCATCGCCGTTTTAGCTTCGTTCTGAAAGAAAAATTCCCTCAGTTCCCGCTCGAACTGAGGGAATTTCACTCGGCGCCGCTTGGTCGCACTCAGGTCGACGTGGCTGAAGTAGGAAGAAGGCAGGTTGCGCAGTCGGGCGAGTGTGGCACGGCTGACCCGGACCTTGAAAGCTGCGTAGATCCACTCGGCGAGCATGGGGTTGTTCATGCCAGGATTCTGCTTGAGCTTTAGGTGCACTTGGAGCTTTTGTTCTAGCGTCTGACAGGTGCGAGGAGACATGGCGAGCGGAGAAGGCTTGCGGTAGGCGTTGAGTGTTGAGCAGTTGCTTTGAAGAGTGTGTGGCCGTGAGCAGTGTGAATCAAATAAACAGGTGAGACCTAATTTGGTCCCCAAAAATGTGACTCATATACCTTGTATGCATATAAACAGAGATCATACAAAAACTAAGTGAAATATTTGGTAGCGACAAAGCCTGCATCAAATAAACGGCATGGCTCAAATAGAGAGGATCATATAAACAGGTTTGACTGTATACGGAACTGATCAGAGATTTGAACAGATCTCCAACTTGCACCCCCAGACCCCCGCATAAAGAAAACTAACTCCGAGTTGCGGCAACGGGTCCGTTCGCTGGAATGCTCGTCGCTGGGCCGAGGAATTAAATAATACAAGTAGATTGGGGCTATTTGTCCAAACGTAAGTAGATCATGGGGACTACTTATAAGTAGATCAGACCATCAGCGCACAGCGAGCGAAGCGAACCCACGCCTGCGGTTTGTCAGCCCGTGTGCGAAGCACGCGGATGCAAACCCAGGACCCAGCATTGCCCTTCTAGCAAGCGGAGGCGACGCGTGCGAGCCGCAGCGGGCTTGTTAGGGTTCTGTCCAAGCGAGCACAGCGAGCCTTTAGGGTCTGGAGGGCCGCGCGCAGCGCGTAGCAGGGTGATAGTTAAAATACGTTTAATCAACGTCCCCCAGTCTACTTATAAGTAGTCCCCATGATCTACTTACGTTTGGACAAATAGCCCCAATCTACTTGTATTATTTAATTCCTCTCGCTGGGCCCGCCTCCGCAAATACTGCGCGGCCCTGCTTCGTGAAGCTAACAAAGCAATTGACGTTCACGAGTTCTGCATCCGCTATTGCAGCGTCACAATGTGCCAGTGAAACTCCGAGGTGTATTTCCTACTTCATTACACCGACAAAAGGAAACAATAGAATGCACGCGCATACTGTTGCCATGAACCGAGGTCGCTCTCACCGTTCTCAATCGACCTCGTAGACACCATCCAGCAAACCAAACTCTCTTCTTCCCGACTTCTGCGCCCAGCGGTTAAACGCACAGCCGAAGTATTCCCCACCACCGCCTTAAAGGTGCTTAGCAGGGCTCCCCGCCGAACGTAGCTGCCTCGTGCCCTTCGATTCGCCGTACTCAGTCGTCCCATCAGCACCAGTGTACGACTTGTAGGTGCCAGCAGTCGCGGCACCAGTGTAGCCATTGTAGGCGTTGTAGCCCCCACCGGTCTGCTGTCCGGCTCCGTTGTAGCCGTTGTAAGTGTTGTAAGCTCCCGTTGTCTGCTGCCCACCGCCGTACGTCGTCGTTCCAGCGCCAGTGTACGCGTTGTAAGCACCAGCATTGTTGGTAGCACCTGTGTGGCCACTGTAGCCTTGGTAAGCGTTATAGGCGCCACCATTGTTAGCAGCACCCGTGTAGCCGCTGTAGTAGCCTTGGTTGTAAGCCCCACTTGGCTGCTGGCCGCTTGGGTTGCCATATGTCGTCCCGGCACCCGTGTACGTGTTAGCAGCCCCCTTGTTGTAGTTGTTGGAATAACCTTGATAGGCGTTGTAGCTGTTGTAGGCTCCAGTCGGTTGCAGACCTGCAGGAGCTCCGTAAGTAGCAGTCTCGCCGGTAGTTGTAGTGTCCGACTTGTACGTAGCAATGCCCTCAGATTCCTTCTTCTCAGTCGCCACTTCTGGGTTGGATTGAGTACCAGTAGTCTCACTGTGGCTGTTGAATGCACCCACTGCCTGCTCGGCCTTGGGAGCTGTCTCAGCAATCGGCGACTTGTATTCCGGATTGGACTGAGTGCCCGTCGTCTCAGCGCCAGTGTATGCGTTGTAGATACCAGCTTGCTGCTCGCTTTCGGGGGACGTCTCGGCGAGAGGGGTCTCGTACGCGGCCGCTTGGGGGTCCAACATGGTACCGATTGAAAACGCCTTCTGTTCTTGATCCTTGTCGCTCGACGGTGACGGAGGCTCGGTTGGAAACACTGGGTTCCATTCATCTTCGCCGACACCGTTGCTAGCGCGTGGTGCTTCCTGAGAAGCACTCGCTGAATCTTCTTCACTTTTAGTGTCGGCAGTGACGGCACTCGGTGGATCGGTGGGCTCTTCAGGAGTCCACGCGTTCACCTGCGGGTCGTTGCTGGGAGCCGGAATTGGCGGGTCGCTCGGGTAGATCGGATTCCATTGTCCTGCTCCAACACCCTCTTCAGGCTTTGCGTCGTCGTCGACTATCACGCGTGGGGGCAGCGTAGGCTGGTCGGGGTTCCATCCGATTTCGTTACTTGGCGGAGCTGCACCATCTGAGGTGCTTTCCACGCTTGGGGTAGACGCAGCTTCTTCACTTGCTGAAGTCGACGCACTCGCTTCGTCCGATCCACTCGTCGTCGAGCTGTCACCCGTTGTAGGGTCCACCTCAGTCGGAGCCAGCTCGTCCTCGCCCGGTGCAGTCTCCGTCAACAGGTACTCGTTGGGGATGCGGTCGTCACTCAGCGGACAGAAGCCCGTCGTGATCTCCTCGTAAACCTCATCGAAGTTCTCCTTGGTCATCATCGTGTCCTCGTCCTACAAAGTACGACGTTGTCATTTCATTAGCCTGACTATCGATGCATTTGAACCAAAAGAACTGTGTGCTTGTTACCTGCTTCGTGACGAGCGCGACACAGTCCGAGTGTTTGCTGAAGTCCTCGTTCAGCAGGTCCGAGATCTGCGTCTTGTCCGCGTCGTCGAGACTCGACTCGTCCACGCGCTTGAGCGCTGCGTCGCGATTGATCGCCAGTCGATCCAGGTACTCTCCAAGCGAGACTTTGCCGTCTCCGTCCTCATCGTAGGCGGCGAAGCTGGGGATGAACACTTGAGTCGCAGTGGCGTTCGCCGGATCGCTCTCCATGGCTTGGGACACGGCCGTCTTCATCGTCTCGGTAGGTCCGGACGGCAGGGCCAAGAAGGCGCACACGGCTCCGAACACGAGCATGGTCACGACCGACACGCCCAGCACCGCGATGCGCTTCTTCTTGGCTTGCTGTCGCCGCTGACGACGTCGCGGCGCCTCCACCTTGCGCCCGACGAAGGAGGTCTCCTCGTCGGGTAGGCGGGTGACGCCCGGGGTTGCGGGCTCCCCTTCCATCATGTCGGTCTTTGGCTGCTCAAACGCCCGCCCTCTCTATCGACAGCTACTTGCTAGCTAGCTCACTCGCTTCCTTCCAGCCCGCAAAGGGGAGAATGGGACGGCCATAGCTGCACGGCTGCAGTGCAGCCGCCCCAGGAGCAGGCGGAATCAACGGTTCATATTCGTCTCCTGAGACCGTCGAGGAGGCGCCGGAATGGCGAGCTAAGATTTCGCGCCCCTCCATGGGCTCGACGTGCGGCTGCGGACTCTCGAAATCCTAGTGTACGGCACGCCAAGGACCGAGCGCCGCACTGCGTGTGAAAGGACCCGCGAGCATCGAGTCGCAGTGCTGAAGGCGATCCAGTCGACTTCAACCATACCATTTGATGCTTGGCCTCACGAACAGCTTCAACATGCGGTCTGCATGCTCACGACACTGATGACCAAGTTGGATACCAATCCATTGCGATTAAAACAGCACGAGTAATTGAGCAACGTGGCAATCAGCCACGTTCCTGCCGCCCCGCTCCTGCATTGCTCCCGACCAGCCCAGCATGAATCTCGCGTGGGAAGGACGAAGGTCCGAAGGCGAAAAAGGACCAGCGAGGCGTGCGAGCCGCACGGTGCGGCAAGCCACTCATCCATCACGGTGGCAGCGCCCGCTGAGCCAGGCCGCCGCCTACGCTCGCAGGCTGCGAGGTCGGAGTCCTGCCCAAGCTGCTTGCTTCGGCGTGTATCTCCGTGGAGTGCTGAGATGGGGGCCGACGTTCGTGTCCGTGATAGCGATTAAGTCGGGCTTCCAGGCCTGTTATTAGTCGAGGTGGAGAAGGCGAGAAACGGTTTGGAAAACTGTTTGCATCGTTAAAATATTAATAAGGCGCCTGCGCGCTGATACACTAGATCTACTTGGGTCTCTCTAACTTAGCTCTGCACCGTCATGCTCGACTGCTGCATGTTGCGCAGTGCCTGCAGGAGACTGGGGAGGCGCGGAGAGCCGTTCAGAGCGGTGGGGCTCAAGCTGCCGACGGGCGACACGGCCTTGGGCACAATGGGCATGGGCAGCTCCATCTGACGGGGCAGCGTCTCGTACACGGGGGCAGGCGCCACGGGCGCCGTGGTCTCCCAGTTGAGGTGGGCCACGCAGAATCGCTTCGACTTGCGGCTGCGCATGCAGCCCTTGACCTCGCAGCGCTGGCCGCCGCCGTGCGCCCAGCAGAAGTCGCTGCGGCTCTGGGCGCCCTTGGTGCAGCCCGCGTGCTGGCAGCGACGGCCGCCGCCGTGGCCACGGCACAGGCCGCGGCTCACCGAGATCTTGTCGCAGCCGACCACCTGGCAGCACTTGCCGCTGCTGGCGCCGTTGGCTCCGCGGCGGCGGCGGGTGCGCGTGGCGCGCGGCTCACCAGCGAGCTCCAGGTACTCGGGCGTGTGGTGGTAGACGCGGACGCCGCCGTTGTTGGAGCTGTCCGAGTGGTAGAGCGGCGAGCGCGGCAGGCTCGAGGTGGCGGGCACGGCGGCCGACGTCTCGTAGCGCGAGTTGGCGTGGATGTACTGGGACATGGACGAGATCGGGGCCTGCGTGGGCGACTGCTGGTAGGGCAGCGACGAGAGCGCGCGCACGGCGTCGAAGCGCGCGGCGGCGGACTCGGGCTGCGTCTTGGCGTACATGAGCGGCTGCAGGGTCTGCTGCTGAGGCTGAGACTGCGGGGAGGAGGCGGAGGTGGCCGGGATGAGGCGCTCCAGGTGCTTGACCAGGTCATGGCCGCGCGGCAGCACGATGGAGGAGGAGCGGTCGCTGCCATGGCCGATGGAGATGGAGATGGTCTCGCCCTCGGGCGCGGCCGGGCGGCTGTAGAGCGGCGCGCTTCCGTGCATCATCATCATTGGCTCGATTACGGGTCTGTTCTGTTGTTTGGACTTGAGCTTTGGAGCGCAAATTGCGGAATGACTGGAATCTGGGTGAATGCTCCCGGGGGCGGAGGGCGCGGCGCTCGTGGCCGGCCTCAACCATACAATAATCAAGTTTTTTGTGGAGGCGACCCCCCTCCCGTGAGGCGGGAGCCAGCAGCGACAGGCGACGACGAGCTTGAGACGAGGGCGCGCCGTTGCAACCCTAGTCCCCGTTAATCAACCCCGAGCAAACCGATCGGATGGATTACGCTCGACTGAGCTCCGTGAGGGAGGACTGCGAGCTCGCGGCACGACGAGTGTCCGAGGAGAAGAATGAGCGCGCTGATGCAGCGCCACAGTGGGTGGAGGCGTCGCCCGTGGGCGGCGTTCTTGAGAAAAATCAGCGTTGAGAAGGCTAATTAATCCAGCTAATCCTCGGGCAAATGGTCAGTTTCGCAAAGACGGGTCGCCTTTCATCATTTCCGCGGTCGGCGTCTCAACGCGGAGAACTCCGCGCTCTCCTTGGCATTCATGCAGCACTGCCGGCCGGCCATACCCTCTGTTCTGGAGACATACGATCACAGGTCGTTTCGTTTAGCGCGCCTACACGTGATTTGTGTAGAGTATCCGCGCGATGGCAATGGAAAAAAAGGGCCCTACACTGGCTTAGAGCGAGTTGGCTCAACTCAAATGAAGCAGCAGCACCGTCACGTCGACCAAAACGCCAGCCTTCAGCCTCGTGACATCCAGCCACGTAGAGCGCGCAGGACGTCCAGCCGCGCAGTCAAGCTGCCCCATTTCCGGCAAAAAGCGCCCATTTGCCTCGTTTCGCGGCCCATTGCGTCGATACCGTACGTATGAACCACAATACAAACTGCAAGTGAAATGCGACCCTTGAACGCGGGTAGGGGTGCAATCTTTCTTTGTAACGGTTGGGATGCGCCGTGTATTAATTTGGTACTGGCTCACCTGATTAATCCCACCAGCCGGTCCCATTTTCTCGGAGCTCCAAGCACCGAGTGCGTCGCTGCCGCAGCCCCTACGCGGCTCTCCATGTCTTCCCCTGCTCCGCCGCATCGTACTGCAGCGCTTTTCGGTGTTTTCCTGGCCGTTTGGAAGGAAGTGAAAAGAGATTCCGTGGGCCGCACCCTGCCTGGCTCAAGCGATTAATCACACGAAGCGCTGGTGGTATTTCACCACTTCATTTTAATCCTGCAAATCGGGCTGGATGCGCAAAGGGCATCATTTTGCTCACGTGCGATTTTCTCGTCGAGTTTGGGCCCCCTTTTGGGGAGATTCTGCAGGCCTGGACAGCAATCGTCCCCCTGTTTGAGTTGGCGAGGGTCGGAAAAACGTGCTACATGTACCCAAGCGAGAATTAATTTGCTCGATTATGCCTGTGGGCCCCCGGCTCACAAGACTTTCCGTTTGCATCCGCGGCTTCTGCATCCGCACCGCGGCTCCTTTCCCAGCGAAGGCAGATCGGCTGAGTCTCACGTTGCGACTCTGCGGGCTATCCTCGGCGAGGAAGGAAGGCTGCCTAACCTGCCGTGATCCTGCCTCACATGTGGTGGGGCTGGATTCTCGCCTGCGAAGTGCGGGTTCGCTTCCTGGGACGGCGGCTGCATTCAAGGTCTCAGGCAGCCGCGTAGCAGGTTGGCTGTGCACCGAGCACCTTCAACCCGACGGCAGTTAGTTTTTTTTTCATTTAGTTCGTGTGATAGACATTAATCACGACGCACATCGGGCGGCCCGCCTCACGATGCGGGGCACGCCTGATGTGCAGGTTTCCTTGCACTTCCGGGTGTGCCGTAATGACGGCTCACTCAAGACGGCAATCACTTGGCAGCGCTTGCCATGACCACCGGGCTTGCCGCTCCATGCGGAGCTGCTGTGTCTTGGCAGACTCACGGGGTCACCCAGTACATAACTACAGTTAAAAGGCTTGCTTTTCCCCCCTGCGGTGACGTACCTTGACAATGTTCGTCGACTCGACATCGTTAGACGAACGCTTGCCCTGCGGATGCAAAACGAAGCACATGAGCCGGGGATACTAGTTGATTAACTTGCATTGAGCCGGGGGAAACAGCATGTGCGTGTACTAACACGCCCTGCGAGGTTCGAGTTGAGTGGAGATCAAAATGCAGCGTTTGTCTGATGAAGTTCAGGCCAACGTCGAATTGATAGCAAAACTATCTTCCGCTTTAACAGCACTTGTCGTGAACCTATGGTGATAGCCGAATCACGTGGACAGCAGCGTCTGGGTGCCACGACATCGACAGGAGACGCTGGGATCAACGATGACACGATGGCGGAGTCAGCACTTGGCGCGACGAAAGCAGCTGGGTGATCGCCGATTTTAGTCTCGGTCGCGGATCGACCGATCCTCGTCCGCCCGCCTCAGTGTCGGTGGTGGTGAGACCCTCGCTACAGCCGGTGTATGCGTTGTCACGTTGACGTTGTCTGCCCCGTTGCTGCGGTGGCAATTGAGATGAAGGCTTCTTCCAGCCAAGTTACTTGCGCTCAGCCGTCCCCGACAATTCAGAGCGATCCACTCAGCGCTCTTTACTACTACATGTACTAAACATTAAGCTCTGTAGGTTCACCTTGTTTTGTCGAGATTGGGTGTGTGCATGAAGAGCGGTTCAATGTATATAGCTGGCATCCACTGCAAGACTAGCATTTAGCATCTTCAACTAGTGCAATACAAATTACAAGTTATTCAACTTTCGCTCTTCAACTGTAAAACTCATTTAAGAGCACTAATACATATTTCTAGCACTCACACCTTCAGCCAGGATGACCACCAAGCGCTCTCGCCCTTCCCCACCGTCCACCGAGTCTTCTCTCCTCGACGTCTTTGCGACTCGCGGCTGGGTTTGCGTCAGGGATCTATTGTCACCCCCAGAACTTCGCGTGCTACAAGACGAGTGCGATGCTCTTTACGCCCGCCAATCCGCTGAGGCCATCGCTGCCCAGGGCTGCGTGCTGGACGTCATGGCGCAATGCCCGGTGCGTTTTTTCAGAGGTTGCGATTCATTTAAAAAAATACGACTTAAGTACTTAGTTTTTGCAGATGCGTGACTCAGATTCGGCGCGGGTCGACTCCAGGAGTTACTTGACCGCTCGAGCCAAACAGTTGAAGAGCATCGAGGACAACCCGCAAGTCTTCGCCTCGTTGCTCTTTGAGAAGCTCCCGACGATCGCTGCCCAGTTATCAGCAGGTTGTATGGGTACCGAAGTGGAGACACCGACGGAGGTATTTTTCTTCAATGAGCACTATGTGGTGAAGCCGCCCAAGAGCCACGTCGAGTTTCGTTGGCATCGAGACGACGATGAGCAGCTTGCCATGTGCGTGCATCGAGAGACGATCGCGCCGTACGTGTCGGCGTGGTGTGCGCTGGACGATGTTACAGAAGAGAATGGAGCTCTGCAGTTTGTGTCGCTGGATGGGTCGTCTACATTGGATGAAGATGAAAAAGACCAGTTGCAGCGACGTGCTAGCGAGCCGGTGGCTGCCAAGGCGGGTGATGTGTTGTTTTTCCTGTCGAACGTCTGGCACAGCTCGTCGAGTAACGAGTCGGATGCGCCGCGACGAGCTTTTTACGCGCAGTACTCGCGAGAGAGAATCACGGCTCGACCGAAAGACGCGGCGCCGTTGAGTTTTGCTATTCCGTGCACGATTGCACCTCGTACGACTGTAAGCAATGGCCATGGTAGTAGAAGCAGTAGCAAGAAGTCTAAAGTAGCGGATTGAAGAAGACTAGATACGCAAGCTAAGTAGGTCCTTACAAACACTTTTGGTCGTGAGGGTTGTTGCTACTATCGATTACAACTCCGATTTTTTTACTGCGAAGACGATGAGACAGCTTGGGGTTGGAATTATCTCCTGATAGATACTCCGAGCCACACTAGCGTAGTCGAATACCTACACGTGGAAGTCCCTATTTTCCCGTGATGAAGGGGTTATTATACCAGAAGTGGATGTTAACTAAGCAGCTCGGCTAAGTCAATTATCTACGTTGCAAGTCGTTCAGCTGCTGGTGCTGAATCCACGAACTAACGTTTAACGTTACATGATCTTTGCAGTTGCACCGTAGTACCTAAAATCACTTTTCACTTCAACAATCCCCATACTAAAACCAAGTAAAAGACATATATTGCGCCGCTGAGCCAGGGCACCGATCTCCGATCGACGCGTTACCCGCTGGAAGCACCCTGACTACCGACTTCGCTTGATACGGTCCTGCTCGCTCGTGTCGCAGTGGACGCCACAGATGATATCCTGCGCAGTGGTGCGCTCGTGATGATCGGCACCGCTTTCAGCAGTAAAGAACTGCGAGGATCCATTCGAGTCTCCGGTGGTCTTGATCCAGACCGCCAGAGAAACTGCTCATCCTGCCTATTCACGCCGTACCCCGTGCATGATGATGCGGTAGATGCTGGGTTGTAAAGCGCGTTCTCACCTGTCTATCTCTTAGATGGCACGATGTGACAGCTTCGAGTTGAGTTTGAACAAGCCGAGATGAACTTGGACAGGTAGATTAACTTAGCCACTATCAAGCCTGTTACGTAGTCTGATCTAGAGTATCAAAGACGACTGCTGTGTACTTCTTAGCGCTTCTTGCAAGCCTGGCAAGCATCGACCGCTGTTTACTTTCGGGTGCACCACCGAGCCGTTCGTCTCCGGTATTAGTTCACTTTCCAGGCTCACATGATCCGCGCAGAAACGCTTGGACTTGCGGCTGCGCATGCAGCTTTCAACCTCGCAGCGGTGACCCCCTCCGTGTGACCAGCAGAAAACACTGCGGCTCTGGGCGCTCTTCGAGCAGCCAATGTAGTGACAGCGCCGACCTCCACCGTGTCCACGACATAAACCGCGGCTCACTGAGATGTTACCGCATCCCAGAACCTTGCAGTGCTTGGTGATCCTCCTCCGGCCATTGGTAGTGCGACGTCGGTGGAGTGCGAGGCGCTCGTCGATGCTCGAAAGTTGGGCCTGCGCACTCGAGCGTTCTGATGGTGGGCGAAGCGAAGTGAAGATGGCGTTCAGGGCTTCCGATGGGGCCTCGTGGTGCGTGCTAGCGTTAATGTACTTGACCACCGACGACAGCGCGTTGACCACGTCATAGTCCTCCATGGTCTGGCTGGTACAGCTCAGGGGGTGTTGATGAAGACGCGAGCCGGATGCCACCAACCGCTCCAAGTGTTGGGTAAGGTGGTGGTCGCGGGGTAAAACGATTGACGATGACTGGCCATCTCTACCGCGTCGTATCGAGATCGAGATCGTCTCTGAGGCATTTCCGGGCGCCATTTCGATTGGGTTTGTGCGCTGGAGTGCGAATTGTGAAATGACCAAGAGATTGGCGTAAGATGCGGGGCGCAGGTGACGCGAATGCGTTGAGCAGCGAGGTTCACGCACTTTTGCCGGCGGTAGTTTTAACGCCCTGTCAGTCAACAAATTCGGTTCCATACGTAGGCTGGAGGTTAGGAATACCCACCATCCAATGCAGGGCAAGGCATGGTGTCTCATAACCTTCTGGGTAGCGCGCCAGCAGCGCTGAGCCGGGAGTAGTTTTGAAAAAGACAACTTGCTGAAGGAATGGAATGAGATCGCACGAATTCCTATACTGTCAGCTGGTTTCGAGAAGATACATTTGCATCCGCCTTCAAGCGATGCAGAGCTTTCAGCAATTTGTGTACCGTAATACATAGCTATTCAAACATCGAAGTCTTTGATAGTGTTAGACTAACCTCCGAGCACCTAGCAGCTGCAACAAAAAATATCACCCCGCTGCCTATCGAACGCGAGCATTTCGACATGACACTCATCCATTAACTGCTGCTGAGCCAGGACGTCGGCTGACAAACGACGGACCAAGAAGAACGTGACCGCCGATGTGCGGCCAGTTAGAGCCAATGTCGATGTGAGTCTGTAATGAACCACTACGTTTGCCCATCAACAGAGTAGATTGACCTCCTGCAAATCCTTCGTCAGCTTGACGCCTGGGTCCTACATGTATCGCCTATAGTCGAAGCAGGAATTTACCAATGTTAAGATGACTAAGAAGTATACCTGCTATATTTCTCTGATCCACATGAAAACGCAGTAGACTTCAGAGCGTCTTCAAGGCTGCTACCCTTCCGTACGATGTAGCGTCAAGTCACACGAAGAGGTGGCAGCCTGAAGTTGTTCTGAAGTGCCATGCACTTCGCATTGTCTTGACTCCCAAACGTTCGAATCGCAGGTTGAATCATTGCGCGACGACCCCACCAATCTATTAGCGCAAAATACCAAGGACAACGACACAGTTTTGCTGTGCTAGCAGCACTAACCGGCAGTTTATCATCCGTGCATCAGGACGAGAGTCGACAACTTAGCGATGGCTCGTTATTCTTCACAAGGTTACGTACAGCTTGCAGCGATGATTTCAGCCCCGTTCGACCTTGCATGTATATCCATCCATCTCTAAGCTTACCCATCCTCGCCTGAGTTGTAGCAGACCTTGCATACGCGGACGACGTCGTAGTATCCGAAGTCTGGGAGACTCATGCGGTGGCTCGTGCAGCGACTGCAGAAGACGTAGCCGCAGCAACGGCAGTGATGGCGGTTGCGCAATAGCGCCTTGAACTTCTTCTTGCAGCGCTTGCAGCACGGGGCGTCTTCGTCACGCTCCCACACAGGCTGCGAATTCAGGTAGTTTCCCCCAGATATCACTTTATCTGTTCCAAGCAATGGCGAGCTTCCAGGCGTGAAGTGGCGCGAGTCTCCATCCAATGAACTTGAGTCGCCCAATTCGCCACATATAGCTGAGGCCGACGTTGAGCCCGAGCCAGGCGAAGACGAAGACGACGGCGGTGACGACATTTTCGGGGACGGGTTCCTCAGGCCGTTCGAGCCGCCCAGTCGAACCTTCTTGCTGCTGCTGGGGGAAAGCGTGTCATTTTCGTTGCGCAGCGCTGTTTCTGGGAGGTTGTAGTTGTAGCAGCGGAAGCGCCGCATTGTCTGCTTTGCTGTGTCCTCCTTCGCGTTGACTTGGAGATTTAGCTTCGAAAGTTGAGTCTCGAGGTCACGAAGCTCGCGCTTGAGCTCATCCCGCCGAGAAGGTGAGCTCAAGCGGGCATTGCGTCGGGCTTCACTCACACGAATAGGGTTTGGGAGCGTAGCAGAGCCAACATCCGCAGGCTCATCGATGTCCTTGTCGTGGGAGCCACCTTTCATCTGTGCAACCACGTTGATGAAGGTGTTCTTGAGGCTGTTGCTTCGGGACCGACTCGTAATCGACTTGCGTCGGCGTGGGTTTGGTACATTGTGCGATTGGAACGGTGCTGCTCCCGAAGAAGCAGGACCGGAAGATGCATCTAGGTTCACGCGTTGTAGCATCTGCGCCATCGTCATGTGCTCGCGAGGAGGAGAAGATGCCGCTGCTGCTGCCGCCCTTGCTTGAGCTCCTGCAGTACCCATCGCCACAATGCTAGCCAGATCGTGGAAGTCCAGCGAGGCGGCTGTAGGACGCTTGGACGAGTTATGGCGGGATTCTCCACGAGCGCTTGACATGACTCTATTCCCCTCTGTTTCTTTTGACGGCGTATTTGGTTCATCTAGATACTTCAGGTTCATGCTGCGTGACAACTTTGCAATGTCCGACCGAAGCTGCCCTGCACGTAACTCCAGCTGCTGTTCATTGGTCAAGATAGCGTACAAACGCGATAGATCAGCTTCTTGCTGTCGAATAAGCTGTAGCATCTCAAATTCGCGCTGCTGTAGTCGCATGTGTCCGATAGCCTTCTGGTACTGACTGACCCACAACTGCATGACGCGCACACGGCACACAGGCAGCATTGGCTCCATGTGTGATCCGCTTCCTGCAGATGCATGCACCTCTCCAGCATACAATGGATTCAGAAATTTGTCGGTGGTGGAGCGGATGACATCCCACACACTGACGCTGGCGACGTTCGACAAGAAGAGCCGCCGCTCACATTCCGAGTTCTTCTGAAATGTGCCATACCATGACGAGTAGACAGCTTCAGCAACGGTGGACAGCAGCAATTCGTTGAATTGGAAGTGTGTCGGGAACTGGAGCGTAAGCTGGTACACGGCATCGATAAACTGCAGGAAAATTGGCGAGGTTTGGTCGGAAGTCGGGTGCGAACAGCGCCTGGCGAACATGTGTCCAAATGAGCACCATTCCTTTTCTACGAGCTGGCACAGTCCTGTTAGGGTACGATAATAGGGGTCGAGCATGATTTGCGCCAGCGCAGAAAGCTGCGCCGTTCGATCCCATCCATCGCTGCAGTGAACAAGTACAGCATCACCACGCTCGAGATGTGTCGCTACTTCGCTTGCGCCTTGAAGAATACTGCAGATGTGCTCCAACCAACGACTCTTCTGCACAGCTCCGAAAAAGTTGGAATCGTCCACCTCATAAAGTGCCTGGGCCAGACCAGACAGCGAGTTGCGCACCACATGAATATTGTCGATTCCCATAAACGTGATTGCAGCCATAGGCATCCCATCGCGATCATACTGCTTCACAGACTCGTGCCCTTTTCCAGCAAGAGCATTACTCTTCGCGTTAATCTCTGGTCGCGCGTCAACGATGTGCACAACACTATTCTTCTTGGGCATCGCGTGTTTGGATCGAGCTGCTTGGTCGGCTGGAATAGCTGCGTCTCGGATGGCCCAGATCAACTTCTTGTCCTCTGGGTTAGTGCTGCGAAGCACACCAGTGTTGGGCTGACTGCTTCGGCATAAAGGTGCTCCAGTACGAGGATGAATCCATGTCAGCGCTGGAAATCGATTTTTGCTGCGGAAACCCGCAGCCGCCTTGATGATCTCATCATTCAGACACTCGGGTACCATGAGAAACGCCGGATACGTAGAGCACAGCTGGTACTGCTCATTTAGTTTGCACCGGCGCCAGCGAGGATGGTCAAATGCGCCCTGTCGACGAAATTCAGCCTCCGGGTCGTAGCGAATACGCCGTCTTGCTGCCACAGATCTGTGCCCATAGCCATCCGAGACCAACTTCTTGTCCGACATAGTGTGCGGTAGCTTGGGATAAGCAGATGAGTCACTGTGCTGATGCCCGAACTTGGGCCGCCCCATCGGTCCGCCACTTCCATCTTCACTTGCAAATCCATGCTTCTGATACTTGCTGAAATTTGCCGTAAGCGCTCGAGCCATGGGTGGAGGCAACGACGAGCTACTGTGCTTGGGTGTATAATGAAGTAGATCGTCCTCTAGCTGCATCTCTTCAGCAGTAGCCACGGTGTGATTCAGGTCTGTTGGAGAGCAAAAACTGTTTTCAATGCGCAGCCAATCGATCTCCCGTACAATATTATGCAGCGTCTTGACACGCTTCAGCTCCGCCTCACGTGAAAAGTCCCGTACAGAATCCCGAAGCCGCGAAATCGGCGAGAGCGTCACATGGTAGTGTCCTGCGTCCATATTGTCCAGAATGAGCACCGTGATCGTGTTGTTGTTGCTGCGCTTCTGCTGTTGAATCGACGCCTTCAGGATCTTGCTCACCGGCAGCGTATGCACGTCCTCGTGCAGCAAACCCCTCACTCTCCGGTACGGCACGAACCAAATACGATAGTTAGTCAGCACCAGTGTCGCCAGCACGCCCTGGTTCGACTCGTTCACGTGAAACGTAACCGTGACTTCTTCCACCATGTGCAGCAGCTTCTCGTGCCACGGAAAGAGGCAGTCCTTGGGGGTTCCAGCGTGCATCGCAGTGAGTTCGTCCTGCCTCACCGCCACATCGGGATGCCAGCTCCGTGGCAAGTGGCAGTACGCCTGCTCAAACCGGGGGTTCTGCGGCAAGAATACCTCCTGGATGCTGGTGCCGTACGGGTGATTCACCAGGTACTTGAAGTCCCTCTCCTCGTACTGAATACTGCACAGAATGCGCCCCTGCGCCGCCGAGCCTTTCACGAGCCTGCACCAGATAAACACGGGGTTAATCTCCATGGCCACGTCAAAGGTATCCACCGAGAGCTCCCCGGAGGCCACGGACGCGCGTCCCTTGGTCTCCGCCTGGAGGTACCCCCCGCTAGAGTTAAGCGACCGCGACCGCCGCTGCAAATCCAGCGGGTGCGGGGCGGTCTGCCTCTGCAGCAGTTTGCTGTCACTGCCGTTAAAGTTGTAGCCCGACTCGGTTGTACTGTACGCGTGCATCTGGCGCACGTCCACGCACTTGGAGCCTTTGGCGCGCGCGGGCGGCGCGTCGGTCTGCTGGGCCTGGGCGATGAGGGCCTCGGCGCGCTGGCGCTTGCGCCGCTGGTGCTCCTCCACGAGCGCGCGCCACTCCGGGAAGGGCACGCGCAGCGCGCCGAGCAGGTCGTTCTGCGACAGCTCGTCCTTGTCGAAGACCTCGAGCTCCACGTCCAGCGGGCCGGCGTGCACCAGAGTGATGGTCACGTCGAAGTCCCAGCGCGGGTTGAGCGAGCGCTTGACGCGGTGCGACGCCGCCACCTCCTTGCCGTCGTAGAACACGCGCACGAACGGGTCGCTCTTGCCGTTCATGTCCGCGGCCGCCAGCGCCTCGGCGCGGATGATCTTGAGCAGCATGGGCGCGCCTGCTTTCCTGCTTGGGTCAAGGAGGGAGGGGCTAGAGTGGAGTGCGGAGCGGAGCTGTGGATTGCGTTTGGGGAATGGAGACCTGAACGGGCGCGCCGTGTTCGAGCTCTTGTACCATCGTTGCAGCACCTTTGTGCAAGAATAAAACATAGGATCTGAGTTTTGAGAGGGTCTTGGGTATGGAGTGTGTGAGGTTGGTAGATGGTGTGAATTGGCTCGGTAGTTGTGAGCTGCGAGGTAGATCGCTCTAGTTAGCTGGGTGCTGGCATGTTTGACAAGCATTTAGCTGATGTGGAAGCATGATAGGCGCCATCTTGAGCCGGTAAATGGTTGTGCTGAGGTGAAGAGAGCCTGACGAGTAGTCCTCGTGAAAGTCATATAACTTGTTTATAACTCATAAGGGCGTGTTATGTAGGCCAAATCATTATTGCGTCGTTTTGTTGGCTTGGGGTTGCGTGTTTTTCCTGGTCAAGCGCGCTGTCGTCTGTCGTGGGTATTACGGCTCGCGGAGCTGTTGGTGGATCCCAGAAGCTTCCGGCTTCCTCACGTGCGAGATCAGCGAGCCCTGGTACCCTCGGAGCGTGTGGCGCAGGGATCCGAGCTCCGCTCCCCAGAAGGGAAAGCGTCCAGATCCTTTATGTCGAGGGGTACACTTTGGCTCATTTAAAGGGGTTCAAGTGGAGCGCGCGCAATTCAAACGCGGTCGTTCAACGTATCAATTCGTAGTCGCGCCGCTGCTCAACACAAAGCGCCGCCAACTGGTAAGACACGTAACAAACAACTGCAAGCGAGCAAGCAAGTGTACATGTACCGTATGTGCCAAAAACGACGGCTTCGATTCGATATTCGTTGTCGTTGCATTGTGGGGAGCATTGTACCCACCTACAACTTGATCTTTCAGTAAGTTGTCCGCACGTTCTGGACACTAAAGCAAAACGTCCTTCGGGCGTTCGCTCGCTTCAACACGAACGTCTCCGATGCAACTACAAGTATTAACACAAGTACAACATGCAGCCCTCCGTCTCACTTGCTGCCAGGTCGCGCACCGCCGCCTCCTCCTCCTTTCGGCAGCAGGAACATGTTGAGCACGTCTCGGTTGCTGCCCAGGAACTCGAGCACTTGGCTCTCCACCAACCGCCTTGTGGACGGCTCGAGCGCGCTGCCCCCTCGACCGACGCGCTCCTGCGCCAATGCCATCGCCCCCTTGGTGTCCCCCGTCTCCCTCATGAACGCCGCCGCGTCGTCCGCAATGGCGCGCACGCCGTCGTCCTTGGCCAACAACGTCCGAAGCTTGGCCCGGAACGCCGGGAAGCGGTCGTGGTACAGGGCGCTCGCCCACGGGTGTGCGAAGAACGCCACCCAGTCCTGCACCTTGCCTGCTGCGTAGGAGGCCAGCGCGCTGTTCAGATACGCCTCGTGCAGCCCCACGAGGTTCTGCAGGTCTCGCACGGGCACGGCGCCGTCGCCCAAGTATTCGAGCCGATTCAGCACCCCCACGTCGTCGAAGAGCAGGCACGTGTAGCGCGTCGGTCGGCTGGACGAGGACGCCCCCGTGGCAGGACGCGAGTGGTGCGACGCCATCTCCATCTCGAACGTTTCGCTGCCGATGAGACTCACCTCCTTGCCCCCGCGTGACGCCGTGTTGGTGGACAAGGCTTGAAGCGCCAGCGTGTTGGTGAGCGCCGGGGCGCTGATCTGCACGTAGTGCTTGCCGCCCAAGACCACAGCGCAGCGGACGACGGGGAGCTCCATTTCTGGCGGCGGAACCATTGGGGTCTTTGTTGTTGGTTGCGCGTGGTGGGCAGGCAACGGGTGGACTTCGGAAGGAGCCTCGTAGACTGCCAACGGGTCGAGGAGCTGCAGTAGCGAGCGAGCGAGCAGCTCACCACCTTCGCGGCTGCTGTAGTTCTCGTGCAGTTTGGCAGCGATAAAGCGCCTCGAGAAGCGGCACAAGGAGCCCGCCCCCAGAACGTGCGCGTCCGTCGTGCGCATGTGGCCGTCCACAACGAGGCGTCCGTCGTACACCAGCCCGCTTTCGTTCACGGCACGGAAAATGTCGGCGTCGGCGTCGTTATGCTGGCAGCAGAGCAGCCACGCGCAAGGTACCAGCTCTCCTTCGACCACGTTGGCATCGTTTTCATCGCTGCGCAACGCAGGGTGGTGAGATCCTTTGACGTCTTCGAGAGTTGACAGGGTTCGGACACCTTCCAGTACATCGACATTGCCAGGGGCTGTCTCGATACCAATGATCTTGGTGGCGGCATGAAGCGAGATCCCGTTCATGGCATACTGCTTCTCCATCTCGGAGCGGACGACTGTATCTTCGAAGACGCCGCCTCCGTTGTCTCGAGCTGGTGAGATATGGTGGATGCGACTTGCGTGAACTCCGCGAACAAGCAGCGCCTGGATCACTTGCAACACAAGCAACGACCTGCCGTAGACCAGAATATTGCTCCCAGGCTGTTCCTGATCGTCAGTGAATGTCTTCTGCAGCGCTGCGTGAAGTTTTTGAGCTGTCGGTAAGTCGCCCAAGGCCATCATTTGCTTCGGAATGACAGGTGGGTAGTACGTCGCACTTGTCACGTTGCCTCCAGCTGCCACCAAGTCTTCATCCACGAATCGAGGCAGGCGTCCAAGCGCTGTGCATGTACCATCCTGTAGACCCGTGGTGAGCGCTAAGTAGTCGTACGGAATACACGATCCGTCCTGAAGAACCACAGCTCGAGTCTCACGGTCTACACGCACCATTCGGCTCTCGACAACACGCACGTGAGTTCGCAGGCTATACTGTTCAAGCTCCACAGCTGTGAAGGAGCTTTTGCGAGCAAAGTCCGAGGCTCGAGGCGTCATTGTGTCGTCTTCACCTTCATCCATGGGCGCCACAGTCAGACCATGCGGAGAAATGAGCGTGAGGTTGGAGAAGTGCAAGTACGGAGTCGCCAGAAGTCGAGCCAAGCAACTCAGCGCCGCGTCCGAGGCCCCCACAAGCACCACACGCTGGTTGATGGTCATCTTCGGCTCGGACAGCAGTCGTTTCGGCAGCACGAACAGCGCGAACGCAGCGCAAACTGAAGCTCGTCGTATCCGCTCTCGTTCGTCCTTCACGTCGTCGCCGACTTCTTCGTCTGGTGCAGTATCTCGAGTAGCAGATCGCAGCGTTTTGGCCGCGCTAGTGTGGACACCTCGTCGAGGAGGAGCAAGCACAAACTCCTCGAGTGCAGCACTAAACGATATTTGAGCTGGTAGATTTGTCGTCTTCGATCCAAGCCCCGTCGGTACCTGGTAGATAAGGCACGTCTTGCGGAAATGACGCATCAACTCGAGCAGCACGTAGCGCGAGCAAGACGCAAAGATCGGGTTGAGGACCAGGTGACGAACGAAAGCCAAATCCTTCGCGCGGTGGAACTCCATGCGCGCCACGCGGTCGATGTCGAAGTGGTGCGGCAACAAGCTCGCTACCTCAGGTTGACGAGCAAGCGCTGCTAGTCCGACGACGTGGCCGTTTGCACGTACAAGGAAGACTGCACGTCGTGGGGAGTCTTCCAAGTCGATTTCTGCTTCTTCGTTCGCCAGAGCAAGCTCTTGATCCAGCGACTGGCGAGTAGGTCGATCGAGCCCTGCCGTCAATGGGGCCAACTCCGCTTCATCCTCTTTGGGACTGCCGCCGCTCGGTAGAAAGCGCTGAATCTCAAGCTGAACGGGGCGGAGCACGCTACGACCGTCACTTGTGCGGGGACAGAAGAAGGAGATGGCGTCTCGATGCAGCACATAGAGCGCGTGCGTGAAGGCACTTGCAGGCTGAGCTGTTATCCGCGAGAAGAACGCGAGGCACGGAGGTTCCCGTGCGTGCGTAGGCAACGTGAGCAGGCAGTAGTCGCGGTTCGGGAACGTCGCGAACGCAGCCACGAGGAGATCCGCAGACGCCGAGCGCTCGAACGCATCGTCACCCACGCAGAACAGCGTGATGGCGAAGCAGTTCGAGTGCGCTTCAGCTCTTGTCAGCTTCGAGAGGCTCTCAGCGCCAGTGCGCTGCAGGACGCGAGCTTCCACCTCAGCACCACGCTGGAAGGTCGGAGCGATAAACGCCTGGGCGATCAAAGTTGCTGGCTGCAGGCCGTCAGCACGAACAATCTGCACAGTAGCGCCGTTCTCGCCTCGATAAGCCTCAAAAGCAGCCAGCACGCCGTCGCTGTGCGCGTGAAATTCTTGCAGCCGCGTTCGTAGCGTTTCTTCGGTGTCATCACTGCGCTGGATAACGCGCGCCTGCACTTCTGGAGGCGGCGGATTGAACTCAACGTGATACGTTTTGCCAGTTTCTGGGTCGACGCGACGTCCTGCAATGCGGCGGATGACTTCTTCGTCAGGAACGTCCAGTACTAGTACACAGTCAGGAGCAGCTTTGCCACCACGCGCTGCCAATAAAGCATCAGCCTGCGTCGAGGTGCGTGGGAACCCATCGAGTAGCCATCCTCGGCTTTCGCAGTCCGGTTGGGTGATCCGATCTAGCACCACGTCGACAATCAGCTCGTCCGGCACGAGCTGGCCGCCGTCCATGAAACTTTGAGCTTGCATACCCAGCGGAGACTTGTCGCGGATAGCTTGGCGCAAGATATCACCCGTCGAGAGATGGACGACACCCAGCAGAGCTACAAGTTGCTCGCATTGAGTGCCTTTGCCGCCTGCGGGTGGACCCGAGATCACCAGGTTTGGCGGGGCAAGTTCACCGCGATTTATCAGTAAACGTACCTTCTGCGCTGTCTTGACTGCGCGGGTTTGCTCGATAATGTGCTGCGCCACTGCGTGCTTCGACTGGAGCCCGTTCACTGACACCACCTTCGATGCTACTGCACCAGGACTTGGGGCAATGCTGAAGGTGGAGAGAACAGAGCCTAAATGCTGGTGAAACGTAGCGAGGCGGTGGCGAATTGTAGCTTCCGTGTCATCGCTACGCTGCACAAGGCGAGCGAGCACGTCTTCGTCCTGCGGCGGAGGGTTGAATTCCAGGTGATAGGTCTTGCCTGTTTCCGAGTCCACTCGACGTCCCGCAATGCGTCGAACAACTTCGTCATCAGGAACCTCAAGCGCGATGACGGCGTCAGGGCAGAAGCCAGCGGCTAGTAACGCCTCAGCCTGAGTCGCTGTACGTGGGAATCCGTCCAACAGCCAGCCTCGAGCTTCACAGTCCGGTTGTCCCAGCCGCTCGAGCACCACGTCGACGATCAATTCGTCCGGGACAAGCTGCCCGGAGTCCATGAAGTGCTGAACTTGTAGACCTAATTGGGACCCACAAGCTACAGCCGCTCGTAGTAAGTCGCCCGTTGACAGATGCAGCACGTTGAACGCCTCGACTAGCAGCTCACACTGAGTGCCTTTGCCTCCAGCGGGTGGTCCAGCGATCACGAGTCTGGGCGGAGTGATCTTACTAGCTCGCGGTGCGGTGGCGTTGCTCTTGGCTAGGTCATTGAGCGGCCCCAGAGCGAAGTTGTCTTGCAACGAGGAAACGTCCAGTTGGTCGGAGATTGCGAGCAGCCCTATAGCTCGCCCTTGTCCTGCAGCGTTAGCGCTGCCATTTACCGCTCCATTAGCAGTAGTGGCAGCTTCAGCAATTAGACAGACGTTGTGCTCGTCTTGGTCATGAATGAGCTCGGCGAGGAAGTATTCACCGAAGGCCGAGGACACCGCCTCAGCTTGAGCGGTCAAGATCGGATCCAAGTCGTCGTGATCCTCCACTCTCGCCCGACGCACGTGCACAGAGGGGTAGAAGGCGTCGACTTTGGCTTGGTAGACTGCGAACTGGCCGAAGGTCTTGGCGTTCTTGGCGAACTGCTGCTCGAGTCGCTTCCACTCCAGCATCACAGCTAACGACCCCTTGGGCGCCTCCAGAGGCGTCGAGCGAGTCGGCACCCGCTCGAAAAACTTGGCCAACGCCGGCTCGGTCTCGCCGATAGTCACGTCGTCCGGTAGCACCAGCAGCACGCAGCGCTTGTTCACCAGAGTGGCGAACACCGTGTGCAGCAGGTGTCGGAGCACCGGCGGGCGACTGGCGACGCCTGCAGTTGCTTGTCGCTGGGCGAAGTACGTCAGGAACAGGAACGCTGAGGCCGGTGGGAGCTCAAACTTGTTCTCGAGGAACGCTGGATAGCAGGAGACGTCGTTCAGCTCACCCGACGGCGAGTTGTCGAAGGCTGCGAAGCCCAGAACCCGCTCCGGCCTCGTCGGATCTGTAGCGGTCAGTGCCAGGAACGACGTCTCAATGACGGCTCCGAGCAGCGCTCGACCGAAGTACGACCTGCGAGCATCTTTACTGGGCGAGTCCAGCTCGAGCACCCCGCTCTGGTCGCGGTCTTCGCTGCGCCGGATCGAGTAGAGACCCGCGTGATCCATCTCGGGAGTATCGGATTCCTATCAAGACGCAGACTGCCAAGATATGCAGCAGCAACGAGTGAGTGACCCTTGGTCGCAGCGGCCGGCCGTTCATGGAAGCCTCACACCTATGCAGACGACGATCGGGCATTTTGAAGTCGACGGGGTTGTTGCTCTACCCCGGAGGACAGCTAGCTGTACATTTAGTTTACATTTGGCGAGAGAGAGCTACTGCCATGGGGCTCTCTACGGACGAGGTAGAATCTCCTGGCTGCTGCTCTCGCGCAAGGACCCACGCAGCACTTCGAGCTTGTTGCGCACGTATCCTAACAGTTCGGGGTTTTGCTCCACCAGCTGCTCAAACCGCTTGAAGGTGATGCCAACGCCGCCGTTCTCCGCCTGAGCGTGTGACGCCTGACGCAGCACCGCAGCGACGCTGGTCTCGGGCACGCCGTAGAAGTCGCGCTGGAAGTGCAGCATCTGCTCCAGCTCGGCGGCGTCGATGAGTCCGTTGTTGTCGAGGTCGTAGAGGCGGAAGGCGAACTTGGCCAGCGCGTCGGCTCCTTCGTTGACGCTCTGCGGGTTCAATGCGCGCAGGGCCAAACACAGCTCGCGGAAGTCAATGAGGCCGCTGTCGTCCACGTCCACGAGGTCAAAGAGCTGGTCGACGACCACCGGGTCGTCGGCCGGGAAGAGCTTGCGCAGCTCCTCCATGGACAGTTGGCCGTCCTTGTCCAGGTCGTGCTCGCGGAAGTACTCGACCAGGAGGTCCACATCGTTACGCTTCAATGCCGTGAGAGAGATGACCTCGCCTACGTCAGTGAGCGGCACGACGTGCTTGGTGGCGTAGTCTCCGACGCGCATCAGCATCGCCACGTCCTCGAACGCATGGTTCGTCGTGGGTATTCCCAGCGCCTGCGCCATCACATCGCGGACGTTGTTCGCGTACAGCTGCGGGTCGTTCTGCTCGCGCTGCGACGGGTAGTACGCCGGTAGAATCTCCACCTCCATTCGGTTGTACACTTGACACAGCACGCGCAGCGCCAAGTAGAGTCCGGACACTCCGGGCGGCCAGCTCATGTCGAAGTGCTTGTACGGATACCGCAGCACCACCGGCTGGCACGGGACGCCCGACACGAAGGACCCAACCTTGAACTTGGTCAGCGCCTGCTGGTTCGACGTCGTGCCCTCCGGGAAGACCAGCAGCGGCGGCTTGCTCGGGTCGGCCACGTGCGACGTGATGTCGTTCATGGCGCGCTTGCGTCCGTCCGCCGTGCCGCGGTCGATGAGAATGGGCTGAATCATCTGCACGATGCGGCTGATGAGCGGCAGGTTGGCCACGTCCGTCTTCATGGCGATGCTGGGCGACAGCAGCGTGAAGATGTAGAGGCCGTCGAAGAACGTCAAGTGGTTGCTCACGATCACGCGCGGCATGGTGCGCCGGTCGAAGTTGGGCGGGTACTTGACGGGGATCCAGTAGTACCCGACGAGAAACATGAGCGCGCGCAGTAGAATGGACACGGGGGCGCCCACCACGCGCCGCCAATGCGGCAGCGGCGGCCTCGCTCCCGTGTGCGCGTCCAGCGGCTTGTACCCGATGAGCGCCAAGTGGCTCACGATGGTGAGTAGAATGCCCACGCAGAGCAGCAGCACGACGCGCAGCAACGGCACGCCCAGGAGGCACAGCACCGTCATCTTGCACTTCTCGTACGTGTCCACGGGCGTCGTGTACGTGAAGGGGTTCTGCTTGATGCGGGCGGTGGACGCCCCGCAGGACGACGAGGCCGTCACGTAGGCGCCGGCCGCAGCCGCCTCCGCCTCGGAGGCCGAGATTTTGACGCCCATGTCGATGGCATGGGACAGCGGAGTCTCGAGCGAGTCCAGCGCAGCGTATTCCGGTTCGCGCGACGGCGGCGGGGACGTTGACGCCGTTAGTAAGGCCGTGGAGCTCATTTTAGCCCGCGATTCGACAGGAATAGAGAGCGCCTGAATGCAATCCCAAGGCGGTGCGGTACCGGTATGCGGCGTCGGGCTTCGATCGACGAATGACCGGCGTGATGATGGCCCTGCACTGCAAGGGCTCGGTGCAAGGCCTTGGCCGAGTGGCTGCAGCTTCATTTCAGTATGGCGGAACGTAGCGGATACACATGCTCCGGACTTATCTCCCCACAAGTGGTGTTAAGACGCGGCTATTGCGATGAATGGCTGTCGAAGCGTAGGTAGTGTTTGGATAGATGTAGGTGCGAAGTGATCTGTGGTAGACGATGACCTGCAATACCTTGACTTTTAATTGCATTAGAAATAGAAGGTACTTTTGGATTCACAACAATAGGGTGAGGTACAGTGTACCACTAGTAAAAATGGGTACTGTAGATGAAAAAGGAAAGATCGTCGCAATGAAAAATGACATCAGGACCAGAACCACTGAGCTAGCATTCACGTCTGTTACCGAAGCGAGGATAATTTGCAAGCTCTTCTTTATACGTAGGAGCAACCCCCCTAACCCCAGTCGCCCCTCTTGCTAGGACAAACGGGAGGACAAAATCGGTATTTACTTGATTTCAGTAAAATGTACCACAAATTTTGTCCTAGACGGACGGATTATGGTACTTAAGTACACTATACTTTACTTCCGTGAATTTCGGATTTGTCTAGCATTTTTTCGGTTTGTCCTAGCAAAGTGCCCGACTGGGGTTAACAAAAGCACCAAAAGTGAGTCCGAGAACAATACAACAACAAAAAAAGACAGTAGGCGCCCACAAAACAAAAAAATCATTTGGCTTTTCTGGTAACTGAAAATCGTAATTACTGTATGATAAGTCTATTTTGTACGGAGGCCCATACCCAGGGGTCGGCTAATTGGGCATTTTGAGAACCGTACCCCTTTCAAGTAAAATGGGTAGTCTGAGAGAGCTTTAAATGGGCAGAATCAACAGGAATGTATTGAAATCACTGAAAACCTACAAAGGGGTATTCGCTTGACCATGTAATATGCATGCCAACCATACGCGGCCTAAGTGGACGATGTACGTGGCGCTGACGTACGAAATTGCCTATGCAATCACCGCATCATCCTCGTTCTGATCAACAGAGTTCGCCAGATCGATGAGATCGAAATACTGCCTTGCCTGCAACTCCCCTTCAATGGCGTAATTGCTGAGCGTTGGACGGTGTGGCCCCTTTGTTCTCTTTAGCGTGCTGAAGTCTCCTTCAACGGTATGGGTCCCTGGCGAAATGCTGGCTAGCCCATCAGCAAATGCGTTCAAGACATTGAATCTGTCGAGGACGAGAACCTTCCCCCACGCGTCTCCAAATGGTTCGTCCGAAGCATCGTCAATGCTTCTGCGGACGTCTGTTTTCGTCTTGTAGATGTGGATTAGCTTCTTTCGCTGAGCCCAGATCTCTTGCGTCGTTGCCTCGCCAAAATGTTCGTTTAGCTTGCTCTCATGGGACTCCAGAAGAGCATTGAACTTAGTGTCGCTGCAGGTCACCATATCGATTGGGTAGGTCGGAGGCTCCTCGCGAGTGTCCCTGCTGATGTCCAGTTTGATGCGGGAGGTTCTCTCAATCAGCACAACAATTGCAGCAGCGACAGCTTGACCGAGTGCACACGTGTAGATCTTCATCAAGCCCATTAGGCTCGGCATCGCCATCCTCGTCCCCACCACCTTCTTCGTCTACATTGTCGTGCTCATCCGATCCACGCTGCCCTTCGCCAGACTCCGATTCATCATCTCCGTAGGGCAGCCCCTCACCGTCAGCATACTGCTCACCAGACTACAAGCTTTCAAAAAGTCGCTTTGACGGGAACGAGCACCACTTCAGATGAGTGGCAACCTTCTTGTAATCGACTCTTGGCACTCGATCGTCAGATTCACTCTCAAATTTCAGTTGCAAGAAGCGCACGAATGCGCTTAACGCCTTGTACTGCCCTTTCATCGTGACCGTCTTAAACTACAACTTGCGGAAGCACGCACGTATCTGCTCCGACTGCTCGGATACGACAAAGAGACACAGCCACCAAGCGCTGCTCGACTGGGCGTAACTTTTCTCGTCTTGCAGGCGTACGAGCTGAGCGTAATGTTTCACTAAAACGTGACACGTATCGTGGATTGATTCCCACCGCGTAGATGCATACGTCGGACACAAACCCACGGATAGACGCACTCTCTCGTGTCTCCTTGTGAAAGAGATCTCAGCTCCCAGGCGGCTCCGGAAGTTGACATGCTCGTCGAGTACTCTTAGAAATGCGTCGACGGCCAGATTGAACTGATGACTTCCACACCAGTTCACGACGACGGACGAGTTTCCAAAGTGTTCCGCTGCCCGAACACGAGTCGCAAAACCTTGGTGGCGTCCAAGCATGACAGCTTCTCCGTCGGTTGAAATTCCAACAAGTCGTCGAAGCAGCCCCCTCCCGCCAACATCCTCCAGTACATCGAGCACTAGTTCGGCGTAGTTCTCTCCTGTATGAGCGTCATGACCCATTGGAATTGCTAAGTAGTGGAAGTTGTGTACAGCCCCGTTCAGCCCGAAGGAAACACGCATGTCAAGGTAGCCTTCCTTCTTGTGTGTCGCTCCATCCACCATGAGCGCAAAACCCCATGCCTTGTTGAGAAGCAGCTTCAGCGCTGCAAGATTGAGTGCGACCACACAGCGGACGTATCTGCCCACCAATTTCGGGTCTGGAGCACCGAGCCTCATGTTGCCGATAACTCTACCAAAAGTGCGAAACGTCTTTGCGATTTTACGAAAACTAATTCCCATGTTGACACAATGGAGAACAGTCTCGAACTGGTCGCGATCGCGGATGACAAGGACAGCCTCCTCAGCTTCAGTCTCCAGATAATCATTGGACAGATCCACCTCCCCGATATCATCATCCACGGTTACCAAGCCGTGTGGCTCATCAGCGCGATTGCAAAACAGTCGGCGAATGAGACTTGCGATTCCGCAAGGGACGGAAAAAGAGAAGTCTGGCTGGGAAGGGAGGAAACGGTCGATCACGGTCTGGTGGAAGAAACTGTTGCGTTGCTCCTCATCGTCGATCGACTGGTAAAGCTTCCATTGGGCAGCGTGTTGACTCTCCAAATGCTTCGTTATATGGTCGCGTCGGAATGTCTTGAACATTTTCCAGCCGCTAGGCTTCTTTCGTTGTTTTTTCTGGCCCAGGGTCGCCACAAAACCCGCTCTAGGCTGCGCTTTGTCCTCCTCATCTTCTCTCCCAAACGACTCGCAGAACTTGCAGAGTGCTTCGATGACTTCGGTTCCACTACAGCTGAATGGCCGCACTCCTAGCTCTTTTTCATATTTCGGGAGCCACTTTTGCCGGAGCGTTTTAGTCTTGGGGCAAGGCGAAGTCAACATGTCGTAAATAGAACGCTGGACGCGTTGCACTTTTGCATGACTGGAGGATTTTGCTGTAGCCGATGACGCTGCCGGTTTGTAGCGGCCTTTTGCTCGGCCTTTTCGGCGGCCGTTGGCGGTTGGCGCCATTGATGGTTGTGTTTGGCAGTTCTTGGTAAAACGAAAACTGGGAGAAGCAGGTCGCTTTGTTCGAATTAAAATGGTTGGACACTAAACGGGGAACATACGAAGGAATCTGCAGCATATGAAGGAATCTTGAAGCCCGGGGACGGGTTGGCACAACCGAGAGGCGGTTGCAGCCATTGATATCATCATAACCTCGTTTCCTACGTGAACAAGCTTCTTTCGACAACAATCCGTGTTGCCGCATGCATATCTATCGAGAGCAGACGCCACTTAATAGTGCCCGTGTGCCATGGGCAAACGCCACATAGTAACACAAGCGTATACAAGGTTCCGATGGTAGTCATTATGTTTCACAGCGGGCGCTTCTTAGTTCTCCTGCAGTCGAAACAGCCCTCCAACGATTTGGTGGCCTCCAATGCGGTGTGTTTTGCTTCCTTGGAATTGGGCACTGCTGGGAACCTTAAAAGGGGGTTTCGTCTTTTTCTACACAAAATACCCCATTAGACGACCCCTGCCCATACCCTGTTATCTCTTCGTGCCCGGTTGGTTAGGGCATGTTTTTACATACAAAATTCAAGTCTAAAATAGCGTATGAAAATCCACGGAATATGTGTGCAAAACATGCACTTTTGGAAGAGATGACCTCCCCGTCTTTTTATCACGTATATATAATATTCGCCAATGAAATAGATGTCAACCGTCCATTGCACCTTTTCGTTGCACACGAAAAAATGTATTTTTTCAGATTACCATATCCTGTTGTTTGATGTCTTGGAGCCAATATTAGCTCTTTTTCTACGTTCTTTTCGTCGCTGAATTTGTCTCTTTCTTCGCTTTTCAATGGTATTTTCAGATGTTTCTAACTCCACCTGGATGATTAGATACTATATGCGAATGCAAATTCGCATTCCTCGGGCACGAAGAGATAGCAGCCTTGTTACAGCAACATCAAGATGTGCGAAGGCAAGCATACACTATTTGGCCAATCACAGCTTGTTAGGGGTAGGTTAAAGACATTCTATCTTACGCCCGGAATTTTCCGGTAGTTCTGCATATTATCAATAATACGATATACAAAAAGAAGGATAGAGCGCCATTTATCTGATAGCTAAGTATGTACCAGATATAGCCTCAGAGCGAATAGATAATATAGACTTTGCTCTCGTTTTCATGGAGCACTTAAGCTTCTTCTGGGTCACCATGAGGAGGGCATCACGAGGGCTCGATACCCCCGCGCGAACCGCCAAGAAGCGGTCGCAGAACAAAATGTTCGCGGAGTTCCTTAACTCCATAGAGCTCTCGAAAGTAGATATAGACGACATACATAGAGCTCATAGCAAAGAAGCTAGCCTTCAACGCAAAACATGTACTCACTTCTAACAGCCTTTTCCATTTTCATATAGACAAAGAAAAGTGACAAGGCCCGTGCTGCTGCTGGTTTGCTGACCAAGTCTACAGCGTTGGGTTATTTATCATAAGTGGTGAACATGCTCCAAGAGCGCTACACTATATCGCTAGATGACTACAAAGAACCAAGTTTCGTGAGAAAATGGCAAGTCACATTGAAGAGCGCAACTTGCGCGCCAACGTACAAACTAATGACGCACCTGAGTGCACTATTCAAGAGCTGTGTGTGCTGGTGGAGTTCCTAGTGGCTACGGCAGACGTCGCTACGGGGCTAAATCCTATTGACGACGCCGCCCTACTCACTATGATGTGGTATACTTTTTGTAGAGCTGTTGACACCTGCTTCGCTAAGAAACTGCATTTATCCATGACAGCTTCTGGTGAATTGTTCCTTCACATTGCTAGAATTAAGATTTTAGTGGTACAGGGGGTGTCGATTTATAAGGCTTCAGATAGGCGGCAGCAGTGCATGCTTCATGCATTTGGCTTGCTGTTCATCTGTTACGACTACCCGTCTGAGTACCTTTTCCCGTTGGCACCGAGTTTCACTAACCCTGATTTACCTGGAAACAAGCCGTACTCCCAGGAGGAAGCTGTCTTGTACTGGGGGAACTGTTAGAGGAGGACGGCGACGGTGCTGAACCACCGCAAAAAAGAGAAGAAGCGACCAAATATTGCAAGCTACATTACCGAAGTCATTAGAGATACTTTGAAGGCGATGCCTCCCGCTATCAGCCAGACCGCAATACCCGGGCTCACATACAAGCAGACAAATATGGCTTAGTGACACAATTATCACGCAGATTGGACCATACCAATAGTCATATTCCTATGGTTAAGCGCGGTACCTAGCATGTACAGTTGTAGCTTCCGGGTAAGTATTCGCGCCTGTGCTCTTTTAGATCGACAGCCGAATACGTAGGAGCTGTGCACCGCTCTGATAGATGTGTTCGAAACGCCACCGCTTTGTAGTGTTGGCTGCACGACCAACTCCATCCATGCGACCGGAAGTTCGGTATGCCTCTGGTGAGCCAGGTCGCCTCTATACTGTACAATGTCGCCGCGGTGGAAGCGAAGCATGCGGCGGGCGTGCATCTCCGCTTCAGCACCAAAATGATCCAGGTATACATGTAGAGAAGTGTCGTCCATTAACGCAATCGATATATTTTTATGTACAGCTTGGGCCTGTCTGTTTGACAGCGACACAGCAGCAAGTGCTGCATTGCCGATCTCTTGTCGCCAGCTGTCATTGGCGGCAAAGCTCTCTAGCTGATGAGTTCATGATATCAGCTTGAAGGCCACCGTCCTCCGAATGAACCTCACGGAATATTAGTTCGCAGGTTAGCCCCTCGATCGCAGCCAGCACAGCATCACCCAATTCTGTCGTGATGCTACCTATGACGTAGTCGTCGTTCCAGAACGAGGCAATATAACGACGCGACGGTCGGTTGTTTTTAATGTAGAGTATAATTCAGATGCACTTTCTCTTCATTCAGCGTTCATAACACTACGCCGTAGACAATAGCCAATCGACGATAGTTGCCACAACACTAGGGCACCAATAGTACCGTCACACAGACTTCGCACGCCAGTCCCCTTAAACTGCCGCGGCACCGCCCTCCAACTTTCCAGACACACGTGCCCAGTGTAGACACCTCTTCCGACAGCTGCCCGCGGCGACAGGAAACCTCCACAACATCGGTAGGCAGGCAGCGCGCTTAGGCCGGCCGAAGAAATAAAATCGGAAATGAGCGACCTAACCCCGCGACATTGGGTTCGTTCCACCGCGCCGGGGAATTTTGTTGTGAGCGGCATCCAACCATTTTTTCCAGTCAAATGTGCTCGGCAATTATTCCTGGAAAATCCTAAAGATGCGCGAATTGGTATGTTGGGTCCATTCCGGTCAAGGCAGCAAGTATGCGGCCACATCAGTACCGGAAATTATGGCTTTATTGCAACTGGTCGTACGAAAGCACTAACACGACAAAAAATAAAAAATAATAATTTCGTTACCCCCCTTACAACGGATCGCTTTTCTACTGAAGCAAACCCATACTTCATGTGTTAGGCTTAGCTCCACGGAATCTATCTGTATACAAAGAACGACGAAAATCCGGCGTGACTGACAACCTTCGTTCATAGTTAAGGAGTGTAATACAAAATCCGGCACAGAAAAAAAACATGATTGGCTAAAAGGTTGCGTAACTGATCAAAAGCAAAGCATAGATCCGAATGTTTTCCAAAAAATCTGCATTCGATTCAAATGCTAATCTCAGGTTTCTGAGGAATAGCAGCGTTAAAGCTTCTAATTGCAGGCCTTGAACTGGTTGTACGTCGGGATGGTGGTGGTGGTGGTGGGGCTGAAGATGAAGATGGACCCGTTGCCGCCATCCTGGATCATGGCATCGATGAACGCCTTGGTCAACATTTCGATCTACTCCTGGAAGTCGCCGTTGGCCCACATGGGGTGCTGCTTACTGCCGATAATCACGGGCCGCTCCACCAGGATGCTCGATAATACCAAGTTGAGTGAGACGTTGGCGAACGGGGCCTGGAAACCGCTACGGATCCGCGCCTTCAGCGAGTACACGAGCGACGGGATGAACCTGAATATGCCCGAGTAGCTGAGCGCGTTTACCCGAATAACGGAGGATACGTACGTATTGAAGCTGGAGAGCGTTGAAGCGCAGGCCAAGTTAGCAATATGGCTGGGCGCCGTGTTGAAGTCTTTGGCGGATGGATACCGCAGCTTGCGATACCTTCTCTCACACGGCTCCCAGCAGCGGCTTGGGTACGCCTTCGCATCGAACGCATGCAGCGCTAAACTTTTAGGCATTGCGGAGGGTTCTTAAGTGAAAGTCTGCAGGCAACGAAACCTTAAGAAAAGTGATTAATACAAGGCGACATAAGCTAAGGTAAAAATGATACCTACCATCTAGCCTTAACGTCTACTGCGCTTGTGGCATTGTTGTCGAGACTCGATAGCACGGTTAATTGGCTTTCTGTTTCGCGATGAGCGCCGATTAGGCACGGCTTGGGTACCTGACGGTACTGTTGCTGGGTCCTGCCGAAGTTCCGTTCACTGGGATGGAAGCACTGCCACCGCTACGTTCTCTCGGGGTTCCTTGTTCTCGGACACCATACGCTACACTGAGGCGGGTGAACGCCTAACCACCCAGGTGCATAGTTAGCGGGCCCTGGATGTAGACTCCCGAAGGGAGTGCACCCAGAACAAACCCTAGCCGAAGATAATACACCTAGATGCACACTCCAACCGGGATGGCGTGTATCCTTGTGAACAATCCCTGTGTGTTCGTTTGGCTTCGTAACCAGGAGCCTTCAACCATGGATGAGTTGTCTTGATACCTGTAGCTTGCAGGGCAGAACGTAACCTTACCTCTGACAGCCTCAGATAATCTAACAATACAAACAGATACAGAGTTATATACAAGCACGTAGCCCTTCCTTATTCTTTTGGACCGTGAAAGGACCGGTCACTACTCCAGTCAACTACAGCCGCCCCCAGGACACTGGTCAATCCCGGTCGGCTTTAGCTCACGCGCACCACCCCAAAATACGCAGAGAAACTAGCACAATCAATTACCTCCTATCACACAATAGTTCTTAAGTCAATACTTCCCGCCCGGGGCTACTCCAACCGGGGTGAAAGGTAATCAGTAATATGAATTGCGGGGCCTTCCTGGTTTGGATTAGCTCAACCGCAATTAGGAAATGAAATGGGATGGATCAACCTCAGGTTGTCGCCGGTACTCACCCCAACTTGGACTGGTCTTGGTTGCGGGAGCTCGACCCAGATGTCACAGTTGCTGGACCCTCACACGTAGACTTAGTCGGTCCTCCGGGGATGCACGTGCGGTAGGCTGCTCCAACTCACTTGCGCGATCCTTGGCAAAACGAACTATGTATACCTGTTATATGTTGTCCCTCTCTCTCTCTGTATCTTCTGTTGATCTTTGAATCCACCCCATCTTGACTTGTCTTCACTATGGTCTTGTCGTCGCAATCTCCCGCACTCCCTCGTTGTATACTTCCAGCAAGTATAATCATGACTGGGTACGCAAGCGAAGTTCAATGTTCCACGGAATCCGAACAGATCTTGGCTGGTTGGCTTGGTCGGTCGGAAACACCAAGGGATTTGTATGGTGGATCTTCACATCTGAGATGGTCTCTTGGTATCTCCATCCGGGATTCAAATTTATCTTCAATTGGGATCACACTCCACTTGTGCTTCACATCCGGGATGCCTTGGACAGCTTCACGACTTCTGGGTCTTCACTTGATCCGGTCAGGCTCCTTTTGCGTTGTACAGTGCACCAAGAGCATGCGGCCTTTAGTCGGAGGCACTTCTACGCTCCCTTAGTCTTTGCTTCTCGTTCGGTACTTGGCTGTAGCCGGGGTCACAAAACCTTGTATACTGCAAACGCGAGTCTGGCCGGGATCCGCTTCTCCCATATGCTACGTGTCGCTGTCACCCTCTCCCAGATTGAACTACCCAATCACAGGTGGGGCTCGGAGGGAATCCAGATAATCTCCGATCCCATCGTGTCAATAACCCCGCCGTTACATTCGCTCGGCCTTCTGTGCGCGGGGGTTCCGTACGCTGTGCCGGCAAAAGTTCACCTTCGCCGTCGAGAAGCAAGGTCGAAGGAAAACTGACTGTGGAGGCAATGCTCCCTGTCTGGCCTGCTGGGGGTGATGCCGGGTATTTGAGAGAGACCGGGGTAGCTGGCTCTCATCTGTTTGTCGGTGGATTTTGACTGGTCCTTTGCACCGAATCCACAAGGTCGTCGTCCAACGGTGAGCCATGTGAAGCACCCAAAGATGCGACAGAGGAATCATCGTGCGTGTAGTTAGGGCGCACGAATTGTCGGGTATGCATGCTTACACCAGGACCCGATGCACCGACGCGAATACAAGCTACAACGACATGACAGCAAAGCGCGTGCTTCGGGCTATACGCGCATGAGCAAGACTTGCTTCGTGTAACTACAATCTAGCCACCGGACGGCATGCTTTCCGTTTACATCATATCGGAAAGAGTTTGCTACCAACTTTTTCTCCCCAGCTATTAGACGTAGCGGCTTCTGTTTTACTCAGTAAAGATTAGCAGAAACGATACCAACTGGCGGAATCCGGTGCACCGAGAGGCATCCTCGGTGGTGTGCGAACCGGTGCATAGCCATCAAGCGATCCGATGCGGTGCCCGCAGTGGAGAACTCGGCGTCGCTGTTGAGAAAAGCGAGTCGAGCGCCATTCAAATTCTTGAGTAGCTCGCTAGGGGTTCACTCCTGGGGAGGGCACTGCAACCTCACTGTTCTATGATATTGCTCCAAAGGGTTATTCTTAGCGGTGTAGCCACTAGGCGTGTAGAATGCTTGCCAGCGAGAAAAAAACAATGCAGGTTAATCCACACTATTGTAACATGGTCCGTAAGTTTGCGCACAGCCGATCCACGTTCATAACCCCTTTGTCTGCATCCATCATTACAAAGTCAGGATCAAATCAAAGCCCACACACTTCCAAACACACGCGCTTTACAATTCGGATGTACCTGACACGATGGAAAATTGGGTTTTCGTCTGGGCGCACGCTGATTGGCTGAAATGGTGCGCCCGGACAATGTAGTTTGCGGGACAAGTACAAGGGTCTCGGACCCGGCGAAGACTCGCCCAGGATGCATATCGACCAGCGACCCTGGCCCAGTCGCTAACTCATTTGCGACTCTGGTCGGGTCTAAGTCGGGGAGATACGATTAAGGTATACTCAAGTCAAGATGTTTCCGACCGACCAGGCAGACCGACCAAGGATGGGCAAAGATTCCGTGGAACGTTGAAGGAGGTGATTTGTACCCACGACTCTACACTGGATTTTGGCTCGGCCGGGATGTCGACGTCAACCGCGGTATAGTGAAATCAAGTGATAAGCAGAATGCATGTCTAAGTTGCAGGAAGATAGCCACAGAGTAAAAGATAAACAGAGTTTGTTTTCCCCTAAGACCCACAAGCCGCCAGGAAGAGCAGGAAGCGCAGGACGATCGGGCACCGCGGCTAGGTACGACCGTGGTTGGATCTCTCCCTGAAGTAAGTACGCCAAGTTAGGTAAGGGGACTGGGGCGTACAGGCGTCTCAGGGTGATCCGCCTATTTCATTTCCTAGTTGCAGCCGTATTCTCGCCCAGAGCGAGGCCCTGCATTTCATATTATCGATTACATCTCGGGCGGAGTGAATAGCGCCGCTTGGGACTTGGCTGGAAGCCTATTGTGTGGTAGGGTATTGATATTGGTTATTTATCTCAGTTTATTTGGGAGTGGTGCGCGTTTGAAGTCGCCCACGGTTGACCAGTACCCTGGATACGACTCGTTAGTTGGCTGGAGTAGTGACCCACCGTCCGAGGGTCCAAATGAATAAGTGACGGATATTTGTATTTGTGTATAACTCTGTATTTGTGGTTATCGTCCAGAGTCGTAGGGGCTACGTTTGAAAGTGCGTATCGCATCCCGCTCAGAAACCGAACAGCGTACAACAACTCACCAACACGGCCGAGCTCCTTGGTTCGAAGACAAACGACCCGAGAGGGATTGTCACAAGGAACGCACGCCATCTCGGGCGGACATCTTATGGTGTATCCGCCTGAGCAGTTCTAAGAGACTTTGTTCTCCCGGAACATTCGCACACTATACACCTGGGCGGAAAAGGCGTTCACCCGCCTCGCCTCATACCACCCGATATCAATTGCACGTGTTTGAGACGTGCAAAAGCACACAATGGTAAAATTTGCCAGTCTGATCCGAATAACCGAACGCGAAAACCACGTATCTGTTGATGACCATACTATGCATATTGTCGATGTGAAAGATCGTCGTGCAGTCGCCAAAATTTTGAACAGCGATGTACTCTCTAGTGAGACGTAGACAGGACATTCCGATTCTCAGTGGATACGATTTATAGCCATCGCCCATATGGGAGACCACCCCATTTTCCCGGGTGCGGTGGCCAGCTGAGAATCGCACAGAATCACCATTTTGGTGTCTGGTAACTCCCCCAAATTTTGTTGGTCGTAGAGGTGGCCATCGCGTAGCGAAATGAGTAGCGTCATACTATTCTTGGGGGTTTTACGTCGCCAATTCTTCACAAAGTCGGTACCTTGGCTCTGTTGGGGGACTGGACCTGCTTTTTCACCGATCATCCACGAGCATGCCAAGAAGTGTGTAAAGCCTTGCAGCTGTAGATTTTTCTCCAGAACCTAAGCGCTCCACAATATAGTTCTTTATTTGTTTGGTTAGCATGCGCTCGACAGGGGTTGGAGGGTTGTTTGTGTTCATCATGTGGTTGCCTTGCTGAAACATCTCGCGTGTACTGGAAGCGAGGCAGAGTTTCCTGCACTGCCACAATGTACCCGTTTTTGTTCTACCTTGCAATGATTGGAGCGACACGGTACCAATTGATACCTCATCGGATGTTCCTGCCGACGTAGATTGTAGTCACGATCATTTAAAATGGCTGATAGTACAGTTGACTTGATTGCTTCTATCGACTGCATGTCTCGGTAGCTCGTCGCGGTACACTACCAGCGCGTTCTGCCCCGTTGAACGCCATATCGGGGTCCATGGCACTCTTTGACTTGACTCTCCGTCGTCGTCAAGGCCGAAATCACACTCATCTAGCTGCAGGCGGTCATCGGGAGAAGTTTATGCGTGCCTAAAGAAATGCCTCAAGTGGCTAAAAGTGCCTAAACGTTTGAAGTAACTTTCTACGTTTTATCGTAAAGAAGGGTTGCTGATGCCCAAAAATGTGCCTAAAACAGGAACCCAAGATAAATACTATAGATTCATATTGCACTATTCTTAGGGTAATTATTGGTTACATATGCCTCGTTCTGGATTCTTAGGATAATAATTCCGTGGTACTTACGTTCTTATGATACCCCACAGCATTATCTACTTTTACACACGACAATAAAATGCATATACTTCGTTCCCCACTTTCGAATTCGTTGCCCAGTGAATATTCGCCACACAGCTCTACGCCCTCAGCTTTGATGCAGTTATTCATCTCTCCATCTCGTCCATCATGCAATACGGGGACCACTACTACTACTACAGGAGCTCTCACAAACATGCCAAGTACTACAGACAACGACTTACAAAGACGGCAGGCTCAAAACGCCGGCATTAGTAGGAAAAAAACACAGACATGTCTTCTGAAAATGTCAGTTTAGCATTCTAGTATGTGCTTTTACTAGTTAATACGGGTTGTTGCGGTTTGTTTAGTTCCTATTAACACATGCAATGATCGACTACGTGTGGCTACTAGAGCCTGATTGGTGTGCAAGCTACATGGACAGCCAAAAAAGCCCTCAGCACCGTCAGCGGTCGCTAGAAAAAATGTCTCCTTGATAATTTTAATTCACATGTTTCGGAGGAGGGACAGCGGGTCGTTTTCGAAGAAGCAAATGCTGCAGTGGTGCATTTTCCGCGGCTTGTCGACCGCTCGACATTGGCGTGATTGGCCCACTAAAAACAAAATTCGGTCGAAGTTTCGGGGTGTTACAGGAGCACTGCCAAGCAAAAGCACCTCCGTGCAATTGAGTCTACAATTGCGGCCTGGGAAGAAATAGCGGAAACCACCGTAATTCGTAGCTTTGAGAAAGCAATTGCTAGGTATCCTGAGGTATTGATCTGATAATAGTATCTTCTTTTTACACAACACATGAATATTTTCTTATTTTTCGTACAAATGATTTTTTTGTCCAATGAAAACTATGCCGGTTTTTAATGTCCGAGGAAGCTTAATATATTGAATATTATTCAGTGTACCAGCTTTGTGAGTTATTGCCTGTACGTCCGCAGAAAGATCAAGTGCAAAGCTCGTATTATCGCCACTGGTGATGACTTTGTTCAAATCAAGGGTGAACACATCTGCATCAACGATGACCGTATCATCGTACGGGATGTGCAATACGAGATGCGGCAGCTTTTAGAAGTACGCAGTCTCGGAGATTTGCGAGTCGTCCCTACTCGTGTTTGGCGCAACGTGAAGGACGAGATCGTTAGGGAGCACGAGAAGGGCGCAGGGCTTAAAATATTAGCCAAGTCCAAAGGGATCGGTATAGTCAAGCGCTGCCGCAACGACGCCAATGGAGGAGATGTCTTCCGAGCCATTGAAACTTAAGAAATCCGGCAGATCTTTATCCCCCCCGCGCGAATTCCTGCAAGTGAATCTCGCGGATCCCATTGAGGGTATGGTAAGCCGCTTGGTTGGTTTTGGTCACCCCGATCTGATCCGATTGATGTAATATCCGACGCAACCTTCATCACCACGCCGAAACCCTTCTCACAGACCATCATCGTAATGACTTACGGCAAAGTCCATGGTTTGTACACCCCCTGCTGCTACCGACTGGTCGACGCTAAAGACCACTGATCGTACTGGAACGCGTTTCAGTGGGTCAAGATCCAGACCGACATAATGTGTTGGCTTGAAGGCGTGGTTTGCGACTTCGCGCAGGCACTTCATCTAGGTGTACGAGATCTGTTGGAGAGCACGCACATAGTCGGCTGTCTTTTCCACTGCAAGCAAGCCATCCGCGTAAAAATGATCGACCTGCGCATCCCGAAGGAAGCAGGCCACCCTAATGGAGGGAAATAGGCTCGATTTCCCTCACAATACCTATATTAAGGCGTCCGCTCATCCCTCGCAAAAATATATGAAAATCTGAGTTTTACCCCTGTTCTGCACGTTGCTGTGGAATATCATCGCCCCAACACGGAATTATAGCGCCAAGATGCGGCTTATGAGCACTCTGAAGCTTATACTAGCTACAAGCCTCAGACTCGTTTCAGCTCGTCCATTATGGGCAACTTCCAGTGCATCTCAGATGAGACCGGGGGTCTCCAAATCATATGCCCTCTGGAAGTTGCATCTACGAGTTTAAATCCAAGAACTAGAGTCACGCAGTCCATTCCGATATAATAACGACAAAAGTTAACCTAAGACCCGATTCTTGCCGCGCTAAAATACACGGATAGTATGACAAGCCGGGGAAAAGTGTCCTAGACATCGCTTTCAGACGCTAAATCGTTTTAGTAAGACACTCGAGACAGTTTGTTTTTAATACTGCCACGATAGAGCTCGAAGAACGCAATGGATATAGGTTCGCAATGAGTTTCCGGCATCATTGCGATTCGGAACTCTGATGTAGAATAGTCAATACTATGGGTCACTATATACTATCTTGAGTTTACTATACGTAAAACCATCCCTCACCATACCTAAAATGCCCGGTCATCCCTCAATTAGCTTATTTTCAGAAATCAGGGAATTTCCCATAGTTAGGGAGGCCTGCGAAGGAAGAGATAAAGGAGGCCATGACTCGTGCAATACTCAATTTGCTCACAGTCGTGCCTGCAAAAACGCTTTACGAGAAAGGGACCCCTCACGTAATGAAAAAGCTTTACGGATTGATTGGAAAGCCTGTTGAGGCCGAGCGCAAAGCCAAATGGGACTTGTTTTGGGAGTACTTCGTATCAACGTGGTGCGAGCTGTATGAACTAGCGTGTTGGAATGTCTCGGGAATGATCGACACCATATCGAGATTGTCAATAGGACAAATAATCCTTTGGAGGCCTACAACAGAAAGGTAGCCGACACTTCTGGTGTTGCCCACCCGAGTTTGCTGGAGTTCGTACCGAAAAAGGGTTGACCATTTCTGAAATGGTTCGGTCAAACAGGTGAACCATTTTGCGAAATATTATGGCTGTCGACCATATGTCGGTAAACAAAATGTCGGCCAAAAAGCTGTTTCTGCCCCCCCCCCCTTCGCGCAACACCTCCGTTTTCGTAGTTCAGAACAAGTTGCGCTTACGGATCTTGGGTTAACTCAATATATTGAGGTTTTGTTAAAGTATCTAGTCTTATTTTCATCGTTTCGGATGATGTATTTTGGTACCTAAATCTCGCACACCGTGCACTAAATTATATATATATAAACGCCGTCATGAATAGCACAAAAAATGACGTATCAGTGTTTGGACTACTTGTTCGCGCATACAGGCTCCTGTAACTGTTTTAGACGCGTTTTAACAAATAGGTTGGGAAAAATGGATAGCTATGTTAGTTGTTTGCGGAATATCAAACGATTTTACCATACTTAACAAAATAAATGCTGATTGAGCTTTTGAAACTACACTTATCTTAACATTAAAACGCCCTGAGTTTTTCCTTAAACTACAGTTTTTGTGTCATGTTTTTGCACAATACTGCATTCCTATTGGAGAAACGTAAATTATTGGGAAGTCCCAAATACGTCCGTAGTTTGAACTAATTTCCAAACACACACGCCGAAAACAGTGGTCACCACAATAGAAGCGATGTATACCAATTATGCCTTGCCGACGATTTGCTCACGTAGCGTTTTAGACGATCATCTCCTTCGCGAATATAAAAGGGATGAAGACTTCGTTGATTCGCAGCAAATTAGAAGCCCGATTATGATTTTGCCCAGTAGAGTTTTCATTTTTATGCGCTCCCAGTACGGAAAGTGACTATGCTACACAGTCCACAGCTAGTGGTTGTGCTCACTTACTGCATTGACACTATATTGTACCATGTACATCTTTTGTATCATGTATACAAAATGTATCTTGGCCACCTTACTGTGTACGTTCTTACAGAGCGTTTGTGCGGTCCGAACCGACTGAATGCTTGTCACGGTACTGTATTGAATGCGAGTCGATGTTCGAGGTCTCCCTGCTCCTCGAAGCCTCCCTGGCCTAATGTCGCAAAACGCGCCTGCTGAATTACCTTATTAGTGCACTTCCCCATTAAATACTCAGACGGATGCATTTTGGAATTAGTTCAAAATTACGGACGTAATTTGGGATTTCCACTAAATTAAAATAAAAAACAATCCGGCAAGGTCTTGAAACTGCAGTCAGTTTGTTACGCATTTATTTTGTGAAGCACCGAATTCCTCGATGAGCTGTACCCCCCCCCCCCCGCATGGGCTTGCTATATAAAGTGATGGGTAACTTGTGAAGGGTCGTCCTCAATGAGCTGTACCCCCGAGCTCTAATTTATCCAATCAGATTGTATAAAGTCCGACTCTTTCCTGTTTTTAGACCGATGACAATCGATTGGACACGAAGGGACTTCCTTGAAGAACTGGCCCATTTGGCGATCTACCACGGGGGTACAGTTCATCGAGGGATTCAATAGACAAAAGCAAAATGTCTTACACATTCGCACGGGAAAAAATGTATGCAGGTTTCAAGTAAAACTTTGACTATTTGCAAATTATGAAAACATTTATACAAGGCGTGGTATACATTTATAGAATATTTGCGTGAGCAATCACACAAGTATTTTCACGGGTGCGTTGATTTCGGCTGCAGGTTTAAGGGTGTATAATTGATAAACTGATTATTTCAGCTCGAGAAAAGGCACATAGAAGAACTAAGGGTACGTGAACATAGCTTGGGGCATCCTGACGTTTCGCGCGCTATCGCAGAGAGAGAGGATTAACGGCTGGAAGAAGTATACGTGTACTACAAGCACTTGAGTATGTCTGTAGCGCAAGTATTGTAGGCCTCCTTTGCTTAACTTTCCGGGCGATCCTAAGCCTCGGGAAACTACAAACTCCGCCTGCACAAAACACCGCAGTTGTAACTATCTGTTTAAAGGCCAATACCCGACTCGTGAGCGTATATGGTATCTTCATTTGGACTCTGGCGGTGATAAAAGATCAAGCAAGATGTCCTGGGCAAGGTCGCGAACCAACTTCAAACAGCATGAACCCATGGAGTCGTGGATAACACGGCAGCTTGATACCGATGTCACATCAGCGATTGCATCACATTTGACAGGAAGGAGAATTGTTTTCGTCATAAGACCATAGAAAAAAGTTTTAGGTGCGTAGAATATCCCCCCGGCAACGACGACGTTGAGGCTAGAATTTTAGACGTACATAACATCCATCCGCTGTCCAACCAAGTTTCCCAGCAGCAGATTTACGGTCGCAGCTCTAATCAAACACTTACCTGCAAGGTCAAGGTGCTCCATCTAAAACGTTTATAGACAACGTGTTAGCAAGATGTTAAAGCCCACTAATACCATAAAAGCGTGGGCTAGATTGTGTCCGAGGCTTTGGCAGCCTTATGCAACATCTTCATCGTGATAAGAGAAGTCGCCACAAGAATTCCGACGCCCTCAATATCCAGTGCCATATTTCGCTTCCCCAAATCATTTGTCCGCCGTTGTAGAGACGAAACCTTAGCCTCACAGAGGCGGACGACTGGCCAGGGCAAATTGTGGATATGTGATCCGGCGTCTCGACTGCTCCACTCGGCAAACGATTCATCAGGGCCGCTTCTGCCTTTGGTCAAAGCGGTAGACCAAAGCAAATCGGCGAAAACTTCTAATGAAGCCTTCCGTCGCATAAGTAGGTGCGCTTGCCAGAATCATCTCCATAGACCTAAGCGTTAGATCGGGACCCCCCAATATATTCATCTTCTACGGACTCTTCTTCGGTTTCTTCTTCGTCGTCGTCGCCCTCCTCCTTCCCAAGCCGTCGCCCTTCAAACCTGACTGGTCTATCACGCCTGATGCTGAATGGCTATCCACCATCACCACTACCGATTGACCCATCCCCTCCGGTGTTTTCTCCACCGCCCATTGGCTGATCTTCTCCACTGACAAAGCGGTGTCCTCCGCTACTGATTGACAGGCCTCCTCCGTCATAGCATGACTGTTGAATGAAGAGGTGCGCCGAGCGCGCCTCGCTCGCCTGTCTGCCAGTCGAGTTATTTTGCAACTGAAAGCAAACCCTCTCAAACAAGTTATTATTGTTTTAGCAAGTACGAGAGAAGTTCAGATCGCCAGCTGCGGTCTGGATAGTGTAGGCAGAGAGCTGCCTGCCAACCATACATAGTGCGATGACGACACGAGGCCGAGGAGTGAGGAGTCGAGGACGCAGTCCGAAGACGAGCTCACTTCCTCTTTTGCCAGGTACCGAGCACGGATCTAGAGTAGTAGGCATAGGAATAGAGGATAACCAAAAGCGTAATACATTGTAGTGAGCTACCTACTCTGTGTAAACTGTTCATTTCAACATTTCAAGTAGAATGAGCAAGCCCCAGGTTGACAAGTCGTCGGTCGACTCGCTGAAGTTCAACGGGAAGTCCCTGCACTTCGCTGCGTGGAAGAGCAAGCTGATCATCTACCTCAGGGCGCTGAGTGAGCAACACGCACTCGAGGAGCTGCAGCGCAATCGTGCAAAGCCGCTGGCGCGCTTCGAGGATCTGCTCGAGAGCCAGCCGGAGCTGCATCCACGCCCGCCCGCGGCGGACAAAGACGCGACATGGCAGCACGATTTGCACGAGACGCTGCTGAATCAGCAGTCGTCGTACATCAAGCGGCTGCTGTGTGAAACGCTGCCGGGCGGCTTCAAGGGAATCGCGACCAAGCAAATGGACGAGCCGGTCCATGTGATTTGGCGAGTTGTTGAGAAGCAGTACAGCCTCAGCAACGCGGCAGGCGTCGTCGGGCTGGTGCAGCAGTTCCTGGAGATGGTGAACGCCGACTTGAAGAGCGTTGGCCAGCTCCTTCAAGACCTCAACAACGTGCGCAGCCAGGTCAATGTGAACGCGCACGAGGCTCTGCACACGCACATGATCACGTCGAAGATGATGCTGGTCATGATGCTCGGTGTGCTTCCGAGGCACATGTGGGGCTCCTCCGTCAAGTTCACGGAAGAGAGCTTCACGCTGGGGAAGGTGAGCGAGAAGCTCACCAACATCTTCGGTAACAAAACCAAGAGCGAGATTAGAGCTCTAGCCAGTGGCAAGCCTGTCAACCACGTCAAGTCGGCACCTGTCAAGGTGGCTCCTGCAAATCCAAAGGGTTCCGTTCTGGGCAAGCGAAAGGCCGCAGACGGTCCGATCAACGACGTCCACTACAACGTCGGGTACATGAAATGCCACTACTGCGCAGGCGCGCAAAACGATCGGGATGGCATTGGCCCACACAAGATGCTTGACTGCCCCGCGCGTCGCGCATACAGGGCTGCGTGTGTGTTTCGCCGCAACGTGTGGACGTACCCAAGCCGCAAGGCTCGCAAGGAAGTGCACGAGCCTACGCCCAAGATGAAGGGCAATGGAAAGGGCAAGGCCAAGGAGCGTCGTGAAATCCCATTGGCTGAGTGCCTGGCCAAAGTCGTGTCGGTAGACGCGTGCGACGCGCAGCAAGATTCGCTGCCCGCGACCCCGGATGGGTGGGTACACGAGCCTGCCCCCAAGGAACTTTCAGCAGCCTGACACACCGGGAAAGGGCGCTTCGCTGATGAGCGACGAAGACGAGCCAATGGAGAGCGTCGTCAACGCCGTGAAAGCTGACGCCTCGGGCACGGCTCCAGCCGCCGCTAAGCAATCGGACGACGACGTGGACATGGAAGGACAGCCAAGCGAGGACAGCAATCAAGAGATTACCGAGGCGACGAAAAGCTTCGCCAGCATGCTGACTGACCTCGAGAAAAAGGTGCAAAGTTTGTATCCATTTCTGTTAGACGATCATTCGTATCTAACCACAAATTCTTGGGTACTTTACTCAGGGTGCGGGCATGGACTAACCAGCGAGGCAGCGCGGTTTGTGCAGAAGGAGCCTACATGTTTACATTCGCACAGGGCTCTAAGCATTCAAATATACATCTTAGCACGATAAAATTGTATTTGCATGGTCCACAAGGAATTAGACCTTTTATGTTCGAAAATATTGCGTTAGTACCGGAAGCTACCTCGAACATTCTGAGCGAGTTCTGGCTCAGGCGTGGTGGGTACCAGATGTTTGGTTCCCTAACTGGCGAGTACAAATTTGTGTTCTTTGCCAATGAATTAGTGTTGGTTGCAATAGCAATTAACAGGGCATACAATATACAGAATAAAACACTGCAATAGCGTCAACTGCTGTGCAACGCAGTGACACAGGAGCCCTGTAAACCACTAGCTCGCCTAGGTACTGAGAGGTTAGAGCGCACACTGCAGGAGTGGCATGTTAAGCTGGACCACCTTAATAAGGAGGCATTAATTGCAATGTTGAGCACAAAAGTGGTGGCTGGAATGCCAAAATTTTCCGCGCCAGGTCTAAGAAAGATCCCATTCTTTTGCACAACTTGTGCAGAGATGAAGAAGAGGAGAATATCCTACCGAAATGCGAAGGGCTCTAGAGGTGAGAACCCCATCAGCACCCTTCATATGGACACAAACGGCCCCATGAAAACTATAGGAGTGTATGGCAGCTGCGGGAAAATCAAATACTTCCTGAGTATCATTGACGACATCACGTCGTGGCGCTGGACCTACGTCCTACGCAGTAAGAAAGAAGTTTTTGAGAAAGTAGAGGAGCTACGTTTGCAGCTTGAGCGTGAGGGAAAGTTCACGATTCGTCGGATCCGGTCCGACGGAGGCACCAAGGGTGTGAATGCAGCCTTTAAAAGCTTCTGTAAAGGCAAAGGCATCGTATCCCAGACATCCGACGCCTATAGCCCCGAAGAAAACGGAGCTGCAGAGCGAGACCACCAGAGCAAACTGGATAGAGTTCGTTTCGCGTTGAAGGATGCAGCTATGGAACACAGGTGGTGGCCAGAGGCGCTCATGTACATGACTTATGTGCAGAATCGCACACCCATGGCACGTTTGGGAAACAAGACACCGTATGAGATGGTGTATGGGGAGCCACCAAACGTGAGCAAGCTACCTGTGTGGGGATGTGTATGCTTTGCGCATGTGCCTGCCGCCTTAAGAAAGGACAAAAAGCTGTCTGCTCGCGCCGTAAAGTGCCGGTCTCTCGGAATGTCTGAGCAAACGAAGGGTTATAGACGCTGGGACATGTACAACAACAAGCACATCTTATCGCGTGATGTGCTGTTTGATACGACCAATGTAGCCACCATAGTTCAGCGAGCTTTCGATCAGGCCGAAGAGGCCCTCACAATTGAATCTGCTGCGCGCGAGCCACCCGCAGCAGAGGGAAACCAAACACTAGCGACCGAGTCTACGGAGGCAGTGGGAGCTGAAGCTCTTGCCGATGGGTCCACGGCAGCAGTGGGAGCTGAATCACGAGCACAGGGGTCTACTGAGGCAGTGAGAGCTGAAGCAGCTACTAAAGCCAGTAACCCAGCAGTGGGAGCTCAAAAGAAACGCCAACGTGGGAGACTCGTAGATACGCCACAGAGGCGCGAACCCCGCCCACGTAGAGGCGAAGAAGCCGAAGAGATACGCGCACTATCTGTGCTTCCAGGCGATGTTAGAAAAGAACATTGCGCAGGACATACTATGCCGACACCACGGTCGCTCAAAGCAGCATTAAGTGGACCTCATAGAGAGCAATGGAAACAAGCTCTGGAACTTGAGTACGACTCCTTGATCGAGAATGGGACGTGGAGACTCGTAAAACTGCCACCCGGTCGTAAGGCTTTGCCATGTCACTGGGTACTAGTAGTAAAGTATAACGCCGACGGGACTGTTGAGCGGTTCAAAGCACGCCTCGTAGCACAGGGCAACCACCAGGAGTTTGGAGTAGACTGTGATGAGGTATACGCACCCGTTTGAGTCACTGCGCCTTGTGCTGGCGATAGGGACGATATTGGACTGTCATATCCACCAGATGGATGTCCATACGGCGTTTTTGAACGGCACGATGGAAGGAGAGCAAAAGATCTACATGAGGCAACCTTACGGTTTTGCGAAGCGAGGCATAGCGCACTTGGTCTGTGAGCTTCTGAAGAGCATCTATGGCCTGAAACAAGCCCCGCGCATCTGGTATAAAGTCCTACATACCTTTTTGACGTCGATGGGTTTTGCACGCTGCCACAAAGAGGTTTGCATCTACGTGCAAAAAGTGGGAGTAGATTGGATCATAGTCGTGGTCTATGTCGATGATCTGACGATCATGTCGCAGCAGGCTTCTCCTGTCTGCCAGTCGAGTTATTTTGTAACTGAAAGCAAACCCTCTCAAACAAGTTATTATTGTTTTAGCAAGTACGAGAGAAGTTCAGATCGCCAGCTGCGGTCTGGATAGTGCAGGCAGAGAGCTGCCTGCCAACCATACATAGTGCGATGACGACACGAGGCCGAGGAGCGAGGAGTCGAGGACGCAGTCCGAAGACGAGCTCACTTCCTCTTTTGCCTCCAGGTACCGAGAACGGATATAGAGTAGTAGGCGTAGGAATATAGGACAACCAAAAGCGTAATACATTGTAGTGAGCTACCTACTCTGTGTAAACTGTTCATTTCAACACTGACGATGGATCGAGCTCTTCCACCTTCTGCTGACGCCGCTCTGATTGCGTACTCGTTAGCACGCGTGCGCTGGGTGTTCTTGTTCAGTTCCATGAACTTAGGTTTGGTACGACAGTAAGTATGCAACTCCTTAAACGCCATAGGACCATGACCTACCATGCGCGCCTTATAATACACCAAGACCGCTTTAACATATGGAGACATTCGTTGCATTCTTCACTCACCTCCATGCGAGCGATATCGGCTTCCACATCGAGGTGGCGACCATGTTCCAATACTAGTGAGCAGGGTGGCTTTTTGCACCTTAAGAATAAGCATGAAGTATTTCGTCTTCCATTCCGGATGGCTCTTCCAGCGTTGTATCTTCACCCATTGCTCTGCGACCATCATTTCCGAGCCCGTAGCGCTTGTAGAGTGCAAAGAAAGGTGGGGGATAGCAGGGAGGGGGCACCCAGAATCCTTCGAACTAAAAGCCGAATGAACCACTCATTCGTGACTAACCCTGATGGGTGCAACCGCGGTTAGGATGCTTTTTTTGTTGACTCGTAGTGATTGGACGTTGTACACAATAAAGTGACCTACTGCTCAGATTGCCGTAAGCGAAATCAGGCCACAGCGTCAGTGTTCTTCTTACAGAGATGCCAGCTACTGATGATAATAAGTGGGTCAGTAGTTAGTAATGCATTACTGTTATGACACGGCTACGGATATTGTTGAATGGGTGGCGGCATATACACCTTCGGATCCCAGGAACGGTCCCCACGACCAGCAGAAGCGTTTGCAGCACACCGACAACAATATCGATTAAAATATCATGAGTCATAATGTGTTCGCACGAGAAGCTGGACTTACAGAAGCTATGTATATCTAACCCTACCTGGGAACCGCCGCCTTTGGGTGTGTCGTGCCAGAAAAATGAAGAGAGATCACGTTTGGGTTCTGTACGAATTGATCCGAGAGTAAGCCTTTCTCAATATGGGCTTACACTACAGCGCGGCGCGTCGACTCTACAACGTTCAGAAACGCTAACTGAACTACTAACTAAAGGCAAGCCCCTAGTGCGCATCGCGGGTCGTATTAGGCACAATATATGGACTTCCGCTCTAATTTCGGCAGACTTGAACGCATTACCACCCGGATGCCCATATACTAAGAACCGGTCGATATAGCAGTTAACGAGGACGTGATTACTTGTTGCTCGGCTACAACGCAGGTGTTGCTTGACTTGATACAGTGATAGATATTCAATTCACTCCTGAGCGTAGTATCACTTATGACAGGAGTTCGATTCCAGATATGGTTGAACAATAATGCTCCAAAGCTGTATTTACTTCATGCATCTACTCCTACAAAAGATCGATAGCTGGCACCGGCAACGCTAAAGCAGTACGTCCGTACGGACGCCTAAGTAGAACATACGGAGCGAGGGCATACGTGTCTCCAATAGACGGCGCATATAATCCTTGCTGCTGCTACGTTTGGGATGGCATTGGGGTGGTGCACCGATATGAATAAAAACCGTATGGCACCGGCTCCGGTGACAGTAAGTAACCGTCATTCCTGGGAGGTGTTTCCACGTTCGTGACGGCAGGTGAAACTGGTATTATCCCCTGGTAGGCTGCAACAAGAATGAAGTCGAATCCAACATCACTTTTGCCGAAGGTGCTAGGTTGATAGCCCATGTCTTCGCTCATGTAACCATTCCACGTTAAATATGAAGTCTTACCTTGATCGACTGTTGCATTTTCGATTCTTTCGGAGGTATCACACCCTGTTGAGCGGGCGGTGGAAGGCGATCAATACGTCGTAACAATTCCAGTTGAACTCGGCTTATGGTCGGACATCCAGTAGTTCGATTGCGGGTTTGAGGGTGGTTCTTCTATCAAACACGACGGTACTTTACCTTTAGATGGTATCCATGAACCCCGGATACACTCATTCCATAGGGCGTGCGATGACAAAAAAATTCTTGTAGTAAGCGCAGACACACTCATACGTGTCGAGACGAACAGCCCAACAGTTACGCGGCATTCCAACATAACGAGCGTGCGCAAGCAGCACTTCACCACCGACAGATGAAATAGCTACCGTAACCTTTCCCCGTAACCTTTCCCGTATCCATCAAATACTCAGAAGGAGAGACAATGACAGTAGTTCGTCGTTCTGTATTTACTTGCCGTGAGCCTGCAAGTTCAGAGACATGTTGCACTTGATCCATATCGAGAGCGGTGTCGCCAGGATATAATACTTCCACGACGGAGCGTTCCACCGTCGAGCTCACAGCCACTCTATTCCTCGACACCAGAACCTTAGTAAGCTGGTATGCCCCTTTGGTTGGAGGGACGTGGCTAGTAGTGATTGGAGGAGCCAAACCAAATGAGTAGTCTTCAGCAATCGTGAGAAGGTTCAGTATGATCCGCCAAATGTCAGAAGCTTCACGCTGGGTATACCGCTTAGTACTCACATTGAATACTTTGCCAGGGTTATTTGTCGTTGCATATGCTCTAGGCGAAGTGTAAATTTGCCAACTCCAGAGGGAGTTAGTCATCCACCGAATGTAAGCGTACCTTGTAAAGCCAACCAACCCTGTATCATTTTGCCTCTCCACGGAAATTTGATTCCATTCTGTAACAAGTATATCCCAGCTAAGAGCGTAATGCATATCTAATATTCCACAATAGACAGCAGCGCGGACCAATTCAGGCAAATGTCGAATGCGCTTCCGGACATTGTACAATACGTGGGGAAAAAATGAGAAAGTGCTGATTTCGGACTCAGATAATCTCACGAGACCATTGAGTTGCTCAAGTTCTGCACCCCCCGTAACTGCGTCAACTCGTAGTCGCACACCCATGCGCTCGTAAAAATATAGGCCGGGTGCAAAAAAATACTTAGACATGTCCAAGCATCCAGAGCATACCAACGCTTGATACCCTGTGAAGGGTGGGGGGGCAAATATAGGTTTCCCCAGTATACGTTTGATTACTAACCTTTTATAATCCGTTTCTACGTGCGAACAATGAAGCTACGCTCAACAAGATGATGGAATTGTATCTCAAAATCCCCGTGTTCGATAAACTGAGGATAATACTCAGCGCACACGGGTCCGGCGGTTCATGGACCGCTACAACCCATGCACGAGGGGACGGTGGCGGCTCGTGCAAAGCTCCGAGAAAGCGCGCAGACAGCTCTGGCAAAAGTCAAGCAACGAGTGAGCAACGGCGCTACGGTTGCAGAGCACACTGGAGTCGACAGTGAAGACAAGACCACCAAGTCACTAGTTCCAGAACCCGCTGCCCAATCGGCTCAAGATCTAGAACCTTCTGATCAATTAGCGCAAGCTCAAGAGCCTATCGGCCAATTAGGACCCATCGAATCAAGTCATGGACCCACCAACCAATCCGCTCACGGATCCGGCGGCGAAGTTGAAGCTGAAAGTTCGATTCGGAGTAGGACGAGGCAGTTTTTCAATCAAACGTCATGGTGGCAGAACCGACCGAAGGATCGGCACCTTGATAGCCTGACTCGAGCGCTGCTACATACACCCTCAGGCGCTCCGCGCACCTGTCGGCAATCCTTTGACAGTGGATGGTGCCTGTGCCCGTCAACAGTTCCGTACCGGTGTTTGCGGAACCCTTGGCGAGCATCAGGGCGGGGGATATAGTGACGGGCGCCGTTGCTGACTACCGACTCCCCCATTTTGCCATACGGACACAAGGACTCGTGTTTCCTGTACTAGCTTCGCGGAGATTAAGTTTGCGTGTAAGCGCCGGACAGACCGGGTGCATGGTGCGACGGATATCACGGGTGATATGGCTTGGGGGACCTTCCGCTTTTTTTTGCTGCCTGTAAATCTCGATGAGCGTTGGAGCTTGCTGGTTATGGAGAATTATCTGAAAGGGGGAAGGTGTTCTTTCACGCGAACTCGATGACAGGGCTGCATGAGCTGGGCTACCTGTGTTCTGTGCTCAAGTGCTTATTCCAAGCAATACACTCTGATGCAGCGGGCCTCCAAGATCCACTCACTTGGGTATGTGCGTAAGCCTCGCCAACCATACCGCATCGTTTGCGGTATTTACATGCTGCACTATCTGGACAAGGTGAAGTGCTACGTCGAGAAACACCAGCCACGCTCGCTCGTGAACGTGGTGAGTCTACCAACGATCGATCCATTTAACAATGCGAGCGCGTAACAATGCGAGCGCGGAGAAGGGCATCGCAACTGAGCCCCGAAATCATAAACTTAGCATAGCCAGCGAAGTGGTGTATGGGCGGGTGCATCGGGGCTCTACAGGCTCGAACAGAGGCGGCGCCCCCGACCAGGCCTGGGCGCTTGCTTCTCGGTGCGCCCAACCTGGGAAGAGCGTATTCTAGAAAGTGGATATACATACTTAAAATAGAGTCTGTCTTAGGTACGCAAATGTCTACGAGATGCACGTCGATAATTCCGTTTCCTGATGATAAACGACGCTCCCGGATAGGCGCTTGTCCCGTCTACTGCACATGTTTGGTTTAGACCTCTTTTGATCGTTCCCCAAAACGTTTTAATCGTGTACTTTACCCGACCTGGAGCGAGGATGTCTCCAACCTTGGGCACATTAACAGTGTGAACTTGCTATCTAAAACATCATTGTGCGTCTTGGCCTGAAACGCTCGAGCAGTTAAAACCGTATGTGTGTATCCTCTCACTACGCACACATGAAGTGATGTTTACGGTAGAGATCAACGAACGGGGCGAAATCCGCATTGAGCAGGATGAGGGTGATAGGAGATATCGCTCTGGTGTGATACTCCCAACCCTCCGATACGTGCAGCTGCTCGCCGTTCTTGTCCGTAAGAAGCACCTTGTCCTACCTCACTGGCTTGATCAGCGATGGCGGCGTCGCAGTCTGATCTTCGAGCAGCACCTCCGCACCGTCTGACTTGGCGACCGTGGTCACGTCCAGCTCGTACTCTGTTTTCTCGCGGTTGATGGTGTCATTACTCAGTGCGACGGGTCCGACCACCGACATAGCGCGGTTTTAAGTTGCCTTGCGACGTGGGATACAATGCAGTAAGACAATGTATTTGGCTGCTTAACGTGGGCGTCTTTCCGAAAGGTCCTCGAGCCGCTGCACCAGCGACGGTTGCGGTCCGGGCGTCCGTAAGTCTTGTCCACCCAGTCCTGCACGCGAGCTGGAAGCAGATCGGACCAATTTGTGTGTGCGACGTCTAGCAGGCATGGTTCCTGGCCACGACGGTTGATCGGAAGCAGGAGACAAGTATCATCAGGCACGGCAGATCCTCGACTCGGTTCACGACGCGATACGCGGTTCACGTCGCGGTGCTCACGGGTGCTTCGATCTGACGAAGTCAGCGCGCTCACCAGGGCGAAGATTCACTCAGGGGACTGGTAATCGATGGTGCGGGGCGCCTCGCAGTAACCATGCCACCAATGCGGGCTGTCAGATTGTGTAAGTGATCCGGTGCATGTTCAAGGAACCTGTTGGCGTACCGCAGGGTGAGCCGAACTCGCGTCGGATTGTTGCCTGGGTCCGCAGGCTTGTGCTTGGCCACGAACACTCGTAGACGCGAGGTGCGCTTGGGTACATGATCGTACCAGAATTCATTGCCAAAGGCTGCGAGACCGTAGATGCCATCCAGGATGTCATCGGAGGGGCCGCAACAAGTTGGAGCCGGAGGCAGCACAACCAATGAACTAAAGTCACTCGCAAAGTTGGACTTGTTTGATCCATTCTCAAGCGTGTCCATCTCAGATACTTCACGGAAGTGTAGCAGAGTCAGGCCTCAGGAGCCCAAACTTCCGCTGAATAGCGCCATCAGAACGGCCGGGGTGACGACGAACTTGATACGGTCCGTCTCTGGCATCCACAGGACGAAAGTCATTGGAGATATAGTTTTACATTTCTGCATCAGGTACAGCTTGAATATTCTTCCACCCGCGAGCAAATAAGCTTTGTGGTGGATTGTATTCACCTTTTGCCTTCTTACGTCCCTCCGGGAAGCTCGCACAAAACAGGAAACAGAGCGCTTCTGGTGGCAGCTCACCCCTCGCGTTAGGCGCCGTGCCGACGACGTCAACTGAAAGCTGACTGCGGCCACGCCGACAGGCGACGACGGTTGTCACTCGCGATTTTTCAGCCCAAGGCCCACAAGCATAAGCCCAGGAAGCCTGCGCCATTCCACTCGCCAGCGCCCACCCTCACACTCCACGCCCGCTCCACGCCGATGTAGCTTAACGGGGAAGTGAGGGACTGTGTCCTCTGGATGCTGGTTCAATTCTGGCCGTTGGCGGGATTGCGTGGAGCGACGGAGGTGTCGAGGTGCTAAGCGCATCGGATGGAGCCTGTGTCATGTTGGTTGCGTCCCAGAGGTGTGTGCCTGACGATTTGCCTGTTGGATTTCATGCGCAGTTACTGAGCGACAAGCGAAGCGACAGCGGCGGTATGCGATGTTTTTAGAAGCTTCCAGCGCTTTCGAAGCGATGCAGCTTTGCGTAGGGCTTATTTTTGTCGAAGGCGCGAAGGCGCTCATTGACAGCAGTGTCCATCGCTTGAGCCAGTGTCCAGAGGAGTCCTTCCCGGTTTGGTAAGCTGCTGCGTCTCCTGAATTGTTTCGCGCAGGTTCCTGATGTACCTCGACATGCTTATGATAGCGTAGCATCATAATATTCACTGCTGTTTTTGCCTCTTCTCTTTGTTTCGATCTTTCTTTCTTTTAACCTTCGTGTACCAGTTGAGGAGGCAAACAGCAAGCGTGGTCGCCGTTGCTGGTGGTGGGACAGACGGCTCTACAGTAGCAGGTGCTTCTTCCAAGGCTGCGTGTGCAGATGCATTGCGTACACTGAGAGCCCGTAGCTGTGCCTGGGCATCTTCGAGACGGCCATTAATACTCACGAGTTGTGTGAGCATGTTCTCAAGTGTGGAAGGCAGCAAGATATCGCGTCCAGCGACAGCATTACCGACTTGAGCATGGTTCACAGCCTGCCAGTGGTCTCTCAGCCCCCCCCCCCCCCACTCACAGCATGTGTCTATCGTAACATAACAGCCCAAACACATGTTCGTTGTAGCAATTCCGCGCTCCAACCCGTACAGGTAGGGGGATACGAAGGCCAAGGAGCTGCTCTTAAACGTCAAAGCTAATACAGTCTCCAAGTGCATGAGCAGTGAAGCAAAGGTGACGTCGATCACATCAAAGGCGACCTTGAAGCGAGTGTACTGAAAGCCGAGTACGTGGTGGAAGAGCGCATTGCGCACGGTAAGCTGACCAAACTCCAGATCCGACAGCTGCCGCTCAAGGTCACGATTTGAAGGCGTTGTTACAGGTAGGTCAGGAGCTGGGTACCCTGCTAAAACCTTGGCTACCCTCTGATCCTCCTTTGTGGTTGTTCCTATATAGGCAAACGCCTTCGTGATTGACTCCAGTAGTCAGGCACCGCGCGTGGAGATTCACTGGATTGCCAGCTTGGGTGGAGCGTTGGCGTACGCCGCCGCGCCGCGTCGGATTGAGTGGCTACTCATATTCACAATAGCCATGGAAATGCCGATCGTTAGCATGGAACGGTAGTAGCAGCAACATATCTAAAGCGCAGCTCCTAACTCTAAATATTGGCTGAGATATAGCTACAAACTCGGGTATGTGATAACACTTGGCTCGGAGTGAAGTTGAAAAGGATACATAACATATGCAAATGCGAATCACACCCTAAAAACATCTGGAATCTGTTACAACCGGTGGCTTTGAACGTCTTGAGAATTAATCCAAGCATTAGTAACACCTTCACCCAAATGGTTTTGTGTAATGTTCTGCATTCGTTGTAGGCGAGATCGATGTTCATTGTACGTAGATCTTCATCGTAGTATCGAGGGTAGAGTTTTTATCGAGAGAGGTGGTGAAGAACATACTGCTTCGACTTCGGTATGATTGTGCTATGTAAACCCCTAGAACAGTATATCTTATAGGAGTCATTGCTTTTGGATGCCTCCACCGGGGTATCATATGATCCGGTTTGTCTATAATGTCCACTTCGTCTTTTCTGAGCAGCGGGGCCCACAGTATATCGGTAATAAGGACATAGCTTTGTCAGTAACAGCCAGTAGCAACTGGTATATTACTCACGCATAGAATTTACTATCGAACGTAATACATGCTCTGTGCGCGTCGAAGGTCATTCCTTGATTACTGTTTGGTGACCTTGAAACAGAAGCAGTATCATCACAGTGCAGTACAAAGTGCTACCTGAGGCCCTTCTGGCAATACCATTAAACGGAGTATTATCAGTGGTACTGGCATGGCCAAAATAGTGCACATCCATCCACCGCACAATCAGAGTTGGTGTCACCGGTAGTTTTTCGCGGGAAGTACCTTCGTAATGGCATCTCCATTCACGCCAGCAAGGGACACCCAATATTATCTCCAACCCCTGTTTTATATGTTATAGCGAAAGACGATATGTCTTCCCCCGCCTGTTTTTAGTTAATTCGCTCATTTCACCAAAATCCTTTTTTTTTATTGTTGAGCGCACCCATCATTTTTGATTGGTATTTTTTATTTTTTTCTTGAGACAAAATCAATACCAGAATCTACATATTCAATACGGTAAGGTGTTCGATGAAAGACTTATTTTACCTATCACTCTTTCGATTTAGTCTCTTTGCAGTTCCGTCCAATATGTTGCGTTTACATACCCCGCGTTTAACGATTGGATACTTGGATTTGAACCAAAACAACATGTGACCGGTATCACAGAATGGCTGCTGCTCAATTCACGCTTGATCAATTTGCGCAAGAAGAAAAACGCACCTTCACTAGTTTCACCTCGGTTAATCTTCCGCAATCATTTTGGCACTTCAGGTAAACCGCCCAACACGTTTAAAAGCTCTAAATCATACTGAAAGGTTCCGGTTTTTGGATACACCGTTGCATCTGTGTGTTGGCGCTGGAGCAGTCTTCGTACCACATAGCTCATCGTTGGTTGCGGCTCAAATGATACCAAACGTTTCCGGTAATCGAATGCTGGTGAATCTCCACCTTCCGTCTATCGATATCTTAGTTAAAAAGCAGCACTCAGATTATCTGAACTATCACGGCCGTTCAGAAAAGCGGTTCACAAGCGATGGCAGAAATGAGCTAAGACGCCAGGGCTTGCCAAATTGTTAGATCCAATGCGCTTCTCTTCGTACCTTTCTAGTACCGCTTTTTAAAGAGGAGATCAACCCAGGAGCTTTCTTCATCACAGATAATCGCAACCCCCTGGGTATACCATCCTTCATAGCGATGCCATTAGGCGTAGCCTATTTGCGGGCGAAGTCAGATTTCATTGTAGCTAGATGTGTGCTCATGCTAGCCCTGGGTTGCGATTGCGCTATAGCAAGTGTTAAACCCACCGGCATCGTACAAAAGGAACTCCCTCCAATCGAAAACATTCTCTCGCAACAACAGCCGAAAGAGGGAAGATCTGGATGTGGGCTGTAGAATCCATTGCGGTGGATGACGACTTGCTTCACGTTGTCAGCGTTTGACTTGAGCCCTACCCGTTCCGAACGAGGCATGGTTTGCGGAGGTAGTGTAGAGTCTAGTCTACACATCATTGATGAAGTCAGCCTTTTCGTGTTTCAAACACGCTTCTCATGGAGCACGTGTCCGCACGAGAATAATACAGCGGCTCCTCACGGGGTGCTGGCCGACATTACGGTTGCCATCATCTCCGAGACAGAAACAATACATGCTTAAATTATACAGTTGCTACCATCTCCGAGGCAGAAACAATGAATGTTTTTCTCCTCTACGCTTTTTTGCCCCGTATTGAGCGTTTTTCTCGCTCTCGGTTGAGCGCTGCTCCTCTCGCTTTAGGGATTAAAAGTGACGCGACCTTGGAGACCGGGAGAGTGGTTTAACTCTGAAACTATGTTTTGGTCTTGCACAGCACTGTATCGGAGTGCGCCTCGTTTGTGTCTACGGACGTCCGTTTACAATTGATCCCGTTGTTTACCATAGTACTTTAACATTTCCAAATGTCGTTTCGATACTTAAGCACTGTGGTTCGTAAATGCAAGCCGCCGGTTTTATTGATATATAACGGTTTTAGTGATATATAACGCAAGTTAATATGGGAAAGAGCTATAGCCGTCGTAATTCCTAATGTCATGATTAAAAGGCCCCAATGGGCCTTCAGGCTACCTGAAAATGGCTTTGAAATGGTCGACTTGCTGTTTGATCGATATCTAGTACTAATAGATTCACAAGACCAAGAATGTCGTATTCTTTATGTTGGAACGCCATTTTGCAAATCATGCTAGTTACGTCTAACAAACTTAATTACCATTTTTATAAATTTAAGTGATATAATATAGGAGGTGCTGCATGCGTTTCCTACTGAGATGCCATATTTTCATAATAATATCATGACTTTGATCGTTCCAACTCATGTATAGAGGTCAACGATGCACTGTTCCTGGATACTGCATTTCATGAAGCTTGCGTCTACACGAGTTGCATCTAAAACAAGGATTAACGTGCTAGTTGGTATGGCACTTGTGGGTAGATGAGGAAGAGTGAAAGTGAATTGATTTGAGTGCGAAGCTCGTACTGTGAGCTAACGTACTTCATGCAACACAGATCCGCGTCCACGAGATGTACGCCTTTGAGCCCGGACCCCTCGGGAACCTGGCTTAACTGAGACCCGCGCGTGTCGTCACCGCCGCGTGACTTGGTCCGCTTGCTTACCGGCTTTCAACACTCCTCCCTAGGGTCTCGAGGATTCAGGCAAATGTTGGCGACCAGTCCAATTGCCTCCGTCAGCTCCTTGACCCGCGGTGCTGGGAGGGCCTTCATGAGTATGTCCGCCAGCACCGCCGCGCTCTCGACGTAACACGGTGCCCCCAAGCCTTTCTGCTTCTAATCTTGCAAGACCATGAGCTTCACATCAACATGCTTGGCATTCGCTGAGCTTGATTCGGTCTGTATCTGCGCGATAGCCGCTTGATTGTCCTTTGCATCCCCATGGGTAGGGTCGTTGCCACACCAAGCTTACCAACCATTCCTTGATCCCCAGCAGCTCTTGAGCTCCCACCGTTGTTGCCACGTACTCCGCCTTGGTGGTCGACAGCGCCACCGAAGCCTGTTTCTTGCACCGACAAGACATGATCGTTCCGTTGATCTGCACGATTGCTGCACTGACCGATTTTCGATCATTTTTGTCTCCAACGAAGTCGGCGTCCGTAATTTGCAGTGGTTGGCTAGGCTCTCCATCAGCGATCATAGAGAGCTCGAGAGCTCGCGTCCCGCTCAGATACAGGGCTTTACGCCTGGACAGCTTCCTGTCCGCCATGGTGGGGGCGTGCGCACGTCGTGTAACACAGTTCACGTGCAGCGGGGCTGCCGTAGCTTTAGCGTCAGAGGAAGACGTAACAGACTCACAGAGTCTCAGCTTAAGATAGCCCATTATAATACCAGAACGTACGAGTCCGTACACCTTACGGACTCCAGAGAGTCAACTCTTAACTCTTAAGTGTGTAAATCTCAAACTGAATGTGTTTGCCTTAGCGCGGCCAAGCCGCCTACGGTGTAAATGTATCCGGTTCACTATCTAGCATAGTGAACCCTAGTCATATGCATAATAAGTGGTTCTGAAGCCGTGTACTGATTATCCTACTGATTTAGGTTAGACAGTGTGTACCCACTTCGTAACCCTTCGGGTAACTCTCGTGTAACTCCGTTACACCCTCCCCCATCAAACCGTGGACACGGGTGTTCACGCTTAACGGTCAACCACCGGGTCTTGTTCCGTCAAGTCTCCTTCTTGAAAGAGTCAATCCACATCGCGTGGACCTCTCTGAGAACTTCTCGGCGCCACGCGCCCTCACATGACTTTAAGGCATAAAGCCTTTTGGTCTTTCGGCCACAGAAAGCCTCTCGCGCGATCCGCCTCGGAGCCTCGCTCCTCTCGTGCTGCTGTACCGTGTGCCTCCGCACCTTCGCGAACGCCAGCGCCCGCGCGCACACCCTCGACGCCTTCCAGGCTCTCGGTGTCTGAGTACTTCGGGGCGCAACGCCTGAAGCGCAGCTCGCAGCGCGCAAGCCCCAGCTCTCCAGATCATGGATCCTAGGGAACTCTTTGGTGAAGAGGGTGAGGTGAACGAGTCCATGGAGGGTTCTCCGAACCGAGGAGATGCGTCCCCACCCACGCGACGCTTCGCCCACACCGTCGGCACGCCGTGAAGAAGGCTCGCCGGCCCCAGTTGGCTCTCCGAGCCGTCGCGATCAAGAGCGCCCCGCGCGCAGTTCTCCTGCGCGCTCCCCAAGCCGTTTCGCCACTTCGCGCGCTGCGCCACCGAGGGAGGAGCCGCGGCAGCCGCTGCGGACTCCCAATCCGTTTCCCCAGCGCTCCTTCGAGCTCTCAGAGCTGCTCGAGCTCACGGAGCCGCGGTATTCGCCGCACGTGCAGAAGACGTGCCCCTGGATCCCGTCATCTCCAACCCCTTGGACGAAGCTCAGTCCGAGCAGGTTGCGGCGCAGATGGCTCTCATGCGCTCCCAGCGCTCCGAGCTGCGGCCTCTGCTGAACCCCAGCACTGCCGACTACGGCTTCCGGCCTCGCGACTCCGCGGAGGCTTGTCGCCTGGCGTTCCGGCAGTCTCTCGCGCTGCACGCCATTGGGTCCGCGGCCCGTACTCCGGAGGAATTCGCACGCGTACGACTCTGCTAGAGCGACTCGTCACTCCACAGTCTACGACTGTCGCGGAGTATTGCGAGAGGCTGCGGCTGCAAGCCCAGCAGAAGTCCGTGCCCGCCATGCGGACGTACCCGGTGGTACTTAGCCCGGGGGAAGACTCAATTGAGTACGAAGCTCAGTTCGAGTCTTGGGCCAAGCACAGCCGGAAGCTCAGCTCCATGGATGCTCTCCGAGCCAGCTTCAATGAAGTGGATGTTCGCATTGAACGCAAGCTCCGCTTCGATTTCGCGAAGGTACGAGCTAAGCGCAGCCTCTCGGCACTCGCCCAGCCGCGGACCCAGTTTAGCGCTGCGCGCTTCGCTCCTTCGAGCACTCCAGCCGCTCCTTCCCGCGAGGGAGTGAGCGCTGTGGCTCAGGGTCACCCTCGGAGGAATGTGGCTGACCCAGCAGCTCCCCAGCTTATTGCAGGGAAGCGCGGGATGGCCGGCGTGCCGGCCTTGAGCCCTCGGGGCGCTGGTAATCAAGGTGATCAAAAGCGTCCACGACGTCTTGGCAATCCTGGCGGAGGGGTACCTCAAACTCCCATGGGTTCTGGGAGTGAGGGTATTCTTGCCATCTCACCAGATACTGGTTTGACCCCGGCACCGCTGCTTCGCCAGGAGGCGTTCCACATGGTAATGCAGATTCCCATGCTCATCGAGCAGCGCCGGTGGAGGACGAGCCAAGCCGCCTCCCGACGTTCGACGAGTTGCGCGAGACTCGGCAACAGGCGGATCGCCTTCGGGACCACGTCCACGACATCGACGCGCCTCTGGCACGTTGTGCGACTGATCTCGACAGGCTCGCTGAGTGCCTGGAGTGGCTTGGGGTGCCTCGGGAGGTCTGGGACCGACTTGGGACCTTGGAGAACGACTTCGTTCGCCTGAACGGGTGGGTGAACTACTTTCGCGATCGCGAAGAGCGACACGCTCGAGAGTTCGCGGAGCTACAGCGGCACCAGGCTTTGCTCCAGGGTCAGCTCGAGCTCCTGGCCCGCATGCAGGCCTCGCCTACCGCGCCTCCTGCGCTTGCGGCTCCTGCAGTACCCGCGGCACTCCCGCCTGCCCCTGCGGAGCCCGCGTTGATGGTCGCGTGGCGACTGCGTCCTCGACGACCGCGACCTCCGCGCCTGTGACCTCGCCACCCTCGGTGCCTCCATCTGCACCTACATCGGGTCCACGTTCGGCCTGAGCATGCCCACGTAGAAGACGGGGTGCGTCCGCATCTTCTTCGGAAGATTGAGCTTGTACGCAAGGCCCTTCTTGGCCACAACCTTGAAAGGTCCGATGAAGTGCGGGCGCAACTTCGTCTTGAAGACGGCTGGCACTGCATGTGTAGGTAGGTTCTTAGCGCTAAGCAGCACCAGGTCCCCGACGTCATAACTTTCAACATTGCCTCTGCCTCTGCCTCTGGCATCTGCATGTTCCTTTCGCTTGGCTTGGCTTTCAGCCATTGCGTCACGCGCATGTCGTAAGACACTCAGACGCGTCGCCAAGAAAGCGTCAACCTGTTTACGAACAGTAGCCGGGCTGACATCGGCTAGCCGATCAGCTAAGCCGGCTTCTCCTCCCCCACCAAGTCCGAGGCCACCACGCGGCGGCGTCAGCGGGGCGCGGGGGTGAGACAAGCTGTTCACGCAGAACGGCGTGTAGCCTATCGAGGCGTGCACGGCGTTGTTCAACGCAAACTCAACGAGTGGCAGCATGGCGCTCCAGCGCTTCGGCGTCTCGGCGCAAATGCAGCGGAGCACGTCCTCGACGACGCGATTCACGCGCTCTGTCTGACCATCGGTCTGCGGATGGCCTGCCGTGGACATGTCCAGCTTGGTGCCAAGCACCGCAAAGACCACGCTCCAGAGGTTGCCCGTGAAGCGGGGGTCTCGGTCCGAGACAATCGACTCAGGGAGTCCGTGTTGTCGAACCACCCGGTCCAAGAACAGCGTTCCTATACCTTTACCATCGATGGTGTCCGGTACAGCCGCAATGTGAGCCATCTTGCTCAGTCGGTCCACGAAGACCACGACTCCAGTGTTGCCCGCCGCGTCTGCCGGCAGGCCAAACACAAAGTCCATACTCATGGATTGCCAACAGCCCGAAGGGACAGTCAAGCTCGCCAACGGCGCTGCAGCATGAGGTGCCGATTCACTCGCTGACACGTCTCGCACGTGCGCACATAAGTACTCGTTCACTTGTACAGCTTCGGCCACCAGTAGTGGGTGCTCACCGAGCTGTAGGTCTTTTCACGGCCAAGATGGCCGGCCAGCGGCGTGTCGTATGCCTCATAGAGGATGCGGTACTTCAGATCCTCATCATGAGGGATGACCACGCGGGGCGTATCCTCGGGGACAGTCTTGTAGAAGAACAGGTCACCATCGAGGGAATAACGGTGTAGCCGCGCGCGCAGCCGCGCTGACGAATCCATGTCCGAGTCTTGAAACTCCTTGCTCCCCAGAGCCTTCAGTAACGCGACACAGGTCTCGTCCTTGGCATAAGCCGTTCGGATCAAATCCGGTAATGACGAAGTCACGGTCGTTGCATGAGCCAGCTCATAATCCGGCCTGCGCGACAGCGCGTCCGCAAGGACATTCTGCCTACCAGGCTTGTACTTCACCTCGAAGTTGTACTCCGCGAAGAAGGACAGCCATCGGGCCATCCTTTGCGAGGGATGTGGCGACTGAGTCGCAGTGCGTAACGACGCATGATCCGTGTAAATCTCGAACGGCTGAGAGCACCCTGAACTTGACGAGCGCATACTTCATTGCAAGTAGCTCCTTGTCGTGGACAGGATAGTTCTTCTCCGTAGCCTTCAGCTGGCGAGATTCGAACGCCACCACGCGCTCGCGCCCCTCGGCGTCTGCTTGCAGCAGTGCACAGCCGATGGCAAAGTCCGAGGCGTCACAGACGACACAAAACGGACGAGGGGGGTCTGGCAAAGCCAGAATAGGCGCATGAAGGAGACTGTCCTTAATGGCCGCGAACGCATCTTGATGCTCGGTGTTCCAACACCACTCCGCATCCTTCTTCAGGAGGTTGGAGAGTCGCCGAGCCATCTCAGCGTAGTTCTCACTGTACTTGTGCAAGTAATTGGCTAAGCCAAGCCACTTGCGAAGATCCCTTTGGTTCTTGGGAACCGGCCAGTCAACAATGGCTTTGACCTTGACCGGGTCGGCCCTCAGACCACGCTTCCCGATGAAGCACCCTAAGAAGGGGATCTCTTCCGCTCCGAAGGTGCATTTGTCAATGTTGGCGTACAACTTGTTTTGACGCATGCATTTGAGCACAGCACGCAGGTGCTCCACATGCTTCTCCATATCAGTATTTCCGTGCTCAGCACGACTGTGGACAAAGATGTCATCGAAGTACGTTTGCGCGTACGCCTGATGGGGCCTGAAGAGCTGCGTCACAAGACGATTAAACGTCGCTGGCGCGTTTGAAAGCCCTTGGGGTATCACCAACCACTCCCAGAGCATGCCGCTCGGGCTACTCACCGCAGTGAGAGGAATGTCGCTCGTCTGCATGAGCAATTGGTAATATCCATCGACCAAGTCGAGCGCACTGTACATCGTACATCCTGTCATGTTGTTCTGAAGAACATCCTTCCGAGGAATCGGTGTCTGTGCCGGAATGATAGCGGCATTCAGCTTGTTGAAAGCATGCACGATACGCCACTTGCCATTCGGCTTTCTGACACAGAACGTCAGCGTAGAGTGTGGAGACTTACTCTCACGCACCATGCCCGCCTCGTGCTTCCTACGGAAGAACGCGTCAATGATGCCACACTGCTCCTTCGGTAAGGGCCACTGCTTCGTCACGCAGTACTTCGTTCCCGGAACGAAATCGATTTCGTGTCGAACACCTCGATCCGGAGGTAGCCCCGAGGGCGGCTCCTTCGAGACCACGTCCTGGTAATCCTTTACCACTTGATACAAGGCATCCGACGGGTCCTTCAGGATCGCCGATCCGCTCCGCACATTCAGCGCCTTCTTGGTGTCTTCCAGGACAGCTTCATCCAGAAGCGAGGACGAGTTCAACTCTTCTTCGGATCGTATTACCACTACCTCAGCAAAGTCTCCAGCCTTCAAGGCTTCCCCGAACTCGGCCAAGGACATCTCGCCCAGCTCCAGGAGAGCAGACAGTGAGGGCAAGTCGTCGAGGTTGATACCTCCGTCGACGTCGCCCGTCACTCCATTCACGAGTGTATAGAGCTGCTCGCTCTCGCTTGGAGCCTCGCCGCTCGACACGCCCTTCTCGACTCGTGAGATCGCAGACGCCTTGCGTCTCGCAGCCAGCGCTTTGCGGCGCTGCCTCCTCTTCATGGACACCGTCAGCCCTGAAGAGCCCCGTGATTTTGCGTGCGTCTTGACGCCATGTGTCACCACCTCGTTCAGCTCCGCGGGAGCTCCAGTGTCTTTACCGACACTCAGCAAAGAGCTGTACGATCCGCAGCCTCCACTCAGTGGATTACGTGCCACTCCACGATCTCCATCCGGGCAAAGCCCCTTGTTCTTCGGCATCGTGCCGACCGCGCCGTCGCTGGCACGCAGCAGGGCGTCGCCCTCAGACGCACGCCCGCTCAGCGGAATTAGTGCCGCTCCACCTGCCGTCCGCGAGCCACGCTCGGAACTCTCGTTCTCGACACATTCAGTGTCCACCAACTCGGAAACTCCGATGTCCAACACATTGACCGACTCGGTCCAGTGCTCGCGCCAGAAGCGCTTCTGCTTCCTAGCAGAGGTGGGTTCATGACTCGCCAATGCTCCGCTAGGAGAGAAGTGCGTAGCACCAAGGGTCTTCGACCTCCAATCGATCCAAGGCTCGTGGCGTTCCAGCCACGCCATACCAAGGATGAGATCATATCTCGAATCGAGGTCTAAGACCAGACAGCGTCCCACGCTATCAAAATCCAAAAACTTCACGCCCAGGTCCACAGGGACCTTAGGCACCGTGACACGGGCACTCGTGACGATGTCACTCCCGCGCGCCACCAGCGCCTCAGCATAATGCTGACTTCCGTCCATCGTAGAACGCCGGGAGTAGTTACCCGACGCTCCCGAATCGATCAAATCGTACATGGCTTGGTGAAGCCCTTCACCCAAGCTTGGACAACTACAACTAGCAAGCCGGCTTGCATACACGTTCCGTGTTAGAGAGTACGGCTCTCTTCGGGGCTAGGTCCTGTAGACCTCCACCTCGCCGAGGCTCAATAGAACTTAGTTCTTCCCCAGTAGGCCACCCCACGCCTACTGGGACTTCTCGTTTCCCCGAGACAAACCAGACCCCTGGTTCGAACTCGAAGAGCGGCTTATCGAAGCTTGGCGCTGATGGCGCAGCGGACACCCAGCAAGAAGGTGTCGGGTGTCACCACAGATGAAGCATCTGCGGATACCGCGACACTGCTCAGCAGCAGGAAGCTCGGCTTCTTCGTCTTCAGCATAGCTGAGGTCCATGGGTTCCGGACCACTCGACGCGCTAGCGTAAGACGCATTCCACCCGAGTCTCGACGACTTAAAGTTGTGTTCCGCATTCAATGCGACGCTCACAGTATCTTCAAAAGAGCTCGGGTGGGTTCGAAACACCTCCGTTCTGGCAACGCCAGTGCGGAGGCACTCCATGAACACCGTAACGGTGACTGCCTCCGGCAGGGGGTCCGCGGACATACCAGCAATGAGAGTTCTCAACTCTCCATCAACTCCTTCTTGCTCTGCTTGGTTGCCAGGAAGCGTGAGCGCACGCGATACGCCTCGTTAGGCGGAGCAAACACTCGAGACAATTGCTGTTTCAGCTGGTCCCACGTCGGGAAGGCCACCTCGACCAACGTCCCGGACGTTAGTACCCACTCTCTCGCTCGCCCACCGAGCTTCGAGATAGCTAGTGCCACGCGCTGCGACTCCGTACGGAGTAGAGCTGAGCTCATAGCCATCTCAACCTCACGGGTCCAAAGCATCAAGCTTTCACCCTCCTTGCCTTCGAAGGTCTTCATGCTCAACATGAGCGGCTTGGGTCTTGTTCCCGCGTCGGATGACGAAGCGGTCGCTTGGGGCGCCGCGGCCGTTGCCATCCTCTGCTGGAGGTGCTTTAGCAGAGCATTCTCTAGCTTGAAAACGCCTCGAGACGCGCATTCACCGCGTCGGGGCCT